TGTTCTGGGAGGCGTGCGACGAGAATGAGTAGATCTCGCCACTGAACTTGGTCTGCATCTGGTTGGCGCTGGTCTGCGTCGAGCTGCTCTCATTGACGCGACGGAACCTGATGTAGTTGATAGGGGTCTCGCCGCCCAGCGCGTTCATCACGACGATCACCTGGAAGTACTCGACCAGCGTGATGAAGAACTTTTGGAAGTAGTAGTAGTCGGACCACTCGGGGATCTTGGACAGGTTGAAGCCGACGATGATGGCAATGATCGAGATGTACAGGATGGCCAGCGTGGACGACAGACGCACGGTGTTGTTGATGGTCAGCTGCAGCTTGGGAATGCGCTTCTCCTGCTGCTTGAGGAATTTGATCAGGACAAAGCCGTTGACCATGATGGCCAGGCCATAGATGACGATCCAGGTAATATTTCCGTAGCTGACCCATGGGGCGATCTTATCGGGCACGATCCAACTCAGGATACTGGTGATCACGGTGTACAGCATGAACAGCGACGCCAGGATCCACGCTGAGTACCAGGCACGGGTGGTGTTCTTTAGGATGATGGAATTGGACACAAAGAACGTGTAGAGCAGCTGTGTCCAGAAACAACCGATGAAGATCCACTCGGTAAAGATAAAGTATGTGCCATAAAGCGAGAAGAAGTACGCCAATGAACCAGGTTGAAACCTTGGATATGCTAATAGGTAACAAAGTTGCTCGGTTGCTCTGACTACATGATGTGATGGTTGGATGGATGTTAGGATTGGGCTGGACTTGGAATGGTTATTGATGGGGAGGAGGCCTGGATACTTACAGAATGGGAAAAATGTGATGGAGAAGAAGGTGCAAAGACGTGGACTGATTGGACGGTTGCAGGAACGAAGGTAACGATACTCCAATATAGTCTGTGTGGCATTAAGTATAAATATAACAAAGAGGCCTGCAATTCGAAGTGACAGGAATATGATCACCAATATATCGCCAGTGTCTGATGTAGTATAAGTTCCCATTATGTGATGTTATATTATGTATGTATATGTGATTGTGATTGATTTATGTCCTTGTTGGGGAAGTGAAGTTGTTCTTATATATAATGTATTTATATTTGAAAGACGTTGGTGTTATATGTGTGTGTGTTTGGTAAGTTGGTAAAGTACAAAGGTGTGTAATGATAAGTGATTGATTGATTGATTGATCGTTTGATGAGTTGTAATAATAAATATATATGTGTTATTATCAACAACTACTACTTCTACAATGTTGCTACTACTGGTTATAATATAACAACTAAACACTTAACTAATACTAATATATATATATGTTTGTTTATATATATATCTTAATTATATATATGTATATGTGATTGAATGATAATTGATTGGTTCGTTGTAGATGAGGTCGAGCATTGGAATGAATGAATGAATAAGGACAAGGGGGGTGCAGATAGAGATGAGAGTAGACCGCAACAACTGGTGGCTGGTTGTTGGCTGTGTCTGTCTAGTGGGGGAAGATCCAGAGGGGTGCGTCCAAACCTTTTTAGAACTTGTTCAAAAACCACACACGGTCACTAACAATGACATGTTTGCAAGATGTGAGTACGTGGAATGAGTGAGCGGGTATCTGAATGAATCAATGACGACGGCGACCCTGCAGGGTGTAAGGACAACTTGGGTTGGCCGAATGATCTTTCCGCGCAACTCTTTTAAAGCTCAATCAATGTTAGGCGGACAGACACACATGTGTTAACAATACACACTCTTAGCCAATCGTTTGAGTTACACGCATGGCCCGTAAGGAGAAGGGGGGCCAATCAGGTGTCGAGTCCAGTGTTCAGGACAACAATAATTATAATTAAATGAAACTGTTTGAGAATGATTTGTCGCTTTGTTGTGAGGGCACACTCACCAATAACGCCGACACGATCTGTTTTTTTGCAATGAGGTTCTGTTGAGATTAACACTGACCCAACCATCATCTTGCTATTTTTATCAACGACTTTTTTGTTCCATTTTCATTTTCAATCTCGGCCTGATCCCATTGGACGACACAACAAGTGCGCCGTGTCCATGACCTAAGCGCTTATCTCATCTTCGTGTGTTGGTGTGAATGTATGTGGTGAAGTGATCATTCAAAGGGTTGCATGCAGAATGTGACGGACGGGGTATAAATATAATCACCCGCCCATCACAGTAGGGAATGGGCCTTTCTCGACATGGGGAGGTCAATCTCGTAGTGGGTGATGACGGTGATGATTGATGGACGCCCAATGAAAGGTAAAGTCGTCGGTTGCGCGGGGTTGCAGACAGACTTGATCAACACCCGATCTTACCCAGCGGTTCCAGACATGGTGTGATCACCCTTCCAACTTGTGAAGGGTCTCTCTCATTTGTTGTAAAGGTAGTAGTAGTTGAGTAGTAGGTGTAGTCTAAAACAATCAATTCGAATCGATCAATCAATGGTCAACTTTACATCCATCAACACTCACTTGGACGACCAGATCAATGTTTGGTAAGTCATCGACGATGGATGAATGGATGGATTGTCGGCTCAAATGGATGAGCCACAATGTATATTTTTGGACAGACCAAACTTGGGATATACTAGGCTCTCGGACCCACATGTTGATCACGATGGGAGATCTCTCAAAGATGTGACCTTATGTTGGGGGCATGCACCGGTAGCTCGGCCCTCACCCCGAGTTGAGTTGAGCTGGTAGCTACTGATCAACGTCTTGTTGTTTAAGGGGAGATTTATAAATGATCGTGTCCATGGATGGACAAGACAAGACATGTCATCTGAATGTTCATGGTATGTAGTTAACTGTGAGAGAATGAATGATGTGATGAAATGAGAATGAGAAAGATGATTGAACGATAGGTGTCAATCGCGTCAACATCTGAGATCCTGATCAATCTCTCAAGTCCATCTATAATCCAGTGATCCTGGTCGATCACTCACTCATTCATTCATAATCTTTGTCATTGCCATTGTACCTTTCATTATCAGTTACCAGTGACTAGGATCAGTGAGTGAACTTGGTTGCCTTGTGATTGGACACTTCTTCAAGGTCATGATACTCGATGCCCCTCTTTTGGCCAACCTGCTTCGTTAATGGATTGTTCAAGAGTCGATCACACATATCTATGATACTTAGGTTGCCATCAAGGGATACCTGACGCACTGAATGAAGCAAATTGGACATTTGGCTAAGGTCGACTTGGGCTCGTTTGAATGGATCATGGTCACCATCAAACAGATACGCGAGAACTTTGTGAAGATTGTTTCTGGATGCCTCTATGACCATGGACAATGATGGAAGATGTCTTTGGAAATGGGCAGGCGTGGTACAATGTTGGATGGACTATGAGGATGATGTCCAGATGACCGTTGCCATAGGCCCAGTCCACCAATCGTATGGGTAGATCATCCACGCTGACATATCCCCTGTCAAAGAGATGTGATAGTGTTTGAGCATTGCCACAGAACTGTTCCAAGTTGATCAAGTGGTGGATGGTCATGTCGGGGTTACTAATCACAGTCTTTGCCAGTTGGATCATGTAATCGATTGATAGAATGTCACTCGTTTGATGCACACTTCAACCACATCCTTGAGTTCGGAGGTGGTTGTCTTGTCGTTCACTTGCCACACTGTGCTAGGGTCACATTGGACAAAGGTTGGGACACTGACACTTACTTGGACGCGGCAATCATCAGCAACTTGTGGAAGACTGTTATCGATAATATTTTTATATTGGAGAATGATGATGGTGATCTCGATGATGTAGTCCACGGTCACAATGCTGTCGGGCATTCCAACTCTCTCCAACATCAATGATGCGGCCTCAAAGAGATAACTCTTATCTGGAGTTATATCCTTGATGTATTTGATGCTGCGCGTGTCGCCAACCAAGACAGCCTGCTCAAGGGTATACGCCAATTGATCATAGTCAAAGAATCTATCAATACTCATTGTTATATCAAACAGATCATTGTTGCCTAGGCAGTAAAGTCTCAAATGTGAAGCCCCTTGGACAAAGTTATTATAATATGATCAGTTCAGTTGTTATTACTACTGGGTCAAGTTGATTGAACCAATCTTCTTGCGTAGAGATCGTTGGTTGTGTGCGCGCACGACTGAGTAAATGATGATGGCTATCAGTGCACATCCAAATGCAACACTGGCTACAATGATGGCAATGAGTGCTGTGCGAGATAGGCCAGACTCCTTGCCCGAGCAACGTGATGATGACGAGTCGATAGTATCCACCAACAGACTAAAGTCTGGGTCGATAAGTGCGTAGAATGTGTAGTGTGGCACGTTGATGGCAATGTCTGATGTGGATGCCTGCGAGCTGTTGGTGGCACTGGGCAGCACTGTGTTGCTGATGGGTGAGACACGCGTGTCAATCTCGGCGTAGTTCATGAATCGCATGTACATCGTCTGGCCATTGACCTGCAGCTTGATCCAGTTGATGGTCTGGCCCTCGCCCAGGGTACCCGAAGATTGAGCCGAACACGACTCCTCCTCGTGTGTAGTCACGTCAGCTGACATGATCACTTGGAGAGTGTTGAGCTGCGTGGTGAAGTTGTACTGTGTGAGGCCGATCGAGTACTTGAGTGTGCCGGCATTCATCACCATGTCCTTGCCGGCAAACTTGATGGTGGCCGACTTGAAGAAGTACTGGATGGTGACTGTCACGTTGGTCTCGGTGCCCTCCAGAGTGGTGGTGTAACGTGTCTTGAGCATGTCAGTCTCGGACATGTTCTCCCTTGTCCACAAGTTGCTCAGAGTGTATGTCTTGAGTGTCTGGCCCAAGTTGTCGAGCTCCAACACACGTAGGACACTAATGGATCCCTTTCCAAAGATTGTTGTTGGATCATTTGGATCAAAGGTTGGATCAGTTCCATCAATTATCTCTGTTATCATTGAGGGAGTGTGTGAGTGAGTGGAATGATTCCAGATTGATGAGCGAGTGAATGAGAGAGAGGATACAAACGTTTAGAGCAATCCTTGTCACTGTATCCATCATCACAATCACAGATGTCTTGGGCGATACACTTTCCATGTCCAGAGCAATCGCTAACATTGCCACAAGTTGGCACAGGTGGTGGAGGTGGTGGCTTGGTGGCTATGTGTGTGGGGGGATGGGAGTTAGTGCTTGATCATGTCATTGAAGGAATGATTCCAGTAAAGTAAAAGTCCATACCATTGGTGTTGATGTATAGTTCGTTAGACATTACTCCACGGGTAGACACCTTGACGATGGCACCCTTGGGGATGGCTGCAATGTCAATGATGAAGACTGTGCCAGAGAAGAAGACGGATGGGATCGTGACAAAGTCAGAGGTGAAGTAGTGGATGTAGGCTTGGAACTCGGTCTGGTTCACACCAAAGGCGCGACCATATACTGTGAGCATTCCACCATTGTCTGAGATGTTGGATGCACGCTCAAGTGTGGGCGCCACCAGATCGAACGATGTGTTGAGGAAGTTGTTGACTAGGAGAGTCGATGGCAGACCGAGGAAGTTGAGCTGCACGTCCGATATACCAAACACTGAGACAGTGGTACCTCCAATGCCAAAGCCGTAAGGGATGGTTGTGTTGAGGCCAAATACCGCGGTGGTGTTGTCGAATGAGATGATGTTCATGGGCAGTTGGAGGATGTCGTCCATCATCGATGTCAGGTAGACCACTGGCGTGTGGGACAATGAGATGCCCGAGTTATTATCCCTGACCGTCAAATTGAAGTACACGATCCTGTTGATCGATGCCACATTAACATAAGTTGGAGCAAAGTCAAAGCCGATCAATGTTGGGACTGTCGTCTCGACCTTGGCTGTTGATTGATTGAATGATTGAGTGAGTTTGAGAGAGTGAGTGGAATGGTTCCATATGTGCAGACATCAGGGATAGTATACTTACTCGAGGTACATCTGACGTTGATGAGCTTGCTTTGAGGGTTCTCACTGGACAACTCGCGGAATGGACTGGCGAGAGAAGTGGACAATAGCTTGGAGCGGTAGCCATTGACATCGTATAGCTCGATATCTAGAATCCTGAAGTTCTGAGTCTGGCACAGTGGCTCAAGCTGCAAGTTGGCAATGTATCCAGAGGGAGTCTTGTTTGCTTGATTGAATGTGATGTTGTACACCTTGGGATCAGAGTCACTGGTGACTGACAGGATACCATAGTCGAAAGGTGTGGCGTAGGATGATGGAGCAAAGATCCAGCTCAATAGGGGTGGGTTGGTGCCACTGAAGGACAGTGACTCATCACCGGATGCCCACTTTGTGAGGTATGGTCCTTGCAAGTCGAACTTGCTCGATGTGACGTTGAGGAGTGCCTTGCCGCCGAGCACTGGCTGCAGTACACGCATGTCCCACACGAATGGACGCATGTAGATGGTGTAGTCGACTGGGCCTGGGAACATGTTCATTGGCATGGTGAAGGGGATGACATACATCTGCTGGGTCTCGTCCCAGGCACCCTGGAAAGTGTAGCGATCTGATAGCTGCTTGTCATGGAACGAGGCGAACAACTTGAGCACAGGGACAAATGACTTGTCCGCGGTGTTGACCTTGAATGTCAGAGTATTAGATGTCCTAACGTTGGTGGTATCAATATTGTTTGAGGCAAAGTTGAAGTCTGTGATCTGATGTGGATACAGGGAGTCTGGAGGATGTGTGGATGCGGTCAGGAATAGCTTCAAGCGATCAATCAATCATGTTAAGTAACTTACTTGGTTGTGGGACGTATGGGAGAGAGCTGGTTGGGACTGTGGCAGAGCGCTGGAAGACCTTGGAGTTGGTTGCCTCGTCGATAATAGTGATCTTGTCTCCGAGTGTAGACAACTTGGAGAAGTTGAAGATGCGCTCAAAAGTTCCTCGCAGCTTGGTACCCCAGACCAAGTCATATTGGCGGAGCTCAATGACCTGTTGGTCAAGAGTGGTAGCAGAGTCACTGATCAAGATCTTGTACACACCACTCAAGTCATCCGATGCTGTCACTCTCACAATGATCGAGTTGGAGGTGAATGGAATGTATTGGACTGAGATGAATGTTGGTGGAGTAGTATCTTTTTGATTGATTGATTGATGGATTGATTGGATGATTGATGGAAGGATTAGTGGATGAATCAGAGTACTCAGTCATGATGAAGTAACTTACCAACTGTGACCTTGGATGGTGTTGCTGATGTGGCTGACTGGAAGAAGCCAAGGGCTGTGGTGGTGAGCGAGGTGAGTGGGTTCTGGTACTTGGAGACTACCTTGGAATGTGAGACTTGGAGTGTAACAGCGCCAAATTGACCAGATCCTATACCGTATGGGTATGGGAGGAAGTAGTTGAGGTTGACTGATCCGGTGGTCTCGGCAAAGTAGAGACCGAACCAGGTAGTGGCAAGGATGTTGCCAGTGAATGTCCAGACGGGCACCTGACGTGTTGTGTTGAATATCATGGCAGGGGTCTTGAAGGCGGACATATCAAACGATTGGAAGTCGAACCTGGTCATGCCCTTGGAGGTCAGACCATCCTTGGTGATGAACATGCGCTGGGCAGTGTCGGATGAGCTGGTGAACTGGATTATACCCATGTAGTTTGACTGTGTGGGCGTTCCGTAGACAGCCCAGGTCTTTGGCAGGCCGCTCAGTGGTGCATTGTTCTTCCACAGCTGCAAGTAGAAGGCTGTACTGGTGGTGGCAATCTGGAACTCATACATGTACGAGCAGAGTGGGTCATTGTACATATCCTGCTGGCAAGTGATGGGGCCGAGCACGGGTGATGGATACAGTGTGGTTTGATCGATGGTAACGGCAGAGCTCTGGATGTTTGGCATGAAGCTGATGGTCTTGTTCTGGCCATAGACATCGGTAATCTTGAGGGTGTCAGGTCCAATGAATGTGCCACTGGCCGAGTTGATCAGTGAGAGCACAACCCAGAAGTACTGGAAAGTGGTGTCTTGCATGGACATTGGCACGACCTTGCAAGTGTAGCTGGTCTTGGTGACTGAACATGTGTACTGGGGTGGTGCATAGGTGTGGGGAATGAGCACTGGCATCAGCTGATCGGTGTAGGATGATGGGTCCCAAGCCAGCTGGCTGGACAGCACAGTGACGTTTGGAGACGAAGGCAGCGCCAGACACTCAAATGTAGTGGGCACGGCGTCATAGGTCAGCGGCAGGTCAGTGTTGGATATGTTGAAGATGATTGATGACTGGCCGATTGGCATCAGCAGTGTGATTGTTGTGAGTGTCACGCCTTGTGCCAGCGTGGTGGTTGCAGCGGGAGTCGATACGCTGCCAACATTGGTAGAGACGGTGCGTTGGGTACTACCCATCACCTCATTGAATACAAATTGGAATTGCACATCACATCCATAGTTGGCCGTCTTTACAGAGTAGGCACCGCCATTGTTTGGCGAAAACTGAGCAGGAATTGAGGCTAAGTTTGGTGTGAGGGGCGAGGGTTAGGGCGAGGGCGAGGGCAAGGGTTGAGGGTTAGGAATTTGTGTTTGGTTCAACTTTGAGCCCATCAATTTTAAACATACCATTTACTACAAATACAATGTATGATAATAATAACAATGATTTAAATAAAGGGTTCATCGCTATCTTGTGTACATCCAGTAACATTAAATTTTTTAAATGTTTAAACTGGTGAATTGGATTGGATTAATTGGTTGAGTGACGGTGTGCGTGATTGTGAATGTGCGTATAATTATATTATTATATTTGTTCCTGTATCTCTATGAAGTAAGTAAGCACGTGATTGACTGGTCAGTTGATTCCGTCAGACAAAGACAGGTGCGTGGGTTGTGGGACAGACAACGGGAAAGGGTAGTCGGGGGCGTGTGTGTGAGTGCGTGACGTGAGTGAATGAGTGATTGCGCTACTTCAAGTTGGCTCTCCAATAATAAACAAACTAACATACAAACAAACTAACAAACAAAGAAAAGAAAGAGGAAGAAGAAAATAATGGCAATGATGATGGTCTGAATGAGTGATTGATGGCTGAGTCCCTGGACAAATATAACGCGATTGTAAGTAATTACAATTAAACACACAATTGAATGGCGTGATGACCACGAGGACACAGAACCCTCTGAGACACCAACATCATCACCAACCTTAATGCACCCTTCAGGTAGAGAGGTGTTCATTCATTCATCATTCATCTGTTGATGGATTGCCTCCACAAGTCTTTTTCGAAAAGTGCGTGGCGCATTCTTCCGTAAGAATGGAAGCAAGACACTTGAACAGATATTGACAATCGCCTCTACTCTTTGTTGTGAGGTTGGTTGATTTGATCACAATGTGTGTGTTACAATTGTCGGGGCTAGTATACGCCCAAGTGTGGTGGGTCCATTGTTGTAGAAGTGGGGGTGGCCCCAAAGGGCTTGTCCTGACCTGCAATTCTGAAGTTTTGACAAAAGTCGTAAGAACAGATCTTTTTAAGAGTTACCTGTGTGGATGAGTAATGCCCCACAAATAGCCTTGATCAGGTAGATGGTTCAGGTGTTACCATGAACCAAACATATCTTCCAAAACCTTGACAGGCAATGGCCCAACACCAAGGAGGTGTATGATCGGGAATGTGTGCGAATGGAATGGGATTTCAAAATCCAAATTTACTCACACTGTATGTCTGTAGCAAAGATGAAGTGGCACCTGCTTAGCTAGAAGTGTCTATCTTTATTGAATTATCAAGTGTCTATCACCTGATCATCATACTTGGTGAAGGGGTGATCCAGTTCTAGGACCTACTCCGTCACTACTCAATTCAGATAATTGTCGGCAATTATTATTTATTGTTGGTGGCGCTTACATACTTGGGGAAACAATCACTTGACATCATGTTAACTTCCCTCATTCTTTATGATTATATCAACATCCAAGTTTACTCTCCATTATTTAATATTTGTTCAGAAGTCCTCCTTTTATTCTTTGTCATACCATGTGGTCCTGTATCCCATAAATTAAAAGTTTTCCCGTCAAAATGTGACCCGACCATAACATTGATGACTCATTGACACACTTAATGTTTGATTAATTGATAAAAGTAATAATAGACACAGATAATATATAAAGATGGATCATTCAATGGATGATGAACAAACAACAACAATAACAAGTTGTCAAAGTCATAATAAGATAATGGAGCTTGTATGTTTTGATTGCAAGTTGTTGATGTGTCCTGTTTGTTTGGTTGTTAGTCATAATGGTCATAAGATAGATCATGTTGATAGTATTAAGCAGAGAATGGAGAAGAAGGATTATCAGGAATTGTGGTGCATGCCAAGGTTGACTCAACTGTGGAGCACGTTGACTCAGTGTTCAAATACCTATCAATCATTACAACGTACAAGTTCAGAGATCACCAATCACTTTGAACAACTTATAAAGGTGATCATTGCTCAAGAGCACAGGATAAAGACACCGATCAACGAACAAATGTCAGTCATTCAATCAACAATCAAAGAGATCATCAACGAGATTAGTGATATCAATCATACATTACACATGCAACGACCAATGACGACAACACACACCATCAACAACCTCGATGACAATGAGTACATGTCTCAAGTCACTCAATCAATTACATCATGTACATCCATCAATCAATTCATCAACAACATGGATGAAGTGATCGATGATGTTGAAGTTGATGTTGAATGTGATCGATCATCGCACAAACTCAGTGATGATGAACTGTTGTCGCTGATCAATGATCAGTTACAACAACCTGTACAACGACCACCTTATCTAGAGCCTTCGTCACCGCATCTTCAAGCATGTCAGATCAATGCAGACACCCGCTTATTGAATGCGATCAAAACACAGCTCAAATCATGCTTCCATATCATTACACCCAAGCTGCCTCAACCAGAGGACGAGGCAATGGAGAGGGCAATCGAAGCATTCTTCAAGATCCCTTCACTTCAGAACTGCTCACGCGAGGAGTTCACGAATCGTGCCTGCTCCCACTTCAATGATCAACATGGACTTAACGTCTTTGTCTGCTACACCGCTCATCAATGCGAGCATTACGATCGCCATTTCCACTTCAAGCTAAGATCAGGATTTATTAGTGGCCCAACTGGATTCGATATATACGTTGGCGTGCCTGGTCGCAGTCCAAACATCATGGTTGGTACCAATAATGGTGATGGAGGATCGATCAACTGGGGATACTCTGGACGTAATTGCAACAGAGATGGTATGACTATCAAGTTCCTGTAGAGTAACCTTTTGGTTAATCGATCGATTGATTGATCATTTATAAATAGTTGAAGTTCACCAACTTGGATTCATTTCCAAGACTAAATCAGTTGCAATATGTATTTGTAATTAATTAATTACAACAACAATGTAAGTAAATCATGAAATATTTCAGAGGTTGATTGATTGAATGTACATTCACAATTGTAAATACTCATCTTGTTTACTCTCCCTCCCTCCACCCTCTCCTCTCTTACAGGGTCATGTAGGTCAAACCTTCGGATATAAGTATCGTACTTGTACATGTACAGATATTATGGACACAAGTAGTACGACTCCATTATGAAGTCACTACTGGTGTTAGTCATTAGAGACGGTCAAATGTTCGAATAAATAATATACGCGTGGTCGATCGTACATGTGTGTGGTTATTTGTGTGTGTTTGTCTTTGTCAGAAGAGTAACACACACAAGTTAATGAATTACTATTTGGTCTTTGGTTTTAGCGAAGCAAGATCTTTCCAAGTAACATATTTCATTGTGAATACAACAAGCAACAACAACAACACTATGAAGAAGAATATATGTATTTTTATTATTATTTTTTCTTTTTCAATAGCTTCAACTACACAAACAAAGAATAATAATAATAATTCAGGATATTATAGAGCTGCAGTGATTGAATATAAATCTACAATTACAATTGATCCAAAATTAATTAATACTAGTTTTATACAAAATAATTTGGATGATTATTATTTAATCACCAAACAAGCAGCTGAAGATGGTGCTCAAATAATTGTATTTCCAGAATATGGTCTATATCATGGTGATTTCTACCGTGATTCAATGTTACCTTTCCTCGAGGTAATTCCCGATCCATCTTTATCTTCTGATCCTGTAAGTAATATTATTTCACTGAATAAATATTATATAATATTAACAAACAATTCAAATAGGTAATACCATGTACTTCAAATATATTAGATAAAGAATTACAACTCCATTCACTTAGTTGTACCGCAATGAATAATTCAATTTATTTAGTAGCACAGATTCCTGAGGTTGAATGGTGCGATCAACTTAACATTTCCGAATGTCAACCAGATGGAAGGAATCAATATAATACATTAGTAGCTTTTGGTCCAAATGGTCAGGTATGTAATTAGTTTCAATCTAATAATATTTATTTTTGAATATTACTAACTATTCATTAGATGTTAGCCAAGTATCGAAAGACTCATCTGTATTTTGAGAGATCACTTCAGGAACACAAGGCAACAGCTGTTACATTTGATACATCATTTGGGGTGACCTTTGGCATAATGATATGTTCCGATATCAATTACAAACAACCCCTTGATATGATATTGGCAATGGGTGTTAGAAATGTAATACTATCTTCAGCTTGGTACAACTTTAGTTTCTTGTCCGCAATTGAGATGGCACAGGCTTGGTCTTATCTTAGAAAGAGCACTCTATTGTTATCTGGAATTGGTTCATCCTTTGAACGGAGTGGTACTGGCATATTCTCCAATGGAGTTATCTTGGCTTCAGCTTACAATCCTACAACCATTTCAAGAACACAAATATTAATAATAGATGTTCCAATAGATCCTCAGAAGGTGGATCCAAAAGAAACAAAGATGATGGATAGACCTTTTGATCAGATCAATCAACTTCCTCCTGTATTTCAGAATCTCTCAAAGGTTCCCAATGCGCATTGTACAACAGTTGGATTCATACCGAGACCTAATGAACATGGAATATTACATAGTAATAGTAATGGAATGAACTGTACACTAGAGTATACAACTGGTGTCCAAGTTAACAACAGTCTCTTTGGACTCGTGAGCTTCAAAGGACCATTCAAAGGATTCGATTTAGAACTTTGTATTCTTATTCAATGTGATAAACATCAACTGGAAGGATGTCAATCAATTAATTTTGAGGTTAGTTTCATTCATACTTATCATATTAATAGTAGATCAACTAACTCTCTCTACCATTGATATAGAGTTCAACAGTATTCACATCACTAAACATAAGTGGTAACTTTGAAACAGATAATAGACAATTGTTTCCAGGAATGGCAACTTATCCAAATGGCAACTATCTTGGAGAGTATGTCAACCAAGATACTCACTTCTCTGCTTCAAACATTGAACATCCCTTGATATCAATGCATATGAGGTCAATGAAGTGGGTCGACAAATGATCAATAACACCGAAATAAATTCAAAGAATGAGCAAATGGTCATCACTGGTGAATGATCACAAAATCAGATATTTGTTTGAATGGTCATCACTGATTAATGATCAAAGGATGACAGTGTTGAATCAATCATACATACATGTAAACAGACAATGATAGATAGTAGTAATAATTATAATAGTATACATGCAGTGTTTCATAATCAAGTGTTGTGCAGATTGATCTTTAATCATGTTAGCGATATACATAGACAATGGATCAAAGTACCATCGACATTGATAAAGTCAACGATCAAAGGTGCCAAACTACATAACAATGGTGATCTAATAGAGATGTTAAGGTACAATGCATCTCATATGCTCATCAATGCCTACAACAACATGCCCAACATCAACAACAATACAACAAGTTACCTTTTAAAATGTAACCTATTATTATACTCTTCATTCTATAATAATACAACTATATTCAAACATATATGTACATCATCATCCAACAACAACAACAGCAACAACCCAAGCATGTTTATAAAGGTCACCAAGATGTTATCAAACATCTTGTTTCATGGCAATGCAGATATACTCAAACAATACCTCGAGATCAACCCGTACCGTCACTTACCAAACAACAAGGTGTCGAAGCTGCCTTATGCCGTGGACAGTGGCAACGAGCAGTGTTTGCGTCTCTTTCTCCAACACCTCACCATCGATGACGATGCCAAAGATCGAGTCGATTACATAGCCTTCAAGCGACCTGGGGTCAGCGTTGGCATTCTCAAGATACTCCACGAGGAGTTCAACTGTCTCTTTGCCTTCAAGGAGCTGTGGATGCCAGTGCTGAGACACTCCATCCACCACAACATGGTCGACAGTGTCAAGTATATATTGGATAGAGCGCCAGACAACCAAGACCTCAATGTTCTGATTTCTAGCCATCTGATACAATTCGCCAAGGACAACAATGTCGCAATGTTTGAGATATTCAACAAGTCAACATTTGGTGCCAAGTTCATCAAGATGGATGATTTTGGAAGGTTGATCAAAGAGGCCGCGTCCAAAGGTCACGAGTCCTTCATTCAACACTTGCTCAAACACCATGTTGGCAATGGTAACATCACCATTTCCTCCGAAGACATGTTGAGCGAAGTGATGGACTTGACCCTGGGCAAACTTCGTGTCACAGGAGTTATTGCCTTGCTCAATAATGACGTCATGAATGCCGAGTCACTCTTGGACGAGATCGAACAACTGGACAAGGAGCATTGTCTTGAAATGTCCGAGGCGATGGCCTTGATGTTATGCTCGCCGCGTACACCTCCTAAGACCTTCTACGAGAACACTCTGCCCAATCTGATCGACGCCATTGGCAAGCCTGGCAGCAACATCACCGAGGACATCGTCTGCCAGTTCATTGTCAACTGCAAACACTCAATGCACAACAACTATCCAACATATGCCCATTCAAATCCCATCAACAACGCTATGAAGTTCGCCGCCTGTTTCTCGGCTCGGGTGATGCGTCTGCTCCACGATCAACTCGGTGCAGAATATGAGCATTCTTATCTGAAGGAGGCTATTGATAGTAATTGCCGTGATACATTGGCGTTGCTATTTGAGCACATTGACAAGACCGATCTTGACCTCGGCCCATTTGACCAGGAGGTGTTCCAGTACATCACTCAAGCATCATTGGACGACGTTATATTCATCCTCACTCACATGGATCAGATACGCAAGAACCCAGTAATCTGTGAGCAGGCCATCTACAATGACGACCCGAGTGTGTTTGAGTACGTGGTTGGTTTGTTCACGAATGAGCAGCTTGAAGGAAAGGTACTGCATCGCACGATCAACCAGTCACTCACAAAGGACAGGCTGGACATTGTCCTACTGCTGGAGGATCGTTTCAAACGTCAATTTCTCAGACCTACTCTTGACACATTTGAATCAATGGCCCTAAGCAATGCATATCGTTCACTCGAGTACCACTTCAACTCATCGACATTCACCAACATGCCAATCACTCATCGTCTTCGAACCGTTCACTCAATCAAGGATAAAGCTTATGATGAAGGTTCGACTCGAGTGGTCAAACTATGTGATGATCAGATCAAGTCACTCACAATCCAACAACAACAATCGTAAGTCATTCAATCAAGTTCAAATATGTTCATACTTACTCATTCAATCAATCAATCAGACAACTTCCCGTTCAGTTATCAATTGAAGTACCTTTGGCATTATTCTCAAGTCAATTGGAGACAGCAGTACACGCGGTGTTTGGTGACAGGAAGCTTGGAATGCACATCATGGAACAGGTTGGACTGGTTCACAAGTCACTTGGTGCCAAGAGTGACCAAGTGATCAAGGGTGCCGGATTGATCGGCAGTCATTCATTGTCTGATTACATCAAGTATGGTGCGACCGAATGGTTCCTCAAGGCATACTCCTCATCAACATCCTCATTAGATCGTGACACGATCCAGAACACAGTATTGCTTGGAATTGCTTTCAACAAGTGCAACTCACATGTGATTGATGTGCTGCTGGACAATCCAATCATGACTCTACTTGAGGATGACGACCTAACTCATTCATTCTTCTGGAATGTATCATCGTGCACTCATCCAGATTGGGAGAGGATGACTGAACAATACCTCATGATCAAATTCCAGAGCGCTCCATTGGATCTCGACAGTGAGATTATATCAATGATCCAACATCCATCATTCCTTCGCAAACTCATTCAAAGTGGCGCCAAACCATTGGCACGACCCAGTGAACCAGAGGAGTACATTGACAACGTGACAAAGGGATGGCTCACCAAGCCATGGGCATTGGAGATGCTTGAACTGCTCATTCAACACGAACTCTTGAGCTCCGACATGATGGAGCAGTTGAGTCTCAAAGCAATCGAACTCAACATAATGTCAGTCGTCACATACTTGATCGACTTGTATCAAGCACCACAGATGGAGGAGTCAAGGACAAGATTCATTACAAATGTTATTGTAGGCTGCTGCAGGCATGGTCGAGTCGAGCAATTAGACCTTATGCTTCCATTCATCGAAGCAAACATTGACCAACATTACCAAGATTGGATCACAGTATCATTCCAGAGTGGACATGTCTCGGTAGTCCAAAGAATACATGCAGTCATCATGTCCAATGTACAAAATGACTCATTCAATATTCTGGATTACTTGGACGTACCCTTGGCCAATGGTCACATTGACTTGGTCAACTTCATCCTCGATCAAACAACTCCCACAGGAATTTCAGGCTTTATTGCAACTCCTTGGCACGAAAGGTCCAACGTCAAGGAGGTCCACCATAGTATCTTGTCAACCGAGTTGGTTGGGCGATTGCTGTTATATCGACTCCCACTCCTAGGCAGTCTACTGGGCTGCGCAATCAAAGCTGGCAACAGAAACGTGATCAATATGTTGAAGCATGACGTGAAGTGTGCGAGAATCAACTTCAACTATAGATATGCACTTGGACAGGCATTGCATGCTGGAGATGTTGACTCGATACAGTGGATCATCCAACAGCAGTCAGGTATCATACTATATGAGTACGATCCTCTAGAGTTTGACAAACTATTTGGCTCACTTATAGAACTGATTGTTGAGCCCACCAACATCAATGTCACAGAGGAGGTGATTGTCATGCTGATCAAAACACTAGACAGAGATATGATATCACGCAACATGTCCAAGATACTCAAGATTGCGGCTTCTAAGTCAGTCGCGGCCATCAAGATGGTAATCAAACGCTTCACAACCTTTGACAAAGGTGATCGAATCAGTGCCGTACACCAGTTGTTGACATCAGAGATCAGGGAAGTGATCAATGTCAGCATGAAACGAGGCGACTTTGATTCGATTGAGTATCTACTCCATCTAGCGCTCACTGTCGCATCAGTCGCCATCTATAGGGAGAACAGACATCAGCTCCAGGATCTCATCAACTTGGAGCACCTCAACGGACCAATTCTTGCACAACTCCTAGACAAAGGATTGGTTGGAGTCGATGGCAAGTCTGATTTACTGGCAAGAATGGTCGATTGGGCTTTCAGTGAGGGCAAGTTGGACATCATCCAACTCGTCCACCAACGTTGCAACACTCCAGAGCAGCTCAAACGACATCTCCCATCAATATTCAACATCCTTGACACAGCACTTAAGAATCATCACAATGTTCTTAGTTATATGTTTGAAGGCCATGCGTCTGGAAGTGGTAATCAATCAACAATAATCACTCCATTCAAACGAGCTATGGTCGAGACGGATATCGTATCATTGCTCAAGGTAGTCCGATTATGTAATTGCTCCAAGGATGTCAATTTGAATACAGTGGCAATGTGCGATCGGCTCATAAAGGACCATGATGGTACTACATTCAAATAAATGCCTGTTATTTATTATTTGTTCAATCTTTTATCAAACATGAAACAAATAAATCGCGAGCGCCTACAGGGTCATCATCATTGAGAAGTGTCCACTGATCATCTTGGATTGAGTAACGATAGTTATGACCAGTGCCACTAATACGAACGATGCCATACGAACGATCATACACCAATGATCGATAGGGCTTCCAGGTTGGACACATTGTCAGATTGGTGGACTGGAGGTTCAGCATATTGAGTCGCACGAATGATTCAATGTTGAGCATGTAAAAATTGCCATCATTGTCGAAACAACATGTATCTTCAATTGACATTTAGCCCTGGTATGAGTTTGGCCACTCAAGTCTTATCATTGAAGGATTGAGAATTCTCAATATTATCGATAACATATAGTGACTTGTCATAGAATTGTATGAGCGCCAAGCTCACTGGCTTAAGAAGCCGTCCAACATGGGTGAATTGTTGTGTTTCAATATTGAAGCAGTCTACTCTATCCAATTTTTCTTCTTCATATGTTCTTCCACCACCAACCAGGTATATATGTTTGTCACCATTATAGCATACTGAGACGTATTGACAACTTTCAATTCCTACAATGTCCGACTCGTAGCACTTTTTCTCTGCCAAGGAGTATCTACTGAATCTTCCAGGTGAATTCCCACCAAACAGATAAATGTTGCCACGGGCATAGACAACCGACCTGTCCATGRAGCTTGTATTCAGGGTTGATGAAGAAATTGTCGACTTGTGTCCATTTTGATGTTTCCAGTGAGAACAAAGAATAGTTCTCGCCAAAGCATAGGATATGACGATCAAGTTCGTTTCGCATGTTGGTCTCTGGAATAGGCGGAGGTGAAACCAGTTTGAAGGCGGATTCAATCTTCTGCTTGACACCATACAACTCTTTTTCATCAACGACCACACGGTACAACTGAAGTCTCGTCGCTGTTGCATCATATGGTTTTGCCTTCCAATGTTGAATGTGACCACTGATCAATGATAATAGCTCATTGTCACTGAGTTTATCAACAGTCTCCTTCTTTACTGTTTGGAAGTGAGGGCCTTCCAACAGCTTCGTAATGGACGAACATGATGTTTGGATTGATTGAACATATTCAGAGATATCATCTTGTTGGTTGACGTTGTCGTGATTGTCCTTTGGATGTTGATGGTTGACAATGTCTTTGACATCTTTGAGCTCACCCATAATGTTGTTTATAGTTGATTGAATATGGGCCATCTGTTGGTCGATTGGTGACATGAATCTGTGCTCTTGGGCCACGACAATCTTGATCAACTCTTCAAAGTGGTTGCTGAACTTGGACCGTGTATTCTTCAACTCTTGATAAGACTCGGTGCACTGCTTCAAAGTCTTTAGTAAATGATCCAACCTTGTTGCGCACCACAATGACAGGTAGTCCTTCTCTTCGATACCGGCTTTGATACTAGCATTATGATCAGTCTTGTGACCATTATGATTACGTACACACAGCACAAGCCAATTTATTACAATCAATACAAATGAACACTGTCCTCATGTTGTGTATAGTACAAGTGATTGGTCGTGGTTGTATTACTTCATTATTATTATTATTATTTTTATTATTATCAATGTTGACTTGATTAGAGTCTATCATTATTATCTCTTATCTCTATCTCTTAGACTTTGTAAGAATGAATAGGCAACAATGTACACAACTTATTTATGGACATATGCATTCATTCCAGATAAGGTTGTTGTGGGGGACTAGAGATCACTCAATGTGGGGTGACCCCCTACACATTACCTAATCTGGTACCAATTTGTTATCTCTATCTATCTATTATTATCTACTGAACTTCAAGACAATCACCTCGTCTTGGGCATCGGATGATGAATGAGCGCCCATCCATTGTCGACGAAAGAAGTACCTCAAGTAGTAGTTTGTACTCTAAAGTATGTATGAGTGATTGATCGATATATACATATAAATAGAGATAGACATTATGGAGAAGAACAAAGAATTGAATGAACAATTTGCTGGAGCTGAGCACGCGAGAGGGAGTAGTAAGATGTGCGATACTCACAATAATATGAATTCAAATGAGTTCATTTGTTTAGATTGTAACTTGATGATATGTCCAATATGTTTGGTTAGAAGTCATCATGGACATAGGTTGGATAATGTAGCCAATGTCAAACATTGTATGGAGGTGAAGGACTACCAGGCAATGTGGTGCACACCAAGATTGAATCAACTCTGGACAACACTTCAACAATGTGCTTCAACATATCAATCGCTACAAGAGACTCATACAGAGATAACAGGTCACTTTGAACAACTGATCAAGGTGATCATCTCTCAAGAGCACAGAGTCAAGTCATCGATCAATCAACAAATGACCCACATTCTTTCAACGATCAATGACATCAACAATGAGATACATTCACTATTCAATCAAACAGATAATAACAACAACAACAACAAAAGCAACAAAGAAGTGTACAGTGATGATGACATATCCAACTTGATTCAATCAATCACATCATTTACCTCAATGGAACATTTCATCAATAACACTATAGCACAACAGAGTATGATTGATGTTGGACAGCTCAATGATGACCAGTTGATGTCAATGGTCACTCGGCATACTGAACACATTCAACAAGTGCCGTATGACGATGAATCGTTGTCCAGTTTGAAATCATTCAGCGTCAACACCAATACAACCAAGCTCAGCAGTATCAAGAGACAGATTGAGGAATGCTTTGAACTAGTCGAGTCGACAGGAGAAAGTGACACTGGCCTTGCCAATGATGTGCCTCACAAGTTGGACGGTCACATCATGTCAATGAGCGGCAACAAGTGCTCATTGTTCTCAATGGAGGCATGTCGATGGACCGAGATAAATGGTACCTTCAACAAATCATTGGGTCGAGTTGACACATCAGCTGTCTACGCTCGCGGAAGTGTCTATGTGTTTGGTTCAGCCTCGGCAACAAAGTATGTGCGATACTCATTGGGCGAGAAGAAGTGCTACGAAGGTGATATTGTTGGAGTGTGTGGCGATCAATACTTGGCCGTGTGTTATGACGGTGACCATAACATCTACTTGGTCGGTGGACGCGTTGGCGATCGTTTGGAGGTGTCCACCTTTGACATTGACACCAGGTTGTTCAGTCAAGTTGGACTGTTATCGCTGCCATTCATCTCGGCACCAATATTCTACTACCAAGACTGTGTGCACATTGTCGATCAGAACAATGGCATCGTATCATTCAATGTCAAGACCAAGGCGATTGACTATGACTTTATGGATCTCGAGCTGGATGAGACCAACTCATGTTGTTTCGATGGCGAAGGCAATGTGTACGTACTCACCCAGGACACATTCACCCGATGCTCAATGTCCACTGGTCGATCTACCAAGTTGGCAGACTGTCCAATGGAGACACTATATGGTAAATTAGTCTATGATAAAGTGTTTGGAATCTATTACATTGTTGGCAGAGGTGGCAACTATCGTTACTCAATCAAAAGCAACAAATGGAAGGATCTTGAAGACGGTGACCCAAGTGCAGAGAGAGGATCTTACGGAATGTGTTTGATACGTGACTAACTTGGAGAAAGAGGTTGAGCAATCCTAAAGTCTCAAGAGACTACCCTATTCCATTGTCCCAATAATAACAATGATCATTATCTCTACAATCCCAGAATAGTTTTGGGTCAAAATTTAATAAAAGTAGTTATTATTGTTGTTAAATATAGATAATATCTTCTTTATTGATTGATGATGTCAATCATCTAGTGATGTATGTATATTTTGGAACCAATATTGGAACTGACAGAATTGAGGAAGTCTCAAAGATGAAAAGAGACAGTATCTCATGAGTGTGTGGTCCTGATCTAAAGTTGGAAAACACCTAAAAATAGGATGTCAGGTTTTTGGAAGGATCCAAATTTTGATCAAAACCCAAACAGAGTTTTCAAATTGTTGATTGACAATATCTATAAATATTAATAGACAAGGACAATTGTTTAATACATCATCAACAATCTAAATAATAATAACCAATAATCAAATAATAATAATAATATTAATATTAATATTAATCATGCGTGTAAAATTACAATCAAAATGTCCATATGTTGTATTTCTTTGTTATCACGTAGTGAATGCATGTGGATGTGATCGATGCAAAGTCTGGACCAAGTGGGAGAACATTGCCATTGATGGAATGCCTGGTGCCAAGTATGGACGCTCCAAGATCGATGTGTACAACTACACTGACGTTCGCAAAGTGTGTGAAAAGACTAGTATTATGTACGCCCTGATGCCTGAGGGCAAGGAGAGGACTGCAACCATCCATGACTTCAAGATCAACTTTAGCATGAAGAACAAGGGCCGCTATGTAATTGCCACTTGCCAGGTTGCCGATAAGGAATGCTCGGTCAAGATCTCAACCTTCAGCCAGGGTGATGTCAATGCAAAGAACTTCAATGATGCGATGGAAGCTCAGAGGGTGAGACAGCAGGCGCATCAGAAGCAGATGATGCAACAACAGAGATATCAACAAGATATGATGTATAACAATGCAAGGATACAAGCAGCCAATGCCCAAGCCAACTTTTACAACAACCTCAATCAACAATTAGATGATGATTATGATTATGAAGATTAATTAAATTCAATTATAATTGATCTGATGATCTACATTATCCTTAATAAATTATTAAAACTTGTTAAAGTCATGACTCGAGAATTTTGAATACTTGGAAACAAACTCTTATAGACTTATAATCAAATGGCGTTCATTCATTCATTTTTCAATATATAATAATACTTTAGAAGAGATAGATATGAATAATAATAATAATAGTAGTAGTAGTAATGATGGTGATAATTTGGCTGCTAGTCAAACACAACCAATGGTTGGTATGGAGCCTAAATGTTGTAATATGACCAACAATATCACTCAATTAATATGTCTTGATTGTACTCTGATGATATGTCAGTCATGTTTGATCAAGTGCCACAGAGGACATAGATTGGATTCAATTGATAATATACAACGTACATTTGAAGAGAAGGATTACAAAGGAATGTGGTGTAGTCCAAGATTGAATCTATTATGGGACACTCTACAGAAATGTTCCAAATATTATCTAGAGCTACAACAGGTACATCATGAAGCCAATGATCAATTTGAACAATTTATCAAAGTGTTCATGTCTCAAGAACATAAGGTAAAGTCTTCAATCAATCAACAAATGAATATAGTTGGATCAATAGTCAATGAAATAATGAATGAGATCAATGATATTACAAATATACCTCATCTCCATCTATCCCAAAACAACAATGACAATCCAATGGAGGAAGATAAAATATCAAATCTTTTTCAATCAATTTCATCAAGTCCATCAATGGATGATTTCATCCGAATATCAAGTCCACCTTTATTAGATTTATTACCATGTCTTAGCAACAAAGAGTTAATATCAACTATTAGCAAACATAAACAATACATTGAAAGTTTTCCTTATGATGACCAAACAATATCAAAGTTATTGGAACCATCATTCAAATTCAACTTTAAAAAGTTGATCACTATCCAAAAGGACTTGGAACATTGTTTTGATACCACCGGTAACACTAAGGTACCTCCAAAGAAAATGCCGGTTAAACCAGTTGCTTCTCCCCAACCAAAGAGAAATATAGTTAAAACCAAGTATCATAATCATATAGCCTCTATTATTGGAAAAGATATCTCTATGCTCTCACTTGAATCTTCAAAATGGACAACAATCAATGATGCTTTTCCAGGAGATATTTCTAGTGTAAATTCTGTTACCTATGCTCAAGGAAGTATCTATATTTTTAATGGAGGCAGTTGGTATAGATATTCACTAGTGGATATGAAATGTTATCAAAAGGAAATTCCAATTGATTGTGGAGTAAGATTAGCAACTTGTCTTGGTAATGACAAATATATTTATATAGTTGGAGAGAACTTCAACTCATTGGAGTTCTCCAGGTTCGACATTGAAACTGAACAATTCATACATATAGGCAAAACTCCACTTTTCACAATGACATCTCCAATATTCTTCTACCAAGATTCGATTTATTTAATTGATTTGAACAATGGTATTCTATCAATTGACGTAGAGACAATGGAAATAGGACATCAATTTATGGATATTAATATTCACAAGTTTAACATGTGTTGTTTTGATCAAAGGAATCAAGATATTTACATCATTACTGAGGGATCTTTCTTGAAATGTTCCCTAGTGTATGGAAAAGTAAATGAACTAGTTGAATGTCCCATGGAAATCTATTACGGTAAATTATTTTATCATGACGAATTTGGAGTGATTTACATTGGTGGAATGAACTCAAACTGTAGATACTCAAAATCATCTTCCAAGTGGAAAGTTCTAAAGGACAATGATCCTATTAGAGAGAGAGCTTATTTTGGTGGATGCTTGATACAAAATATTTGATAATAAGTAATTATAATTATAATTATTCAAATTTTCTTTTGAAGTTCCAAAAGTGTTTTTAGATCTATTCCAATCAGTTTTATTAATAAATTAAAATGGTTATTAGAGTACTCTCGCTTAAACTTTAATATTATTAATATATATATATTATAAATGGATAATAAAGAAGAATTAAAAATGGAAACTTATTCAATATGTGACATTCATAAATCTAGGATAAATGAATTTATATGTTTAGATTGTATTACTTATATCTGTCCATTATGTATGATGAAACAACATAATTGACATATGTTGGATACCTTTGATAATATAAATAATCAGATCAAAGAGAAGGATTATGAATCAAAGTGGTACTCCCCAAGATTGAATACACTTTGGAAGACTCTTCAACAATGTGCCACATCATATAAGGATCTTCAAAAGAATCATATTGAGATAGTTAATAGATTTGAACAAATAATCAAAATGGTTATATCTCAAGAGCATAAGTTGAAATCAATTCTCACAGATCAAATGGATGATATTAATTCTATAGTTATCAAAGTGATGATTGAGATGTCTCAACTTACTGGTCTTCCTTTAGATATAGATAGTGGTATCAACCCACTTGATCAAGAATTATTTGATAAAGTTATTGAATCAATTATATCCTCACCTACAATTAATAACTTTATTTGTAACCAATCAATATTTTTGGATCATCAATTGGAAGATACTCAACTCAACCCCATTCAGTTATTATCTATTCTCCAACGTTGTAATAATAATTATTCAAATAATACTTTAGATAATCTTCAAACCAAATTGGTTACTATCCATTCAAATAGATTGAATTCTCTCAAGAAAATCATTGAACAATCTTTTTCTACTGAAGAAGTTAAGACTATTCCTCAACCTCCACTTACTCTACAGGAACTAAGTTATAAGTTTGAAGGAAATATTGTAACATTCAATGGTCGTGATCTTGATTTTTTTTCTCTTGATTCTTTAAAATGGACAACTATCATATCCCCTTTCAATATTGACCTTCATAATGTTGGAATTTCTGTAGCTTACGCCTTGCGTGATCTCTATGTATTTCGAAATTATTCAAACCAATATATTAGATTCTCATTGAAGGAACATAAGAGTTATTATTATGAAATGACTCCAGATATCCGAGGACAAGTGATAGCTGCATGTTATAATGATCACAATGACATTTATATAGTAGTTAATAATTTAGAATATCTGGGTGTATTGGATATCTTTTCCCTAGATCTTAGTACAGAAAAGTTCCTAGAAGTTGGAAATGTTACTATCTCATGTCTATCTGCTCAAATATTTTTTTGTGACCAGACTTTATTCTTTGTAGATCAAAACAATGGAATTATCACTTATTCTCTTCCCAATGGCCAAGTTGATCATGTATTCATGGACTTGGATTTAAGTGATTCCAACTTATGTTGTCTAGATGAATTAGAGGAATCTCTTTACATACTGTCCAAGAACAGGTTTATTAGATGTACCTTCAAACCTGAAGAAATTACATACTTAGAACAATGTCCAACAGACCAAATGAATGGTAAATTATATTTTGATAAAGTATTTGGAATTATTTATTTCAATGGATCTGGTAAACATTATAGATACTCAATCAAAACAAACAAATGGAAAATAATCAATGACAAAGATCCAATCAAAGATCCATACTTTTATGGTGGATGTTTGATTCGTGATGTTTGATTAATTGATTGAATGTTGAATGATTGATCTTCTTATGGACATTGATGTCCAGGACCTAGTTCAAGTTATATTAAAATAGACAATAGTGTTATGTTTTTTGAATAATAGGTATTACTGATCACTAATTCATCAAGGCAAGTTGATGTTTGTACACACAAGAATGTTATTCTCGAGATAATGTTTATTACACAGCTTCCTCGGAAGTAGTTGTTGTGGTTGTGGTAGACGTAGTGGTGGTGTAGGTCTGCTTGGTCTTGGGCTTCTGTCGCTTGCCATAGTTGGATACAATCTTCTGAAGTGGTATCTCCTGTAGTGTCTTGTGATTGTTCATTGAGATCTCACGGAAGGTGTCGACCTCGGGTTGGAACTTGGCGCCAGCGGCCGTTGCCGAAGCTGACGTGGTGGACAACAACTCCTCCTCAATGTCCTGCGAGCAGCTGGTGTGCATCTCCGAGATGGGTGTCATGTCGATAGACTGTGATGATCTGCTGCTGCTGCTGGTACTGCCGCCAGCGCTGTTCATCGAAGCGGAGGAGTGGCGTCTGATCTTGTCGATCTGCTCGTTCAAGTTCTCGTAGCCGTCCTTCTGCATGAGGCGCATACGCTCGCGGTAGTACTTGCTCTTTGACTCCCATGTGCGTTGACGGAAGAAGCCGACGACGATGCAGCACAGGATGCCCATGCCGCAGAACGATGGTAAAATGATTGCAAAGGCTAGATCGGGAGCCATCAATGTCAGGAGGACAGCGACAATCACATAGATGATTGTGGTTATGAAGTTGACCAGGCCACTGATCCACTTGACACGACTTGGTGAGAACAAGAAGAATGAACCAAATAGCCAGAAGAAGGGGACGAAGAAGCCAAAGACAAACATGGTCCATGCTGGGCCAAGGCCCATCAGACTGCAATAAACACATGAATCGTCATGGCTCTTGTGCTTGCCCTCCTCAGACAACATGAATGACACCAGATCCTGCATTTTGTTCAAGATTACATGTTGATCTCGTTTGCCATCTATTTGATTGATTGGTGTTAGTACTTGGTCATCACTCATAAACTACTCCACTCATACATACCAATCTTAACCTTGTTGATCTCCTTGTCCATCTCGACAATGTGGTCTTGCTCGCGCTGAAGTGTACGTCCAATCTGTTGAGTGGCACCAATGTTCTCCAGGAGGAGAATTCTGTCGTTGACGACGAGGAGGTTGGGGATGACTGTGCCGTCTTGGAGACGGACCTCGCCTGCCACTGTGACTGCGTTTGGTATCACCTCCTTCAACTCTTGAGCCATGAAACCAGTCTCGCGCACTGTGGTGCCAGCGGGCAGCTTGCCGGCGCCATGGTTGGGCGCATCGTAGCCGACCATCTTCTTGCGGTCGTACTCGTAGAGCTTCAGCTTGTCAATGTTGGCCCAGTGGTTGGAAGTGTCGCGCTGGATGTTGGTCTTGATCCTGCGGTCGGACGGCTTGAACAGGTCACCTGTGACCAGGATGTTGCCATTGACTGACAAGGCTTGGGTAGGATTGGTTGTATTGATACCCACCTTGGCGTTGGTGAACACGACATCGTCGGCATGTGGATGCTTGGACCATGGTTCAGTCTTGATTGTGTAGGGCTCCTCCATTGGGACGAACTGCTGTTGTTGTTGCTGCTGCTGGAGAGGGGGTTGTTGCTGAAACTGCACCTGTGCCTGGCCAACTGTGATTGGGAGTTGTTGTTGTTTGAGAAAAAGTTGTTGCTGTTGGAGGTGTTGGAAGGGGATGGCGTTGGTATTTACATCTTGTTGTTGTTGTTGTTGGATGGCCGAGGCGACTAGCACAGGTGATTGTGTTGGCACGGTAGTTGGTTGTGCAACAGAGTTGTTGGGAAGCATTGAGCCATTATGATTGAATGGGTTCATCATTCCCTGTGAATATTGTTGTTGTTGCTGCTGCTGCTGCTGCTGGACGGCGTATTGAGGGTTGGTGTTGCTGTTGCTGTCTGACTCGCTGCCAGACGAAGACGTGGACGACACCATCGATGAGGTCGATAGACGGATGTTTGGTGGTCCACCAGCTTGGCCGACGCCAACACTCTCAACCACAATAGTTGGATTGCCTGATTGTTGTTGGTTTGGGTCATAGCCGAGCGAGTGATGGTGACCTCCTCCACTGCCAAAAAACTGGGCAGAGCTACGTCCACTGCTGCTACCGCCACTGCTGCCTCCACTGCTGCTGCTGCCACCACTTCCTTGGATACTAAAGTGGCCGTTGAAGAATGAGCCGCCTGCACCATTGGGCGATGCTCCCGAGTCCCGTTTGGACGACTTATCGTGGTTGAGGAAACGACCAGGGTTCTGGCCACGCACGATCATAGCCGGTGAGATCTTGGCAAGGATGGGGTAGAACTGCGAAGTGGGCGAGGGTGGGGCGGTGAATGGCATCTGTGTGGAGCTGGCTGTGTGCAGCTGGGCGTCGACCACGGCGTTGAGCGTGACAACGATGCGGAAGAACTGCTGGTTTGGATTGGGCTGCTCTGGATGGATGCGGGCGTTGTTTGCCGTGGCCGAGCCAAACTGTAGCTTGGTCCAGTTGGACTTGCCCTTGAGCACGGGGCAGGCTTCGACGGGCAGACGGCCGTCCTTCTTACCGCTGGCGTTGCCCAGTTGGTGGATGGGCACGCGGTCGCTCGGGTCGTTGGGGATGTTGGTGGTCGTTGGCGAGTTAAACTTTAATACATAGAGAGTGAAGTAGAGTCCGGACACCTCGGTCAGTGCATTGGCATCGTTATTTACATAGAGGAGATTGGAACGATCGGTGTTGTTCCAAGTCTCCAGGTAGCCAGTCAAGTCGCAGTCCACCTGGAAACGATTCTGGCGGTACAATATCCAAGCCGAGTCTAGTTCAGAGAACTGAATATTCTTATCTGTCCTCTTAACCTTGAAGTTGAATGATCCAGTCCTAAATATTGATTGATTGAGTTAGTGTGTGATCCAGACATCATCATTACGTGATCAAACTTACAACTCATTCTTTGAATCGAACAGTGTGTACAGCTTGCTGTTGGTTGGGTAGTAGCTCTCCCATTCGTCTTTGGGTTGGATTTGTTCAAACTCGCGCTTTAGTTTGCGTGTGGACATCGAGGGGGAGGATGGGATGGCAATGTTGGGGTTGGGCTGGAAGGCATGTTGCATGTGTCCATTGCCACCTTGTTGTTGCTGCTGATTGTGATAGTCAGCATTGCTTAGTGGTGATGAGTTCGAAGTGGAAGGTGACATTGGACTCGAATGATGTTGTTGATGATGTATATTACTCGAATGATTATTGTTGTTGTTGTTGTGGTTGTGATTGTGATGTCCATTGCCAGTGCCATTGTGTTGTGCGTGTGTAGAGGAGGATGTGTGCGAGGGAGATGGCAGCGGTGAGTACTGCTGTAGTGGCGACGATGAAGAGTGGTGCGAGGCAGATGGTGGCGACGGTGAGGAGATGTCGCTGGATGGCGTGGCCGACACCACACCATTGCCATTGGCGCCATGTGCGTGGTGAGCGTGATGGTTGTTGTTGTTGCTGCTGGACGATGTGCCAGCAGATGATGGCGTGTTCGATATATTGTTGTTGTTGGCCGAGCTGCCCAGAGTCATGATGACCTGGTCGTTCATCAAGGGCTTGGCCTCGCCACTAAAGATGTTGTTGAAGAGGTTCTCGTAAGAGACGGAGAGGGGTGCGGCGTCTTCGTAGGCGCCCGCGTACGTGGTTGGCGTGGTGGCTGTTGTGTTGCCTGATGGACCTCCCGCGCCACTATTGACCATCTGTTGAATGCTCATGTTCTGTGAGTGCGTCAACATCGAGTTGAGTTGATTGTACGATGAGGTCAGACTGAATGGTGCGCCAGAGCTTGAGTTTATGGGATTATTATTTGATTGGCCTCCAACTGTGTTTGACGATGAAGTTGAGCCGCCTGTATTATCATTCATTGTAGTTGTCATGTTGTTGTTGTTGTTGTTGTTGTTGCGGTGAAGTTGATGTAGTTGATGTTGATGAAGATGATGTGGAAGTAGAGGTGGAGGTGCCAAGGGAGACGCGCGGAAATGTGGCGTGGTCGACTTGGGTATTGAGAAGAAGTGTGGGTGGAACTGTTGTTGTTGTTGATGTTGTTGTGGTAGGACAAAGGATTGGGGTTGTTGCGGTACTTGGAAAAAGGTGTCTACTACGTGCTGTTGTTGTTGATGTTGTTGATGTTGATGTGGTTGTTGTGTCGGACTTGACAACAGACTATTGACAGCGCCAGGTTGTCTATTGATCTGTTGCTGTTGCTGTTGTTGTTGTTGTTGTAGTAGATTTAGAAATGATGATGTTGACGAAGTAGATGGTGATGATGATGAAGTAGTGACAGATTCTACAAGTGGTGTTGCGTTGGCTGATGAAGGTGATGATGAAGTGTTGTTAAGTTGTTGTGTACTTGTAGTCGATGGTGAGTTTAGACAATTGAATGATGAATGATGAGTTTGGCCTGGACTATTGCTATTACTACTGCTACAACTATTGTTTGATAGTCTCTGGATGCTGGGCTGCGTGTCCCTGATTACCAAGTGGTATTGATTGTTGTTATTGGTAGACGCGTTTGGTGAGGGGGTGGTGGTAGAGGTAGAAGAGGTAGAGGTAGAGGTAGTATTGCTAGACGAGTGTGAGGTGGATGATGAAGTGCTTGCAGTTGTGTTGTTATTGTTGTTGTTATTATTATCAGGTTCGATTAGTTGATATTTCATCTGGTTGTGGTTGTGGTGCTCTTGTTGTTGTTGCATCATTGAGGCCTGCCTAAGCTTTAGATAGAGATGGATGGATTGGATGGATGGACCAGGGTAGGGTGATGTCAGTCATTCAGGTCATTTAGTCATTCATTTGTCGTGTCGGCGAATAACAAACCACACACACGATGCACTCAAACACACACTTCCCACACTGTTGCCAAAGTCAAAAAGACATTGTTTTTCACCTTACAACTGGGTGACAATTAGTGAAATTGTAACCACATTTGGACAACAAAGCATTTGGCACCCTATAATTGGGGGTAGTGGGTGATTGCAGTGTGTGTGTTTTGGAACCACTAATATGGACCGAGTTGTGTAGATGAAGCGACTGGTAGTGGCTGACTGTCCAACTGACGCACAGACACACTCCGCCTTCAATGATTGAATGAATGAGCCAATGATAATAATAATCGTATTTTATCACATAATAATAAGCAACAACGTGGTCTTGAAAAAGGAAGGTTGATCGGGACCGTTAATTTAAACATAAACAAAAAGGTGGTGGTGGTGTAGATTTGGGGCGATTGGGTAATGGACAACAACTTGTTGTAAATGGTATAAAGTGTACACATTATTGTGCAGGAGGGTACTCAAAAAGTCCATCCAATTCCATAGTTACCCTATCGGGGAAATTAATTGATGATGGTGATGGTAAACCGTCATTCCATTGTTGTTGTGGCGGTAGTGCTGTCCTGTTGACAGGTATATTAATAAAACAATGTCCCCTGGGGATACTGTTTGGCAATGGTAACGTCAAACAAGGTCCCGTATGTGGAGGACTTTCCAACTATGGTAAATAGTTGGACACTCGCTATCCTCTGACAGTTATGATCGATAGTGGTGTGTTTTTGTGTGTGTGACTTTGTCTTGGTCGTGAATAAATATTCGAACTTGGGAATATTACCTTTTGATGTTGAGACGTATCCTTGCCTAAAGTGTTGGATGATATTGATGTTGATATTGAGTTGGGTATGATTGAGGTATATATGAARGACGACTCAAGTTCAACTGACTTTCAAAATTAGTGAATGAGTGGACTGAATATCAATGATTGATTGATTGATGTGATGAATCACTTAAAATGAATGAATGATTAAGTAAWTTCAAGTTGATGATGATGATGTTGAAGATGATGATGTATAATGTATGATGAATAATGAATGAAGTTGTTATAATGATTAATTGAAGATGTGTTTGGGTTCCAAATATAAAATGGATTGATTGATTGATTGATGGTCCAAGGTCTGGTCTGAAGGTTGAGATTGTTCTCACTCTCTAACTCTCGTGTTTAATTAATTAGGAAAGGCGCGTTTGGATGGTTGATTCAATTCAGTCTAGATATATGGGTGAGCTGGGTGGGGCATCCAAGCGCAGGAGAAGGGGAGGAGAATGGAAGGAATGAAAGAAGGAAGGAAGGTAGGTAGGTTGCTGTTGTTGGTATTCATCAGCACCAACTTATAGGGCAGGTTTATTTTGATCGAGACAACAGCTAGCTGCAAACACATTGCTGTTGTTGTTGAGACGTGCGCTGGCTACTACATACCCGAGTGTACCATGCCGGTCTGCATTCGTGGCGGATGTTTGGTTTGATGATGATAGATGATGGTGTGTGTGAGTGTGAGGGAGTGAGCGTAGTGACACATCAGAAAGAGGAGTGCGGATTGGACGGTGAGCAAATCCAAACTAGCAATATCCTATTGTATCCATCACCATGGTTACAACTGTTGCTTAATATGTGCTAAAGTGGTTACAGACTTGACATGTTGATCTGAGATCATTGTTCATCAGAGGGGTGTGGTGGGGTGAGGGCAGCCAAGATTGATTCTGTTGGAAATGATGGCCCGGCACTAAGGGTGCACATGGGGTGGTGTGGAGGAGGCGATCATCGCCTGATAAAATCAATATCCTATTAAACACTCTCTCTCACTCTCATCTAATCACAAACAAGATGGATGGATGGATTAAATTAATTTGTTTGTTTGATACCAAACAGTCATACTATCATATCCCGGGAGGGAGGGACTTGACACAGCCTACATCTTCATCAACAGCAAAGCAACAACAACAACAACAATAATTCTATCTCCACACTTGTACATGCACAACCGGGACCATCCACCAATGTTCAAAGGTCAAATCCCCACCTCCAATAAGATAGAACACAAAAACACACACACACCTTCATTCAACCGACCACCCACATATATGATCAATCATTCACCGGACCATCATGTGAACACCCTCCCACACACACACACACACATATGATCAGGATCTTGATTGATTGATTAAGGTTGATGGCGTAGGCCACACACCAATGATTATTCCAAAGCATCATTATACCTCTTGGATGGTGCCTACCGTACTGTTCACTCGATAAATCAGGATAGATTAGAACAAATGATTGATTGTCAGTACATCTTGAACCATCTGATCATCCCAATATAATTACCCGGGAAATTAGGTCCAATCCTCCTCTTGTTTACATATCTTAACCTACTTCTGTCCTATTAATAGCATTCCACATCTTTTATCCAATCCAAGATCATTCATCATTGAAAATTAAGTATTGGATTGATGATGTCTAAGTTAAGTTTGAGTTGTTGTCCTCATCACCAACCACTTGTTGACAATGATACTATAAGGTTATACACTAATTCATACATTACTAAAGTAAGGTTTATTGGGTTATATATGTACAATATGTGATCAGGCCAGTAACTCTCGAGTACTGACACACACACATGGAAAGTTAGTAGTTGACTAACTTGCTGAACTTTCCATCGTGAAGTGGGTATGGTTCGTATTCTTTCTCCTTGGGAGTGTACTTGTTGTTGACCTCGGCATCGGTGCGAACAGGTCTGAAGCGTAGCTCGACTAAACATTCTTTGTTGTGTGTTTGGATGATCTTGAAGTGGATGTCACGGGCATTATATTGATTGTTCAACTCTTGTACCACTTCAAAAAGGTCCTCAACCTTCTTGTAAAAGTCCTTCTTTGTTGGATTGTAGGCACCACGCGATAACATTATTAGGGAGATGACCTTGGCCTTCTCGGACTTGGTGACACGCAACTCGTTCAATGCACTAATAATGTCAGAGTATTCCTCTGGAGTCAATACACCGTCCAACAATGTATTGTACTCCCTACGGAAGCCACAGTAGAATCCCCAGAATGGTGACCTCACTGGTTTGATTGCAATGGTCAACAAGTTTGGGTCATTTGGGCTCACATCCATATCCATTGAATTGTTCTTTACATGGTCTTGTCCAGACACTTGATCAAAAGTCTCTTGTTCCTTCATGTGCATTATTATTATTATTATTAATATTATTAATAATTATTATTTGAAATAAATAAATATTTTTCTTTTTCAAACTCTCTCTCTTTAGTTTATGCTACAGATAATATAGCATTGTATATATATATTAAAGTTATATTGAAGATGTTATCAATTAATCAAACTATCATAGTATCTCTATTTATGTTTGATGAATGGTGCTAATGATCAAAGTGAAACCACACCCTCTTGGATTCCCAAGCGAACCCCTTTTCGGTCCAAACACCCACGACGCATCACAAATAGATCAATCGCTCAGGACTCTAAGCGACCCATATCCAATCAATGACTGCCCTGGCGAATGATGAGTACTGGGTATGCCCAGTCACCGTTTCAGACCTGGACGCATATGAAGTGTTGTTTGACATTTAATGTAGTGGATGAATGATTGATTGTCCCATTGATTTAGAAGTTTGAATCAGAACCGCCTTCGCTTTGCTTGCTTGGCTTGACCTCATAGATTGACTTGTACATGTCCCTGATGAATGTGTATGGCAAGTATTGCTCAAGGTTATCCTTGTTCAACAATGGACAATCAGCAGTGAACTAAGATGTTGAAGGGGATGGGATGGTCAGGGTAAGTATGATATCATGATTGATTGATTGAGTGATACTTTACCTTCTCTAGGAATATAACAACAGAGGGTGGATCATTTGGTAGATGCTTCTGAGTTGGCTTGAACATTCTAAGAAGTTGGATTGAGGAGATCTCGAGGAAACGTTGAAGATTGACAACAATGTCCGCCTCGTTGGCTGATAGACTGTTGATGGCACCAATGGCAATGAGTAGGTCGCTGATGGTCTTGGAGAGTACGTGCGTATTGTTGGAGTATCCCTCAATCGATGTGCGGAAGAAGGCATCGCGCCAATAAGTGCTGTTGAAGCACACGGCATACATGACGGGCAGCTGCTCCCAGACGCGCTTGTCATTCTCTGTGCACAGCTTTCGCAGGAATACCTTGAGGTACTGGTCGGCGACGCTGACGTCCAGTCCCGAGTCCAGGGCCAACGTGTCCACGCCCAGGAACTCTGGGAACATAAAGGTGTTGCGGTTGTACTCCATAAAGGCTGCTTCGACTGTCTTGTGAATGAATGGGATGTTCTCGCTGTTGTTGGCGCAGACAGCCTCGCGCATCATCTCACGCAGGTTGAGCGCGTTTCCAATGGACATTGATCGCGAGATGAAGTTATCGAGATCAGCCTGTTTGAATCGCTTGAGTGTGTCGATGCCCTTGGGCTTGTAGTAGTTGCCAGAGTACTCCTCGAGTGCGGCCAAGTTTGACGTTAGCAGGTCCTTGAGCGCGGTGGCCTGTGTCAGGACGTGGCGTAGCAGTTCGCGCTCCACCAGCTTGACTCCATAGGGTCCGACCATGTTTGTGAACGCTCTAATCTCGACAAAGTCGCAGTGGTCCTCGGCCTTGAGTGGTAGGCCGGCACGCGAGAGGAATCCAAGACGGCCAGGCGAGTAGACAATGCCCAGCTGCGACGATCGCTTAACGATAAAGTCAAAGTAGTAGTTGGTGAATGAGTGCATGGCGGCCTCGGCGTACTCAATGTCGCCCTGGGGGAACCAGTCGATGCGGCCACATGTGCCGAGGGCCTTGGCGTAGAACTCGGTCAGGAGGGTCTGACGGATCAGGTCGCCAATGTCAATGTCGAGGTAGTTCTCGACCATCACGAGCACGCCTAGGAACACCTTGAGCTGGCGCTCAATGATTGATGGACGATTGATGGTCGACGGGTCGGTGGGGACAGTCGGCGCAAGGCTGTGGCGCATGTAGGTCTTGAGCGTGGCGCCCAGACGCTCGCGCAAGAACTCGCGTGGCACAAACACATGATCGTATACAACAACGTCGATAAACTCGTTCAGCGCGTTACACAACTGGAATGCGTTCTTCTCAGTCTGACGCAGTTGCTCGAGGTTGACGCGTGCACGATGGATCGACTCTGAGCCGGGTTCGACTGGTGGCACAAAGTCCTTGGGTGCCTTCCACTCCTTGCGCTTCTGGAGCATTGAATAGGCTGCGTTCACATCGGACAACTGTGCCTCATTGCTCTGATACTGATTGGCCACGGCGTTGGACAGCGCGTTGACAATCCTTGAGGAGATCTTGGCGAGGTAGTTGGAGGCGAGCTCAACACACTCCTTTCCAATTTGCTCCTTCTCCTCGGGATAGTAGGGCGTGGCTACCTCGAGTGGGAACTGCGACAGCAGTCTGAGGTAGATCATTGATTGAGAAGGTTGGTCAAGTGAGTCGGCCACGGCCACGTCAAATGCAGCAGTGACTGCATCCTTGAACGACCAAAGACCCGACATGTTGGCGTAATGCTCCAACATCTGGTCGAGCTGATCGACGTTCAGCGAGTGGATGTAGATGAGGTTGAGACGGCTGGTGAGCTGTGATGACTCTGACTCCTTGAGTTGACATGAGCTGTTGAACAGCAAGTACTCGAGGCTGCACCATCTGTCGCGCCAGCTCTGGAAGTTGAACTCGGTGCCACGATTGAAGGCGTCCAACGACACTCCACCCAGCTCGCCTACAATGCTCGCGAGCAGCTCGTTGGCTTGTGGGCTGAGCACCTGAGTGAGCTGGGGTGTGCCTGCTACCTTGGCGATGCCTAGCGTGTCGGCGCCAGCAATGTACTCAATGTAGTAGCTCTGAATGATCTTCCTGTTGGCCTTGACCAAGTTGACCAGGTGGTAGCTGTAGTAGAGCAACGCACTGATGCGCCTGTCGCGAATATCATTCTGTTTGTTGTGGAACTTCTTGACCTTCTCGGGTGGCACCGAGTCCAGGTGGCGGAAGTACCAGAACACCTCCTCCTTGGCCAGCGACAGCGCCGCCAACAACACATTGATCTTGGGCGCCAATAGACATGGCTTGTCGCGGAATAGGTTCCACATTGCCTCGAGCTCCTGTCTCAAGTAGATCCTGCGCTCATGATGCTTACGCTGTGACTCCTGTGCAGCGGCCTGTGCAGCCTCTGCAATCACCTTCTTCTGCTTCTGCAACTGAATCGTCTTGCTCTTGTAACTCTTGAACAAAGCGCTGTACTCATTGTGGACTGCGAATGACTATGATTGAGTGATTGATTGAGTGAGTCATGTGATCGATCAATCAATTATTCTCGAAAGACTTACGATCTCCTTGTAGACGGGCAAGTTGTATCCCTCAGACAAGGCAAACTTGACTAGCTCGATTGAGTTGGGCGTTGATAGGGTACCTGGCGCGACAAGGTGTCCGTAGAGAATCCATTGATGGATGCGCGAGGCGTATAGCATGTCGGTGCGATATTGGTCTTGAATGGGACGTGCAATGTCCTCGGGCTTGAGGATGAGATTGAGTGCACCGTCGCGACGCAATTGTGTGATGAAGCGACGCTTGGCATAGGTAGGCTCGAGCGATGCCAACACCGTGCCAATCGTGTCGTTCAGCACTCTGAACTCGTCCTGGATGCGCTTGACGGGCGTGTCGCTGTACTCAATGAGCCAGCGGACGACGCGTGCATAGTTGGGCTCGACCTGCGAGCGCTGGTGCTGGATGAGTCGCGCGTACACTGCCATCACAACGCGACGATCGTTGATGTTTGACAGCATGATGTGGAGCTTGGTGTAGATGACGACCAGCTCTATAAATATCGACGCCAGCTGGATGGACGAGGTGAACCTCAGCGCGACGGTGTGTCCGGCGATCTCCTGCAGCAGCTGGAAGGCGGCCTCCTTCCAGTCGCAGGCGTCGACCAACGCCTCGTAATGGGGCTCCAAGTCCTCGATGTACTGTTTGGCGCGAGTCGTCAATAGCTCTGCGCCCTGAACCTTGTCGAGCTCGGGGAAGTCTGGGAACTTGCCCATCAAGTTCTTAATAGCACGACCAATCTTCTCATCATTCAAGAATAATGGTCTTGTCTTTGCACTCTGCAACACATATCTTGAAGTATGTAATCTAGTGAGCAGCTGTTCACCATTCTCCGTCAGCACCCTCAATTTATCGGGTAGTGTCGTGTACAACATCTGATCTGTCTCTGTCTTTGATTGATTGATTCAAATATGATTTGATTATTATTAATATTATTATGACTACTAATTGATTGATTGATTGATTGAATATATATATATATGTACAAGTAATAATAATATTTGTATAAGTATTAGTTTGTGTAATATGTGTGTGTGTAAATGAGTGAGAGTGAGGGAATGATTGATGGCGGGAGTGAAGTTATACACTCAAGGTTGGAGTGGGGGTAAGGTGTTTATTGTTTTGATCGACTGTGACGACGATCGTTGAGTGGCATGGTCCGATCTGATCACTCTGATGAGATCCAAGGTTTGCCTGTTTTTTTGCTCTAAAACTTAACCAAGTCAGGAATTGAACTACAACTTCATGAATTTCACAATGCTGCGCAATAAGTTCACTATGGAGAATTAATCAGAGGTATATACTCTTCCTCAACTGGATCAGTCAAGTGGATCTAGACTCTTTGTATGTGTTGGACGAGTCTACTTTCGAATTAAAGAGTATGTTATTCATCAATATATGCACGCCGTTGTATGTATATACTAACCATATCATACCATAGAATGGAGAAAGGTGCTTGGTGCTACTGGCAATGACCAACCTATTCGAGTGAACCCAGAGTGCTTCAGAGAATCATTTGCCATGATGGCTATGATCTTGATCTGTTGGCACAATACCTTTGATGGGTTTTGTCCATATGTTCTCCTAGTTAGGCTGGAATAGATCCGGGGGGTATTTAGACAGTGGGCTTGAATTAAGACTATCGTAAGCCAGTGAGCGACTGAGTGATAGTTTGAATGGGTGGCAACACTTTGATCAACTGAGCAGAAGGCTTACACAGTGCTTCTGATGACTTGAGAATCATCGTTGATCTTTCAAGTTTGACACTTAAATCATCATTCTTGCTAATTGTAACCTTATACGAAGATGATTGATTGATGGATGGATTGGAAGTTGAGATGAGATCGATCTTAAGAGGGTAATGGTCAATTTGGACAGGTGTCTGTACACTTGACTTGCTGACTTTCCAGTTATAACATATTCTCCCTTTTGGACAAGTGTGTAGGATAAGTAACGCAACGATCAATCAATCACACGACCCAAACACACACACACACTCATAAAGATAAATAAACAAACACCCACGTTGCATCACATGATCAAATGGGAGTAGTGCGCACACTTGATTGGAACATGTGAGGGATAGATGGAGGCATATATGTTATTGTGTTGATGGCTGATCGGCTAAACAATGGGATTAATTGAGTGAATAAGTGAATGAATAGATGGTGATGTGGATTGTACACCCGTGGACGGTCCTTACTTCGCAGTATGATTATCTTTGTGTTGTTGAGTCAACCTCTAATCTACACATTATAAATATCGATAGTATTCAATTGATCAATTAATTAATGTATTAATAATAATTATAAATTTATTATATAGTTTTAATCAATCAAAGTGGAAAAGATGGACAAAGTTGGACTTCGATTCCTTTTTTTGATGTTGTTGGTTGTTGTTGGAGTCAAATCAGCATTTGTTGTTGAAGGTTCAGGTGATTATGTATTTGCATATACTTCCGACTTGGTATATAATAGAAGGAACTTTACAGGTACATATGAATATATATCAGTTGGAGGTCTATGTTATGAATTCATACATGAAGTGGACCTATTCAAAGACACCAGAGTCATCATATCACGTAGTGTACTTGCCAAGACCATCATCATCTCATTCAAAGGTTCAGATACACTATCAGACTTTATAACTGATGTTAGAGGAAGTAAGTAGTATTCACCTTTATTCATTCAAAGACTTATTCACTCATTCATTCATTCATTCATTCAATCAAACATAGACCAAGTAGCATGTCCATTTGACTCTGATATCATTGATTGTGGACTTGTACATCAAGGATTCACATTGGCATACCTAAGTGTACGCAATGATATCATAAACTACATGAAGAAGTTGGATAATAGTTATGATGTCTACATCACTGGTCATTCACTTGTAAGTATTTGAATGATCGAATGAATGAATCAATCAATCAATCAACTAACTAACAATGATGATGTATATGTAGGGAGGATCACTTGGAGTACTTGCATTGGTTGATATATTGAGTGCAATGAGGAATAGTACATTGGCAAAGGAATCAATGTCTACGATTAACTTGGTTACATTTGGTCAACCCGCAGTCGGTGATATAGAGTTCAATCAATTCATAGATGACAACTCACATCTATTCTCTTATCGTCGTTATGTCAACTATGATAATGAATCAAGTACCGAAGATCCAGTTGTCAATCTTATACCATTCTATGAGCATCCAAATGGTACTCGTCCAATGACATTGGCATGCAAGAAGAGTTGTCCGAGCTCAGTCAATCCGCTCGGTCTTCACTCGCTTGACCTTTACAAGGAGAGTCTATACTCTGGCAACTACTCGACATGCCGCACCAACTGTCGCTTCACCGAGAAGCGTTCAAGTATCGTGTCCTATCACTCAATGTACTGCATGGTCAGTGCCGAGTCGGAGATCATAGTCGATGTCTCGGGTGACGACCGATTCAGTCTGTGTGTGCTGAGCGCCGACGAGTTCAGTCGATACAAGTATCAATCCGATCGTTCGTGTCATGTTGAGGGTGCCAATCAGACGACTGTTACGCCGCCCGCCAGTCTGTACACGGGTGGATTCAAGTCAAGACAATTGCTAAACTACTCTGGCGACTCATTCGTTGTGGTGGAGAACCACAACAAGATATTCCCAGCATTCTCTCTCAGCTATGACATCTCCCTATCACAGTTCATTGCCCCAGCAGACCCTCCAGCAAACATCGATGTCCAATGGTTGATTACACCATCAAATAATAATGGTAGTCGATCGATCAATGGCACTGACACTGGAAATGGCACTGCGAGTAGTGGATCACCACTACCAACAATGAATGATACATTGGAGTGGACTATAACATGGGAGGCACCAAAGTACTTTGGAATCAGCACGTCAAAGTCAAACAGTAGCAATATACAATATAACATATACTTCTCGGTCATTGGAGGCATGTGGACACACATTCACTATATCGAGCCTATTCACATCAAGTCGATCAACAAGACTGTCAAGGGTATACCTTTCAATAGGTATGCCATTGTAATGACTACCGACAACTCACTGGAATCACATCCTTCCAGTATTATATACATTAACCCTTAGTTAATTGATCAGCTGGCATAGTTATCTGATCAGCTGACATGTGTCAGCTGACTATACGGTTCTCAGCTGACTTGTAATAAATAAGCGGACTTTATTACCACCTATCCGTTCCATTGGCTCAAACCTTTGGAATCGATCTACTCTTGAGTATGTACACTTGACTTTCCTTGACTTCGCGACTTGATTGAAGTGACCTTTCACAGTCGCTTCGATGTTGGAAGTGAGGGGAATCTCTGACGAGCTATAGTTGATGCTATAAAGTCATTCTGCATTCGCCTTGATGTTGATAGTTCTTCAAGGTCATAGGTGGTGGGTGGAAAGAAGTCGGCACAATGTGCAGAGTTCTCCATGACATAGGTCATGACTAATGGTGACGAAGAATTGAGTAAACCAAGTGAATGCCAAGGATCAATCAATCCATTGGAAAAGAATGAGTGTGTCCAGAATGTTTTCTTATTCAGCCATTCAACCTTTGGTTGATAAGGTTCGCCATCCTCTCTCGGTCCAAATATATCCTCACATCTCTTCAAATACCAAGGTAATGTTACCATCGATGAGAACAACTGATTAGATTGTTGTGTAGATCCATCGGCTGTTTGACTATGTTGAGTACGAGTTAGTGACGATGATTATGTTTGATCAATGGAGTTGTGTGATTGACTTACAAGAATCCAAACTCGTTACATGTTTGCCATGTCCAGGCTCGAGCTTTGATGAACTTGGCATTGACTGAAGTGTTCCTGAGTAGGTCGATGAGGCCAAGGTAGTTGGAAGTAGTACATGGTTTACTGCTGAATCGAAGGTACTCTTGCATGTAGTTGGCAAAACTTCGAACTCGATCCTCTCCATTCCTTATCATACTGCACATCTTGTCAATATTGAATCGTCTATATCTATTGTTTGCATTATTATATTGTACGATCTCTGTCACTGACGATGCCAATGCCTCAAAGAATGTTGTAATGTCATCGTCCGTACGTATTGATGAACATGTTTTAAACATTGATTCAATCACTCTACGATCGGATGTTTGTAATATTGCAGCAATGGTTGTTGTGGCTTGAGCTATGGCCGATGCACACTCTGCACCCAATGATGTTGCGGCACTCTCATAGTATTCGGCAAAGTTTGCCTGTACCTTTACAGGAGCTGACGATGATATCGAAGCATCAACCAAATAAGGATACTTCAATCGAGTCCAAGCAGCCAACACTCCGCCATATGATCCACCGAACGCAATCCATTTGTTTGTCTAAGTAAGTCCAAAGATATTGGTTGTTAGTGAATGAGCAAGGGGGTGGGGTGATGGAATCATTCCAACTTACAAATGCTCTATATTTGAATGAGATGTAGTTTCGAAAGTTGGCAATATCGGCTAATGCTTGATCGGAACTTAGAAGGTCGAGGTTGGGAGTGGAGAGGTCGGGAGTTGGTATTGATTTTCCATAGAATCGATGTTCGATGGCGAGTAGTAATGCACCGTGCTCTCGTGCATAGTCATTGATGACAAATTGACCAGTGACATATTTTGATGTGATTGGGTTCTCTCCACCGATGATCAAAAATATTGGACCGGCCATCTCGCGATCCCAAAAAGTATCATTGACATAATATTGTTGTTGGAATGTGTCACTGTGGAACGAGAAATGGTCCACGGTCTGAGTGAACCATTGGGCTTGATCGCCCGAGTTTGTGGACCATTCATCATCCAAATCAGTCTCGATCGCTACCTTTGGTCCAACATTATTTTCATAATCTAAAACATCCTCCATATCCAGTTCATGAGTGAATGACATCACACATCCACCGGTAGTCAACATCACCAACATGATCCAAAGTAGTAGCCTATCCATCCATATATGTGCTCGGCGCCTTTTGATTAAAAATATCATATCTATTCTTAATTATTATAATTGATTGAATATATATTAATTAATTAATTAATTAATCAATCAGATAAATGGGGTGGATGATAATAATAAAATATAATAATAAATAAATAAATAATAAATATTAGTTGTTGTTAATAAAGTTGAATTACCTTTCACAATTATGTAAATGATGATGGCCAATCCAGGACTTGTATTGGAATATTCCAGTCCTCCACGATCACACACCTCACCTCTTCACCGTTGATAATCCACCAACTCCAGTGGGTGGTGCTCCTCAAATTGGTGATTGACCTTTGAACTTGAGAGCGTGAGATAGAGATAGAGAGGGGGGAGGAAGAAGAGTGTAGCAGCAGTCCTCAGGTAATCATGCTGTCCATCCCAATATGTAAAATGACCATCGCCAGGTGAATGAGTAAGATGGTCTGTGGATGTGTCAAAGTGTGTGAGTGAGTGATGAGGTGAGTGCCACTTGAACGACAACGATGAGAGAGGGGAATGAATGAATGATTGAATGAATGAACTCGTGTCGATCTGGTCTGATTGATTAATGATGGTCAGATGTTGTTCAAAACAACCTCATAAAGACACGCATTCACCATGGTTCTATCCATCATTCATTCTCTTCATCGATCTCTTCATACTACTCCACACACACACATGTTCAATCACAGCCACACACACACACACTACGAAAGTCGACAACCAAAAGTTGTCACTCACTTCAGTCATTCTTTCACACACTTATCATGTGTCAAGTTGACGGAAGTCAGTGTGTGTGTGTGTGAGTAGGATAGTGTGGAAGTGTGGAAGTACGACGTCGAAGTGATAAGGGGCATCATGATGTCGTTGAGGGCATGCATGTCAAAGTAAACACAAGGGTAGTCATGACTTACTTTGGATCTTGCCAAGAAGGTGATAAGTGGTTATATATATAACAATGATGAATAAGATTGCCACTTCTGAATATACTCCTCAATCGTTAATCAGATTCTGACGTTGTTGTTGAACAACAAACAATGAAGTTGAAAGAATAATCGATGAGTGAGTGTGACTGAATGTATGACTGAGAGAATGTAAGTGAACATCGATTGTTCAAGTTCAATTTCGTGTCGTTTCTAAAGTACGATCCCATCCATACTTACTTACAACGAGTTGAGTTAGCCTCAACAACAACAACTAAAATTGATTGATAGCTAACTACAACGTGCGTAATGATAGAGCTCATGTTGTTGTTTCCTTACCTTAGTTTACTGTTTAACAGATGTGTTTGTCAACAACAAGAATATTATAAAGGACCATTATTAGTAACCAACGAAGTATGTATATCATATCGTACATATATATTATTGCTCAACATATCTGGTTGGTTATTATTAATTAGTTGTTGTTCTTGTTATTGCTCAAGTGTGTTCAGAATGATGACCATTCTCGAACAATGACATGTTCAAGCTTCCGAGACCAAGCAAGATATTATTTTAATTTTATTTCAATTGATTTGAATTGATCACCACACTCATTCACTCTCTCTTCAAACAACACAACAAAAACACACACAATAAACACACACGAGTTGTTCAATGTGATTAACTTTCATCATCATCGACTTCATTTAATTACACATACAAACATACATACAATAAATAATAACAACAATTAAATACAATAGACTCTTTTGTTAACGATATAGAGTGACTCAAATAGGAGCTCACATTACAAATGTCAAAGAAGCAACTAAATAATGACAATGATGACCATACCAACACTAAGAGTATTTTAAAGAGTATAATTTTCTATTCATTCAAATAAACATGTATGAATTGATAACTTACATACAATCAAACAAACAATCAATCAATATAGGATCAAAGGGTATAATGATGTCAAATGAACAACATCTACAACAACAGCAGCAGCAACAACAGCACACTCATTATGTTTACGATGATAATTATGATGACGATGGTGATGATGAGATTGAACTCATTGCACAACAACATCAACAACATCAACATCATCAACAGCAATACAATTCACCTACCTTTGTAAGGTTGCCTCAACAGCCAACAGAGGGACCAATCGAAGAGTCATACATACAGCATCAGCAACAACAACAACATGTAGTTGATCATATAAGAAGATCAGCTGATGTAGAGTTCAACAACATACCATTGATGATACCAAACAACAATAACAACAATATGTTATCACCAAAGAGAACACACAAACGATCAAACTCTCATGGTCCATCGTTGCTGCGCACTTCAGGCAACATGATGCAGTCACCACCGATAATCGTCTCACCTCAGCCCATGATGCCAACACTTCACTCTCCACCCAATCGTCAGATCGTCTCGCCATCAATGTCACGCAACTCCTACAGGACTTGGTCACCGTCACGTGTTCGCAAGAGCAAGTCTGGCACTACAATGGAACAGATCACCAGTCAACTGCCAAATATGATGATCTCCAGCAACATTGCTGCCGGAGGTGGTGCTGTGACCACAACATCGCCCAAAGACCTACACGTCATCTCACCGGCTCTTTCCCCACGCGGTGGAGAGCATCGACGTACCATCTCTTGGGAGGCACCCATCGAGGGTGAGTCACTGGAGGCACTCAACCAGTTGATCAAGGAGAAGAAGGATGCTCTTTTGCATCGCGAGCGAGAGCTTCTGCAACAACAAAGGATGCTCAGTGAGAGTCTCAAGTATGCAGGTGATATGCCAGTTGGTGTGATGCCCAACCCACCAATCACATCACTCAAGTCCAAGCATAATCGATCAAAGTCCGACACCAACACCATAGTCAAGTTGAACCAGATGAAGAAACAGAATGAGGTATGTTATCGATGTTCACATGAAGCTTTTGATTGATTACTTACCACGCCAATCCTACAGCAACCTGGCTACAACAGTACATCTAGCGAACAACAATATCAACAATACTTGTTGCCCATGGCTGTCAAGAGTCCAAAGACAAACTTGACTCCAAATGAGTCAAGGAGTCCTAGACCTCATTCAACTCCAAGACCAATCTCAAAAGAGTACAATGAGTACCATAAACAGCAGCAGCAACAGCAGCAACAACAACAGTCACAACTGTATCCCCATGTAACAACAACTACCACAACGACAACAACATCCACCACATCGCCACTCACAGCATACTCGCGAAGAAAGTCAGTGGATCCATATCAGTTCGCGTCGTTAAACTCGGCGTCGCATCTGAACTCTAGGACACCAATTGGCGGCAGTGGCGGCGCAAGTTTCAACAAGCCGACGCTCTCCAATCAGTACTTCAACAATCTAATGCAGATGGACTTGCACGAGCTGGAGGAGGAGATCGATAAGGAGATCCAGCAGGTGATCCTGCAGACCAAGAGCATCGAGGGCAAGGTGGAGATGCTGGAGCGCGTGCGCTGTACTGCCCCAGACCCCTTGTTGATGTTGTTTGGTGAGAATTGCAGGCCACCCAATGTTCAAAAGACCAACAAGAGCAAGCAATCGACGTCCATGTCACCGTCCACTCTCTCGCCGGCCAACAATCCAAATACCTTTGTCACCTCACCATCCCTTGTACACTATCCATCCAATTCCTCCTCCTCTGCCACCTTCACCAACATCCCCTACGAACCCACAACAACAACCTCACACAACAAGCCAATCCACCATCACCATCCTTCCACACGAGGACCCGATCGCTCCAAGAGCAAGAACCTTTCCTCTGCCATCCCAAGGTCGTCGGCTTTCAGTCCACCACCCAGACCATAGATGATACATCATGTTCCCTTTAATTAACAAACAATTGTACAAGTAGACTTGATTTGATTGATTTAATTGGATGAGTTGGCTAACCTTAGACGATTACACATGTCGACGATCTTAAAATTGCCAATTTGTTTGGCAGCCAGTCCGATCAAAGTCAAAGAGTTGGCGATGTTCATTTTGTTGTGCTTGGATGCGCGTTTGAATGGTGAACATACACCGTGTTCAATGTCATCCTCAAAGAGATATGAGAGCACTTGATGATGATTGAAGCATGCTGCTTTGTTGATCAATATGTTGGTTGATGGCATGTGATTGAAGAGTTGAAGTGGTGTTGTGCATCGTTGGTGAATGGCCTTGATCACATCGACATGACCTTTCTTGCAGGCCCAATCCACCATTCGTGCTAGATAACCATTGGAGTTGTCCTCCTCGAGCTTGATATATCCCTTGTCCAAGAAGTGTGTGATCACTCTGGCATTGGATATCCCTGATGGGACGGCGTCTTGAGTCTCACATCCGGCAGAGATGACAAACTGAATGATCAGGTCCAATGACTCTATGTTTCCACTGAACTTATCGATGAAGTTCGAGATTAGTGTCTGGAATGAGGAAATGGAATCCTGATCATACTCTCTAGCAAACAATTTGTTTCTAGAACAATGATCAATGATTATCTTGACACGTGATGTTGAACTGCCCACTGATAACAATAAACTGGAGAGTTCATCTGTCTTTGACAATCGTTCGAATAACACCTTGACAAACAATTCAAAGTCGTCATTAATTAGAATGAATTGTTTGTCTGATCCAAGATATTGAATGAACTGATGTCTGGTCGCTTTCTCTGCCTTTTGGAAGTGAGGTGAGCTGATGGCCATCCTGGCAGTGTTGATATCACCAATGGACAGTGCAGCAATAAAGACATGTTGATAGTCAGTTTTGAACAATCCCTTCTCATTTCGTGTTATAAAGTCAATGATTTCATTGTTTCCAATCTTGATGGAATCGCCCAACACTTTGCCAAAGTCACAATCGATGCTATCGTTTGCCATCAATCGCTGAATGAGATCCATTGACAATATGGATGGGTTGATGCTGTTGACTTCGTAGATATGAGCATCGGTGATGTTGGCATTGAGGATGTGGTTGATTAGGTCCATGTTCTCATTATACTCAAGGGCTGTTGGTAGGGCTTGCATTAAAGTCCACCATTTCGAAGTATATTGGTCAACCAACAGGTTGAGGATATCAACGTTTCCTCTCTTTGAAGCACTCTTTGCTAGGTCATCTCCATCCAGCACTGTTAGGAATTGTAAAGGAATGTGTGGAAGCACCATGTTCAACGTTGATGAATTGCATCCAGAATGGAGACAGGATTCAATAAGTTCTGAAATCACATGGCTAGAGTCATCGTGATCTCCATCGTTGAGCCTCTCTACTACAAGACCAAAGCATGTATCCAAATAATATTGAATGACTGGAGTGTTGTTGAGTTTGATCGATTCGTTGAACAATGAAAGAAGCTCATCCTCGGACAATATTGATTTCTTATGCAGCAGCTGGAACATCTCCAATGCCCAAGGTTTGTTGAGCCATCCATTGATCATTAGCGGCACATCCGAATTGTCATCATCCTCATCAGTTGAGAACTTGAATCCAAGTTGGAGGAGTTTGCGTATCATTGATGGATGTCGAATCATTTGAAGCATTTCTGGCGTGATGGATATTAAATTTTGATCTGGACGCTGGAAAGTGATGGCCAGATACTGATCAATCACTCTCTCCCAATCTGGATTGATGCATGATGACATGTGTAATAATATACCTTCGACCATGTTAACAGAGGCTTGAAAGACCATCATTGGATCGGCGAGAAGAGTGTTCAAAATGGAGGTGTTTGGGTGGAGAAGTGCCAAACCAAGTAACTCTCCATTTGGAGTGGATCGATCGAGTGATGGAAGTGCTCGGTGGAACCATTCAGATGCACCATAAACTATGAATCTCTCCAAACTGTTGTTTGCAAGCAAATGACCACCTTTGATTCGTTTGTCCTTGTCAACACCAATATGATTCTGATGAATATCAACAATGTGATTCATTATCATTGTCATCAACTTCCTGTCAATGAACACTGAGTGTGCAGCTGTCTCCAATCTTGGTGTGGCATGGTTGGGCATGGCAACATTGCCAAAATTATCTCCCAGGTACGACTCATCATGACTCCTGTTTTCATAGTTAGTATTGGTCTTGATCCATCCAATACATATTTGATAGAAACGTACCTTTTCTTGTTGTTCTGGATGTCCTGGATGAGTGATGAACAATGATTGAGGATCCGTATGTTACCATTTAAGAGTGAATGGTAGATCATTGAGTTGAGTGTTCTCAATCGATGTATCTTTGGAAGACTGTTGAACTGTGATGTGCCAAAGTAATACTCTAGCACATTGTATCGATTGAGTAGTGCTAGAGTCTCAAGCCAATCCAGTGTGGGCAAGGGGATAGTACGTCCATTGTCCTTTAAGAGTTGAGCCATTATGCGCAGTACCTCTGGCTTATCCTTGTCCGATGCATGAGACATTATATCACCAGTCAACTCCATAATCTGATCGATTGGGAACAGCTTAATGACATGTTGGAACACTTCCAGTGATGGGTTGACCAATGCCCATAGACATGTTGTGTTATTCTCTCTGATTGATGATAAGTTGTCCAACATCATTGATACCACACTCAATGGAGCTCTTGAGATGAGTTCATTGATTGCAGTATCAACATCATATATTTGTGACAATTCTTCGAGTTGATCCTTGGGTGTTGATTGAATGATGTGTGACAGGACATCGTAGTTGTCATTCTGGATGACACTCATGAACATTTGCTCATTGATGTTATGTATCTTGAATGTGACAATGATATGCTGTAGGATCTTGACTGAATGTCGTGCTGCGAGGTCGAATGCTCTCGATATGTTGCCCATCTCTTCTGCAGGATCACAGTTGTCAATGAAGTTGAGTACCATTCGCTCGGTGATGGGGTGATCTGGCTGGAGTCCAAAGCACTCAATCATTTCGCACAGGGAATGAAGATTGAATAACTTTGGAGGATTGTGACGACGGTTGGACAAGAGAGTGGCCATCGATGTTGACATGTGTGTCCAAGTGTACAGGTCAATGTGGTCAACCTGAGCGATCATTGCCTCCGTGAGATCCAAATCACCTGTGCGTATAGCTGCCAATGGTGTGATCTTGACCTTGAAGCCATTGACTCTGTCGACGTACTTCATCAAAGATGTTGGTAGTGGTCCATTGTCATCAAGGAACTTGAACAACTCATCATGTCCATTGTCAGCTGCCATGTGCACCAACAAGTTGTTTGTTATGATGGTTTTAGCAAACTGTTGCACTCTGAAGAACACCTTGAATATGGCAAAGTGGCTTGGTTTGGCAATGAACTCAACGAGTAGACCAATATGGGCCGAACATAGGATGGTCAAATCACTTGGCAAGTGTTCAATGATGTATCGTACACTGTCGGTCACGTTGAGGTGTGTGGATTGTTTGAGTGCCAATGCCCACAGGTCATGGAGATAGAGCAGACCATACTCCTTGTGCAACATTGTGAGCATGTCGACATTGATACCAGATCGCTTGAACTCTTGAGGATCGACATCTTCTTCAAAGTACATATCTGGATCGTTATGGTAGCATTTGTGTTGGAGCAGCAGACGAACAAAGTTCACATTGCCACTGTTGATGGCAAACATGAGGTGGTTGATACTGTTGATCTGGAATGAGCGGGCAGAGTGCATACTGATGTATCGTTCAAACATTTGAACATTGCCATGTTTGAGTATGTTTGTCAGCTGGCTGGGTGTGATATCATCATCAAGATCAGTGTTGGTATTGTCAAGTATATGATTGAATGCTCGGATATTGTTATATTTGAATGATTTAAAGAGGAGACGTGATGTGAGTTGGTGACACTTTGGTGTAAAGCTGTCGAATGCTTTGATGAACCATTCAGTCGCGTTGAACTTGAGAAATCGTGCAAGACTGCCTTCTGCCAACAACTTGTCACCTTTGATCGTTGACTTTATCATCCATGATTGTTCTCGTTCTTGATCATGTTGTTGTTGTTGTTGTTGTTTGAGTGATGATAGACTGATCCATCGTTTGTGAATATCACAGAGATGTTGGAAGACTGTCGTTCGCAACACTTTGTTTCCAAACACCTTTCGAAGGTTGTTGTCCATTATGCTTGGTATGTTATCTCTATCTCTATCGCTAGTATAAACATTAATAAGAGCGTTGGAGGTTGGTACCCAACTTGAAGTGATTGCACTGGTAAAATCTTAATTCGATTTTCTTCGAACACAGATTGCAAAAATCCCAAGATATTTTTTTGGATTAGTTCCAATAATAATAGATATTTTATTTATTTTGTAGTTGTTTGATTGGATGAGATTATATGATCACACATGGCAACAATCTTTAGGTAGCCATTATGAACAGATAAATGACGTACAATTATAAGCAATGGGATTATATCAAACTTGACTCGATTGTATGGTGATTCATCACCTTCAAACATATAACAGAGAAGTTTGTGATGATTGAATTTGGAACATGCAGTGAAGATGTGGAAGAATGATGGCAGGTGTCGAAGTAGTTGTGTTGTTGTGCAACATCGTTGATGGACAAACTTCATAATGTCCAAGTCACCAGTGTAGCAAGCCCAATCTACCAATCTTGGCAAAGCATCACTCTTGTCATCATCGATACTGATATATCCCCTGTCAAAGAGGTGTGCCAGTGTTGACGTGTTGTTGCAACTCTCCAAGTTGATTAGTTCATGGATGTGGACATGTTGTTGTTTGGAAGCAGTGATGGCCAGATGTATCAAATAGTCAATTGACTCTGTATCGCTTTTTTTGATGCAAACATCAATCACTCCCTTGAACATGTTTGGTGTCATTTGGTGCACGACACAGACATCGTCATCATCACCTTGGTGGTTGTTGAATGTTGTAAAGTTATTGATGACCATCTTGATCAATGATAGTGACTTGGTTGCCGCCTTGCAGAGCAACAAGGGTAGACTCTGTACGTTCAAACATAGTGATGGTCGGCTGATGAGTTTGTCGGCCAATTCAATGATCACATCCTCGGTGATCATGCTGCCAGGCAAACCAATGTGATTGAACAATGGTAGTAATCCTTCTCCATTGTATAGTCTGACTGTTGGGTCCACCTTGAATATCTGTCTGATCACATCAACATCACCAACATCAATAGCATTCATTACGGCATCCTTATAATCATACGTTCTCTCTCTTGATAGAGTGAGTCGCTCATCATTCAACAACATATCGACAACTGCCTTGTTGCCAGACTGGATCGCCTGGCCCAGCACCAGGCCAAAGGGATACTTGATGTTGGGATGTGCCATAAGTCGCTCGATCAGCTCGGTTGATAGGATGCTTGGATGGATGTTCTGCACATCCGAGTATTTGTTGGGATCGAATGTTGATGCATGTTGTTGGATGGTGCACAGGAAGTCAAACATCTCCAAGTGTCCACACTTCAAAGCAGTGCCAAACGAATCCAATGGATCAATCTTGTATGATAGATTGGGCAGGCGGTCTTTCCACAACCATTGAGCAATGGCAATCTTGTTGTGACAGATGGCTGTCTGAAACAAATTGTAATATGTTATATTGGTTGGTATAGCTACGCGAAGAATCATCTGAAGCTGCTCCAAATCTCCATATATACATTGATCCAAGATATTGTTCAGTCTCTCATCGGGTCCTTCTAGAGAATCAACCCAACATCTGATCACTGATGATACATTGTGGTTGATCGCCTTGATCAATAGTTGTGGGAACTCTGGAGTCATGAGTGAGTGTTTGACTATCAGTTGGAACATCTCTAATGCCCATGGTTTGGTCAGCCATCCCTCTGCAATCATATTAACGCATTGATTGTAAGTTTCGCCATCACTAGTGTCCAGGGTTGGGAGTTTGATGAGTCCATTACTTTGAATGAGTTTGTTGAGGAATGATGGATGTCGGATCGATGCAAGAGTGAGCCGGTCAAGCTTGAGTGGTGCAGTGATCTTGACATACTGATCAAACAATCTCTCCCATTCTGGATGTGTACATATTGACAACCTCCAAAAGAATACTTGATGGTCTGTTTGTTCGCTGATGTTCATCAAGGGGTCATCCAGGAGGAGATCAATGAAGCGGGTGTCAAGCCTCTGGAATGCCCGTACAAGGAGATCATTGTTCGTCCTTCTTGAGGAGATGGTCTTGGAGTTGGCGGAGTAGTATGCTTTGATGAACCATTCGAACGCTCCATATTTGATGTAGTCTGAGAGGCAATGATTGTCCAATAAGTGTGCCCCTTTGATGATCTCCACACCCAGTGACTTGTGAATCACTCCAACTTGTCCCATAATGAGCATGCCAACCTTCCTGTCTCTGAACACTGAGTGAACCAATGACTCAAACTGACGTGAACAAGTCTTGGATTGAAGTCTGGGTGAAGGTGGGGATTGAAGTTAGTACATTGAATGAGTGATGGATGTTGGATTGATACACGTACAAGGGATGATATTGTTGTTGTTGTTGTTGAATGAGTGATTGTGTCGAATCGATCTGATCAGTGCACAGCTTGATCACCCTAGTGATACCATAATCGTAGGCTTTGTCAATGATTATATGAATGATTCGCAATCGATTGGTGACTGACATGTTGATGAATAATGGAGAGGCAAAGTAGAACTCGAGAGTGTGATGGGCACTGTATTGAGCCATCGACAGTAGTGCCGATTGCCCTGATCGTACACTGTCTGATGGTCCGAATCGTTGTTGAAGTAACTGTACAGCTTGTAGATTATCCTTGATCATTGCACATGATACTATATCATTAAGCAGACAGTCACCAATCTGGTCTGGTGTGAACATGTTGATGATGTGCTCAAACACTTCTGGTCGGTCATTGTACAGGGCACATACACATATGTTTGGATCATCCTTGAGACCCAACTTCTCCAATATGTACTCGATGCTCTCCAAAGATGATGCATCTTTTATGAAATTGAATGCTGCATCCTTGACTAAAGGATGTTCAATCTCCTCTCTGTCCTCTACCAACACTTGACATAGGAATGATATTGTATCTTGACGCTTTGATTGAATTGCCGCAACCAGACTGTTATGATCAAACCGTAGGTATAATACATCCATGAGCCTCTGCATGATTGTTAATGAGCTACCAGCGATGAGCAACAGGTTTTCACTAATGTAGCCTGTGATTCCATAGCTCATGTCATACCAAAGTGACTCGTGTGTGCAGTTCTCAATGAACTGACATACAATGTCATCGGTGATGTTACTGCCCGGCTTGCCAACGGCAGTGATCATGTTGAACAATGAGTCGTGGAAAGTGAATGATGGTCCAGGTGCACGTGGGGCGCTGATAAATGTAGCCATTTCCTTTGACATTGTTCGGCAGGTCTTGGCATCCAACTCACAGAAAGGATGATCCTCTTCATCCTCCTGAGTAAGAAGTGTCTCTACACTCAAAGTGTCATTGTTACGGATCGCAGACAACAATGTGACACTTAGACTATCTCCTGTTGACGTTAATGAGTCTCGTATACAGATCTCAGAAGACTCTGTGATTGTGTCATTGCCAACATGATGCTTAAAGAGATGTTTGATGAATGATTCATGGCCACGATCACGCGCCTCCTCAATCATGTCATCCAATTTATACTCCAAAAGTAGTCTGGCACCAACAGCAGTCGACTTGCTAAACATTTGGAACATGTTGATATCACCTGTCACAGCACAATGTTGTAGACATGCAGGGAATGTTCGATCCTTCTCGTGGAACTCTATGTCTGAAGGCATGTTGTCCATTATGTATTGAACACTGTCCAACATGTTGTTCTTGGTTGAGTGCAACAGGGCAGCTTTGAAGAGCTCAGTGAGTTTGAATAGACAGTTGAACTCCTCGTGTAGCATCGTAAGCATTCCAACCTTGACGGAGCGACGTTGATTGAAAGTTGGTTTGATCTTTTGATGTTGCTGGTTGACCACGGTTAAGTCGATGGTGATGAGGTGTTGGAGCATGAGACGTACAAATTGTATGTTTCCAGTGTCCATGGCAAGAGTGAGGTTGGACAAAGTGTCGCTGGGTAGTGGACGGTAGGCTGTGATCTCGAGGTATTGTTGAAGCATCTCAGTGTTGCCATGATAACATATAACTTCAAGTAGTTCTTTTGTTGTAGTATCAATGAACATTGTATATTTGTAGTTGTTTGGATGATTGATCAGATATTTGAATATGGTCACATTGTTGATATATATTGAGAACCATAATAGGTTGTTATTGTTGTTGTTTGTTATGTGAGGGTATGGGTACGTGATGTTGGAGACACGTTCGAATGCTTCGATGAACATTTGAGTGGCATTGTATCGCAACATCTCAATTAGATCACCATTGGCATATAGCTTGGCACCTTTGATCGTTGACTTGATATGAGGTACTTGATCATCATCATCCAAATTACCATCTTTGTTGGACCATCGACTATGAATATCGTGGACATCTCTTAAGATTTGTTTGCATAACAATTGATTGTGAAACACTGAATGTATACTATTCTTATTACTATCATCACCATTCATTATTTATTTGTTGTATATGTATGATTATCTATGAATGAATGTTCGAGGCATCCACTCACTTTTGAAGTTGACTATTTTTGGAAAAGATATGGATTCTTGTGGAGTGATGACCTGGCAGACTTTCTGACAACCTCATCATCAATATCATCTTGGTCTCGTCTCTTGACTCCACGAGTATGGGATATTGAAAGATTGGACAACAATCGATCACAAATCTCAATGATCTTTAAATTGCCTTGATATTTGATCGATTGGAATCTTACTGCTTGGAGCAATGGTATCATGTCGAACTTGACCAGTGATCGTTGGAACGCCGAATCTTTGCCATCTAATAGATAACTGATCACTTGATGATGGTTTGAGAAGGATGCATTCAAAATATGTTGGATTGTTGGCAGATATCTTTGAAGTTGCAATGGTGTGGCACATCGTTGATGAACACACTTGATAATGTCCAAATGTCCATTGGTGCAGGCCCAATCCATCAATAATTCCAAATCATCCTCTTTGCCATCGACACTGATATGTCCTTTGTCAAAAAGATACTCCAACACTGACTTGTTGCAATGTTCCAAGTTGATGAGCTCACTGATCTTTGGTGTCTTCGGATCGTATCTCCTTGGTTTGTACGATGTGATTGCCAGACCAATCAGATAATCGAGTGATTCCAAATCGGATCGTTTGACACTGCTCTCAATTACTGTTCTGAAATCATAAATTGACCCGGTGTCAATGACTGGTTTGAAGGTATTGATCACCATTTTAATCATAGACAGTGATTTAGTCGCTGCCTTTTGAAAGATATTTCGAGTCTCTCCAAATATACGCATGGTTTTGTCCAATTTGCACAGTATGGTGACCAACTCTAGAATCACATCCTCAGTGACCAAGCTACCAGGAACTCCGATTTTATCAAAAAATGAAGAAAATGACTTCTCCACTGTTTCGATTTGATAAAAGTTAAGATAATCGTAAGTGAACAAGTTTGGTGCCTTGTCAATGATCATTCTGATTGATTCCAAATCTCCTGCCTCAAACGCCTTCTCAACATGAGTGATTGATAGTGTTGTTGATGGGTCATTCATCAACATATTGATAACTGGTTTGTTTCCATATTTGATGGCCTCGGCCAACAACAGTCCAAAGTCCAAGAGAAAGTTGGAATGTGCCTTCACTCGTTGGACCAAGTCCACCGACATGATACTTGAATCAATACTATTGACCAAACATCTGTCGAGTAGTATCTCCTGATCCTTGTGTTGTTCATAATATGATGTGATTATGTCGATTATGAAGTTGAAGACATCCAGATGTCCTTTGGCCAATGCTGACTTTGTACACTCGAACAAGCTACTTGGTGTTGGGAGATTGTCGGGATCCAAGAGTGAGTGGGCCCTTTGGAGTATGTCCATTTGTCCATACTTTGCAGCGCTGATAAACAGTGCCGAATATATGATATTCTCCGTCATGGGGAAGAGTGAGCGTATAATGTCAAACAGCTCAACACGTCCATACTTGCAACATTGATCTAACAATCGTCCTCTTGACGCATCATTCATTTGTCGAATACCATCAACACAATGATTGACAATTGATGTGATGTTGTGTTCTATTGATCCTAATAACAATTGGAGTTTGAGATGTGGACCGATGATTGAGTGCTGCTCCATAAGTTGGAACATCTCCAGTGCCCATGGTTTGGTGAGCCATCCCTCGTTCATGTATGAGATGTGGTCCTCATTAACATTGGTGTCGGTGGATATGAGCTTGGATGGTTTGGCTCCCAATTGAATTAGTTTGCGAAGGAATGATGGATGTTTGATCAATGAGACGGTGGTGAGACCGATCTCATCTTGTGATGAGTTCTGAGTGGTGATCGTGATGTATTGATCAAGCAACCACTCTGATTGATTCTGGATGAGACGATGCGTTCCAATAGATATTGGGCGACATTGGACTCTTTGAATGACAACATCGGGTTGGTCAAAAGTACACTGGCAAATCGAATGTTATGATTGATTGCCAACTCTAGCAATGTTGTGTTGTGAACCTTGTGGGTTGTTCCAAACGGAGAATGCCTTTAGGAACCATTCCATTGCGTTATATCGTATGTAATTGTACAGGCAAATGATCATCCTGTGGGTGAGTGAAGTTAGTAAATGAGAGTAACTACATCCATCTTTAAGTTCAGTTAGATAACTTACATTTGTTGATGATTGGATGGTAATGTTGTTGTTGATGGGATTGCCAAAGCCCTGATATAATCAGAGCACAGTTTGATCACTCGTGACAATCCAAGTTGATAAGCTTGGTCCAAGATAGAGTGAATGGTTCGCAAACGATGTATGATTTGAATATTGGTGAATGTAGATGACTTAAAGTGGTACTCTAGTGTGCTGTATGCATTGTGTTCGGCCATATCTAGGAGTGTCCAGAGCTTTGGACCACGTACCCACCCGAATCGTCGTTGAAGTGATTGAACAATGTTTAGTTTGTTTGAGGTCATTGCATGCGATATGATCCGGTCCAATACCAGTTCATCAAGTTGATCTGATGTAAAAGTTGAGATAACATACTCAAACACTTCGTCATGTTGATGGAACGCAGCCCAATCACATATGAAAGTATCAGTCTTGAGTTCATTGGCGCGGTCCAGAATGATCTTGATATCGTCCAAAGAGTATGATCCATCGGCAATGAGACTGAATAGACTATCTTTGACAGTGTTGATCACATTCCTATCGAGTCGTTGTAATAGAAACATCACTGTCTTGTGATACTTTGATTGAATTGCCATCTTCAAACTGTCCTTGTCATAGTGCTCGCCATACCGATCGAAGAGTTGACGCATCACCTTGTCATCGGAGAATCCCGCAGCTATGGTCAACATGTCATATAAAAACGCAGGGTAGTCAGAATCCTCGCTATATCCATAGTCATGCCCAAAATGATTGCAGTTAACAATGAACTGGCAAACAATATCTTCGGTGATATTGCTGCCCGGTTTACCAACGGCACGGATCATGTTGAGCAATGAACTATTGTAGAAAGTCAGAGGTATGGTTCGAGGACTGCTTATCAATGTTGACATCGCCACCGACATTCTTTGGCAAACCTTTTTGTCCGACTCGAAATCATGATCATTCCATTGTCCAATTAATTCCTCGAAGCTAACCAAGTCATCTTTGAGGATGGAGGTCAAAAGTGTGAAATGTTCATTCTGTTGAAAGCTGGTTCTATGCAGGGGGATGGCTTTGAGATGCTCAACAAATGATTCATGGCCATTCTCCAGCGCACGTTGAACGAGTCCTCCAAAGTTGTCGTAGGTCTTGAGTAGTTTGGCGCCAGCAGTTGACTGGCTCAACACTTGGAGCATGTTGGATGAACCTGACGTGGCGCATTGTTGAAGAAAACTCTGGAGGACACCGATTGACTTTTGATCATAATCCGAGGGAAGGTTATCAAGTATATATTGAACACTGTCCACCATGTTACACCTGGCCGAGCGCAAGAGTGCAACGTCCCAAAGTTGTTTGATTCTGTAGAGACAGTTGAACTCCTCGTGCAGTACTTTGAGCATGCCAACCTTGACACCACATCTTTTGAACGTCATTCTGTCGTTGGCCTTGTCGTCAATTGTGAGATGTTGGAGAAGCAGACGAACAAATTGTTCGTTGCCAGTGTCAATGGCGAGATGAAGGTGTGAGACGGTGTCGTTTGGTATTTGGCGATATGTATTGATTGTGAGGTAGAGCTGGAGTATGACAAGGTTGCCAATTTGACAGATATGTTGGAGTTGATTCCTCATGTCCATTATCATATTTGAGTGTTTACATAGATGTTTGAATACGGTTGTGTTGTTGAATATTACGGAGTATGGGGTAGTTGTTGGCGACACTGTCGAACGCTTCGATGAACATCTGAGTGGCATTGTATCTCAACATCTCAATGAGATTGCCGTCGGCATGTAGTTTGGCACCTTTGATCGTTGACTTTATATGAGGTACTTGGTCGTCATCATCATGATCATGGTTGTCATCATTATCATACTCTGATGACGATGATGTTGCTAGACTACGCCATTGATTGTGCATCTCACTGACATGTCGAAAGAATCGATTATGAAACACTAAGTGTATACTATTCTTATCATTCATTATTTATTTGTTTGGGTTATAGTTATTATTATCTCTATGATCAATGTATTGAATGAATGCACGATGATTGTGGGGGATGTTGTTGTGAGGGAACTGTTGAGATATCTCTCAGGAGTGTTCTTCGAAAAAAGTATGACCATTATGTACTCTTGCAGACTTTGGTTTTGTTATGGCAGTAGTATCATCATCATCAACATGGTCATCATCATGATCTTTTCTCTTGACTCCACGTCCACTAGCGATAGTCTGTTCAGGTTGACTAGACGACAAACGATCGCACATCTCAATAACAATTAGATTGCCGAAATAGATTGATTCGTGTCTTACTGCTTGGAGCAATGGTATCATGTAGATATTGACTTGTGATCGTTTGAATGCTGAATCATTGCCATCAAACAGATAGCCGATAACTTTGTGATGGTTCACCAAGGATGCATCCAAAATTGGTTTGAGTGTTGGGAGATGTCTTTGAAGTTGTGATGGTGTCGTACGACGTTGATGAACACACTTGATGATGTCCAATTGTCCTTTGGTGCAGGCCCAATCGATCAATCCTGCCAACCGATCATTCCTGTCATCCACACTGATGTATCCTTTGTCAAACAAATACTCCAATACTGATGTTTTGCAATGTTCCAAGTTGATGAGTGAACTGATCCTCCAGTTGTTGTCGTTGTTGGACAAAATCATAAGTTGGATAAGATAATCGATTGATTCCAAATCATCACGTTTGACACTGATCTCTAATATCTGTCTCCATTGATCTTTAGTCACTCTGTTAATGATATCACCAATGCTGCCTCCAACCAACTTGTCACCTTCGTAGAATGAGGTGTAATGTTTGATCACCATCTTGATCACAGACAATGGTTTGGCGGCTGCCTTTAAGAGCACTTTGAATAAATAGGGATGGGAGTTGTTGTGAAGTTTGGTTGCAAACTCAATGATCACATCCTCAGTGACCTTGCTGTTGGGCTCCCCAATGTGATCTATCAAAGAGTCAAAGCAATCATCACTGGATATCTTCAACTTTGGCGCCATGTCAATGATCGCTCGGGCTGTGTCCAAATCACCAACTTTAAGAGCACAAATAATATGACCTGTTGACACCAATGATTCCGTTCCGTCCTTCATTATAAATGTGATCATATCCTTGTTTCCGGAATTGATTGCCAGTGACAACAACTTGCCAAAGTTGAATGTGATGTTGGGAATGGTCATCAATCGTTTGATCAAGTCAACAGACATGATCTTTGAGCCAATCTCATAGATTGAAAATGACCTCAATGTCTTTGACCTATCATTGTCGTCGTCCTTTGGTGATGGGATATTCATGATCAAATAGTCTACAACCTCCAAGTGTCCATTTACCAAAGGAGTTTGGAGCAACCCTAGCCAGTCTTTGGAGTGTCCAGTGCTGGATGATTGGACATAGTGAGGGTGGAGCTTTACAATGATATCGAGATGTCCAAATTGCAATGAGTATCTGAAAAAATTGCTGTACAGGCGCACGGGAAGGAATGGAAGTAGACTATCAATGAGGTCTACTCGTCCAAACTTGCAACATTGCTTTAGAAGTTCATTTGCAAATGATGGGTTGGATATATATTGTCGATCGATAGAATATATAATGATTGATTTGATGTCGTGCTCTGCTGCTTTGAGTAATAGTCCTTGGCGGAGTATCGGACTTATTAATGAATGTTGCTCCAGAAGTTGGAACATCTCCAGTGCCCATGGCTTTGTGAGCCATCCCTTGTCCATTTTGTTTACAAGTTCATTCTCTTCACTTGTTGATGTTGATGTTGATGTAGGTTTGATAATGACATTCCATTGCATGAGTTTGCGGAGGAATGATGGATGGCGGATATATGATATTGACTTGTCGTCAAGCTCAGGTGTTGATGTCTGAGATATAATCAGGATGTACTGTTCAAGCAACCACTCCCATTCTGGATGAGTGCACAATGATAGGTTCCAAAATAATGAACATTGAAGGCTTGTGTGATCATCTAACAACATCATGGGGTTTGCCAAAAGGGTCTTGATGAATCGCACATCATGCTCCATCGCCATGTCAAGTAATCTTGAATTGGGGTAAGTTCTTAATGTGGATATAGAGAACTCCCGGTGGAACAAATCCAAAGCACCATAACGAATGTAATCTTTAAAGCAACGATCGTAGATGAAGCCTCTACCCTTGATCATTAGTGTACTATCCTCACCTATGATATCATGTACTGCCTCAATTTGCTCAATGATGAACTTTCCAAGATTTCTGTCTCTGAACACTGAGTGAAATGCTATATCCAACCGTTGGCCAGTACATTCTTGAGCGTCAATCATTGGTGTATCAATATATCTGTTTGAGAAAGAATGAGTTAGTGAATGAGCATAACCACCCAATGATCTTTGTTGAACCATACTGTTGGGTAATGATTGGTGTTGTCGTTGAGATGGCCTTGATCTGATCAGTGCACAGTTTGATCACTCTGGTCATTCCAAGGTTATAAGCACTCTCCATGATTGAATGAATGGTTCGCAAACGATTGATGATTGGAATTTTGGCGAATGTCACTGACTTGAGGTGGTACTCTAGTGTGTTGTGGGAATTGTTATCTACCATAATTCTGAGTGTCAAGAGCGAAGGTCGATCAACAAGAGTATTGGATGATCGATTCGATACGAATCGTTGTTGAAGTGACTGTACAATGTGTAGTTTGTTCTTCATCATTGCCATTGTGAAGATACTACTCAACGCCTTGTCGTCCAATTGCTCTGGTGTAAACATGTCAATGACTTGTTCAATCACTTTATCATCATTATTGTACATGACATATTCACAGATCTTTGGGTCGCTCCTTATCTCAACCGGCACGTGATCCAGAATGAATTTGATCTCATCCAATGATCCTGACTCTTCACCAATGATATTGAATATTATACTCTTGGCATCAACGATCTGACCATGATCCATTTCTTGAAACAATACCTCTATTGTCTCACGACACTTTGAATAAAGTGCCTCTTCCAAACATTGCTTGTCGTATCGAATATTGAATCGAACCTTGATCTTGCGCATCAATGTCGATGAGAATCTAGCGGCCTCCATCATTGCATACATTAAATGTCCATCGTCTTCAAAGTCGTAATCCTGGTGTGAATCATGTTCACAGTTATCAATAAACTGACACACAATGTCCACATTGATGTTGCTGCCTGGCTTGCGAACGGCCTTGATCATGTTGATTATTGAGTCTTTGAAGACCAGTGTAGGTGTTCGAGGACTACTGAGCAATCTTGCCATGGGCTCTGACATTTTTTGGCAGGTTATTTGGTCCAAATGAATGTAGCAACAATTATGTATAAAAGACTCCACTCCCAAAATGTCATCCTTGTTGATCGCTTCCCTCAGCGTGGCATGGTGATCAGAATAGACCTGGGTGGACATTGTGGTGTCCTCTCTATTAGTTGTGGACAACTCCAGTGCCTGTCGAATGTGCTTCTCGGAGTTCTCAGTGATGGTGTCGTTGCCAACATGATGATCAAAGAGATGTTTGATGAATGATTCATGTCCACGATCTCGTGCCTGTCTGACCATTTCTCCAAGATCACAATCCTTCAGTTGTTTGGAACCAACTACAGACGAGCTTAACACTTGGAATATGTCGATGTTGCATTTTTGAGCACAGAGCTTAAGACAATTGGTGAAGGTTTTTTCATTCAATGAGGATGGCACGCCAGCCATGATATATTGAACACTGTCCAACATATTACACCTGATTGAACTGAAGAGTGCTTGCTCCCATAAGCTAGTGAAACTAAATAGATAGTTGAACTCCTCGTGTAGCACTTTGAGCATTCCAACCTTGACTGCATCTCGTTTGAAATGGGTTGCTCTCACCAACTCATTGGCGACAACGGGATCGATTGTGATGTGTTGGAGCAGCAGACGAACAAACTGTTCGTTGCCAGTGTTAACGGCATTGCATAGATGTGCCATAATGCTGTCGGGGAATGGACGATAGGGATAGACTATGAGGTATTGTTTGAGCATGTCCAAGTTGCCAAGTTGACATAGTTTGGACAGGAGGTCTTCTGTATCCACTCTAAGGTCCACCAACATGTTTGGGTGATTACAAAGATGTTTGAATACAGTTGCATTGTTGTAGAGTAGTGCACTTTGAAGCAGTTTGTTGTTGTGTGGGTAGTTGTTGGCGACACTGTCGAATGCCTCGATGAACATTTGAGTGGCATTGTATTGCAACATCTCGATTAGATTGCCATTGGCATAAAGTTTGGCACCTTTGATCGTTGACTTTATCCTGCGAGGTATTTGGTGGTCATCACTATCATCGAATGATGATTTTGTTAGACGACTCCATTGATTGTGCATATCATGAACATGACTAAATATTTGTCGACATAATAATCGATTGTGAAATACTGAATGTATACTATTCTTATTACTATTCATTATTTATTTGTTATGTTTTATTATCTCTATATATTTGAATTGAATGAACGAATAATGATAATATAGATCTTTTGAGATTCATGGAAATCCGCGGATGATGACTTATCCTTCCCCCAACTTGCTTTTTTCATTCATTCAAACATGGATAATTATAACAAACAAATAATGAAAGATAATAGTAGTATTCATTTAGTATTTCACAATAGAGTGTTGTGTAGATTGATCTTTAAACATGTTAGTGATATCCACAGTCGATTGATAAACCTCGCCAATGACAAGTACCATCACGAACGCATGCTTGTGGCTGGTGATATAATTGATAAAGTCAACGATCAAAGGTGCCAAGCTACACGCCAATGGCAATCTAATAGAGATGTTGCAATACAATGCCACTCAAATGTTCATCGAGACATTCGACAGCGTGGCCAACAACAACAACAACAACAACAACTACCCACACAACAACAAACTGTTATCAAGTGCAGTGCGCTACAACAACAGAAAGGTGTTTGAACATTTGCTCAAGCATCCAAATATCCGTCCTGACTTTGAGAGTTTGGCAGAACTATTCAGACGTGACAACTTTGATCTGCTACAACAATACCTCACACCGTTCACTCAGCAGTCGATCCACGAATGTCTGAGTGTGTCTGGTCTCATCAAGGCTGTGGTCACAGGCAACGAGTCACTGGTTCGACTGTTACTCCAACACATGACCATAGATATGCACTCAAATGGGCTCATCGACCCATTCAAGTTTATACGTGGTCGTGGCATCAGTGTTGCTATGCTCAAAGTGCTTCATGAAGAGTTTGGCTGCCTCTACTCTCTAAAGACTCTTAAAAGCGAAGCACTAAGACATAGTGTCAAGTACAACCAGATGGACAGTGTACAATACATCTTGGAAAACCATCCATCATGGGTAATTGAAGACCCGCTCATATCCTCCTATCTCTGTCAATGTGCCAAGCAAGGTAACATTGAAATGTTTCAGCTGCTAATGAGATCAGTGAGGATCACCAGGTACCTCAGGAATGACATTAACCATGTAGTCAAGGTTGCATGGGACCATGGTCATGTTGAGTTTATCAAGTACATCTTTGAGAAGTACATTGGTAACACCATCATCACAAAGAACTCTGAGCATTACGTCCGAGCATGCTTTGAAACACCTCCCAATCCAAGTTCAATGGACCCGGCAAAGCTTAGGGTCACACTGTTGGCAGCGATCCGACACGATGACCTTGTCAGTGTCGAGGCAAATGTCAATATGGTTGTGGAGCTAGACGCCAAGACCTGTCGAAAGATGTCCAAAGAGATGGCAAACGCAATCAGCTGCAACAGAGCAACACAGATGAGATTCAGCGGTCTTTCAATCTTCAACATGGTAAAGGCAATGGCTCAGCCAGAGAGCAACATCACGGCTGATATCGTTTCTCAGTTCATTGTGAATTGTAGACACAAGGTGCCCACTTATCTCAATGAGGCAATGATATTGGCGGCCGGCCACTCGGCCCAGGTGATGCAACTACTCCACACTCAACTCAACATTGCCTACAGTCCTCAATGTTTTAGACACGCGATCAAGAGGTGTTGTCGCGAGACATTGTGTTTACTCTTCCCGCAAACAGAGATAATGAAGGATGATGCGGTAAAGACTATGGCTTGCGAACTATTACAATGTGGATCATTGGACGATGTAACATTCTTGCTCAATCACATGGACTATATCAGACAGGATCCGTCAATATTGGATGATGCAATGTGCAATGATCATTGGGACGTTGTCGAATATGTTGTCAAGCTGTACACACGAGAGCAGTTGGAAGGCGTACCAATACAATCTGCGGTGGACCAGGCATTAATACAGGATAGACCAGACTTTATCCAATCACTTCAACAACTTTCTATCTTTGAACATCTAGACACAAAGATAATGGTTCGACCAAGTCTCGAGAATCTTACCCAACTGGCCAAGTACAATGCCTATCACTCATTGGAGTATCACTTCAACTCACCGCTATTCAACGGCATGTCGGTCTCACACCGATTGAGAACCATTCATTCCATATTGAACAAAGGTTATAAGTGTGGAGCAACCAGAGTGATCAAGCTATGCACTGATCAGATTGATGCATTGGTTAATCAACATCAACAACAACAAAGACAACAGTAAGTATCACTCATACAGTCATGTATTGATTTCATTGCTAATCAATCAAACATCAGACTACATACGATCGACACTGCAATGAATCCACAATGTTCATATCAGTTGGAGACGACTGTCCATTCAGTGTTCAGAGACAGGAAGCTTGGAATGTTTATAATGGAACATGTTGGATTGGTACACAAGTCACTTGGTGTGGAGAGTGATCAAGTGATCAAAGGCTCAAAGTTGTTGGAAAATCATTGTTTGATAGATTATATCCAGTATGGTGCAACGGAATGGTTCCTACAATCATACACCTCTCGAACATTTGATAACAACACTATTGTGAACACAGAACTACTAGATATGGCCTATACGATGTGTGACCAACGAGCTGTCGACGTACTTATGGCCAATACAAGAATGTCTATTGCACGTCGCAGCGCTACTTTTGTCAAGAATGTATCGACATGCACTCATCCTGAATGGGAGAGATTGTTTGATCAGTATGTCCTCATCACTTTTCAGTCTGGTCGACTGGAGATCCCCTTGGATTTTGTCCAACATCCATCTTTCCTTCGCAAGCTCATACAATGTGATGCCAAACTCGACACCTCCAAATACACAGAAGTCGAGAACCTTTCCTGGATCACCAAACCATGGGCATTGGAAAAGGTCGAGTTACTGGATCAACATGGTATCTTGTCATATGACGACCACCTAAGGATATGTATCTACGCGATCAATCACAACATTACATCAGTCTTTCGGTACTTTGTCGAATCGACTGCAATGACACGATTGTTTGAGGATAGATCAGGCTATGTCCAATCATTTATCAATGAAATATGCTCTTGTGGACGAGGGGACTATCTGGACTTGGTACTCAGTCGTATTCGCCTAGAAGATCAATCGTTCAGTCTAGAGTCATCCCTTTCGTGCTCAATCAGTCATGGACATCTTGCAATGGTGGAGAGGATATTCAATGAGCTAAAGGCTTTTGGAACAATCATGGCGACTGATTTCATCTTAGTAGCATTGTCCCAACAACACTTGGGAGTTGCCAACTTCATCCTCGATCAACTGCCTTCCGATCGAATCAAATCAATCAACATTTTGGTGATCAATTCAAATCTGTTGTCGGTTGACCTAATTGAGCGACTGATGGCCATTCCCCAAATCATTCTTAATTGTAAGAATATCTTGGGTAATGCCATCAAGATTGGAAACAAAGTGTTGGTCGATAAGTTGTTGGAGGAGAGTAACAATGACAAATGGAAGACTCTCATATCAGATTATCGTGGAGCTCTGTCATGTGCAATTGAGAAGCGTGACATGGAGCTAGTCAAGAGGATCATGGCCAAGGATCAAACAATCAAACCAACCATAGATCACCTTTGTTCTTTGCTTGAAGTTGTTGGATTACCCGGAGACAACAAGATATCAATGGAGTCATTCATCGAGTTTGCCAACATTGTGAATCCAGAACCAAGGTCATTTTCTTCGAGGAATATTGTCAGATTGCTGTTGATCGCATCATCAAAGTCAATATCGGTCATTAAGTGGATCATCAATCACTTTACCACATACACCAATGATGAAGACAGTCACCCAAACAGTGTCGTCCACAACATGAGCTGCAGAGACTTGGAATCGATGATGAACAACTGCTACAAGCAAAGTGACTTTGAATCGATCGATTATGTTGTTCAGCTCGCCTCGGTTACCAAACACAAGTTAATCAACATCATCAAGGTGGAGAACTGTAACGCTTCAGTTCTGGCACATCTCTTTGACAAGGGATACATTAGTGTGGATGACATTGTCAATGACAAGACGCAATCACTGACACGCTTGGTGGATTATTCTATGGTCAGAGGAGATACTGACATCATCCGTGTTGTGTATCAGAACTGCACAAGTCCATCACAGCTCAAACGTTATCTTCCATCACTTCGCCGTATCAACGACGCCACCAAAAGGAACTATCACCAATTGTTATGTTACTTGTTTGAGGGAGACCGTGCCAGTGAATCAACCTCACCATTTGAACGAGTTGGATGGAAGCCAAACATGTTGGTCCCATTGCTCAATTCAATCCGTCACAAGTCTTGCCGTGGAGGCAATCTCAAAATCATAGCAATGTGCGATCGTCTTTTGGCCTCATACGGAAAGACTTCACTGACTACTGGCGCTATATTGAAGAGGCGTGAACTTGAAGAGATGATCGATAATAACCCTTCACAACATAAGGTCATTAAACTTTGAACCCTTACCCTTACCCTTGCCCTTGCCCTTACCCTTGCCCACAAGTGTAAAAAAAGAGTGAAATTTCATACAGATTTCTGTAATAATTCTTTAAAGGGAAGCCCAGATCTGCCGCAACTTGAGTCTTTGAAGGACAACTCAACAAAGCGTCTGTTCAAGTCACTTTGATTGATTGCTAATTATTTGTATGAAAGTAGATAGATAGAGAGAATGGAGGAGTTCAACAAAGCCAACTGCTTATTCATTGATGAGGAGTTTGATCAAGCCTTGGAGTCGTACAACAAGGCCTGTGAAGCATTGCCAACACACTATGAAACGTTCTTCAAGAGAGCTCAGTGCCATCACAAGCTCGACTCGATCAATGATGCACTTCGCGACATCAACACCTGTATCACACTCGAGCCAAACAATCCAAAGAGTTACTTGAAGAAAGGGTATGAATCAAGTCGTCTTGTCATAGTGTTGCTACTCAATCATTCTCTCATTCCCTAACTAACTCTCTACATTACACTACAGACAACTTTGTTTCGAATTGGAGGACTTTGAAACTGCACAGAGTGTATTTGAGAAGGGATTGACATTGGACCCAGAGTCATCTCAACTCAAGACATGGCTTAGAAAGGCCAAGGCTGAGCTTGGTCAAGCCTCAGCACCAAAGCCTGCTGCTGCTTCAACACCTGCTGCCTCAAAGCCAGAACAGGCACCAGCAGCTGCAAAGCCAGCGGCTACCCCAGCCCCAGCGCCCGTTCCAGCATTGCCCATGCCATCATCTGGAACCAAGGTCAAGCACGAGTGGTATCAGACGGCCACACATGTTACCCTCACCGTCTATGCCAAGTATGTCACAGCGACCAACTCCTCAATCGAAATCAAGGACAAGTCGATCAATGTCTCCTTCAAGATGCTCACAGGCAGTGAGTACAGCTTGGACATTGAGTTCTTTGACCCGGTTGTACCCAGCGAGAGCACGACCAAGTACTACAGCACCAAGGTGGAGATGGTCCTGAAAAAGTCCAGAGCGATCCGTTGGGACAACCTCGAGTTCACAGGCGTCGACAAGCCACTTGGCACCGTTGACACACCAGAGGCCAAGGCCGTGGGAGTTCCCTCGCCCTACCAAACACAGAAGAACTGGGACGCCATCGAGGCCGGCGACGAGAAGGAAGGTGACCCATCCACCAGCTTCTTCAAAGATATATACTCCACCGGATCGGAGGAGCAGCGACGTGCCATGATGAAGTCCTACTACGAGTCGGGTGGCACGGTGCTCAACATGAACTGGGACGACGTCAAGAAGGGCCACGTTGACGGCTCTGCGCCCGCTGGAATGGAGATGCACTCCTGGAAGGACGGTGAGAGGGTGGCCGAGAAGTCATCAAAGAAGAACAAGGACAAGTGGGAGAGCGATTTCGAGAAGAAGGAACAAAAGAGAAGAAACTGGGAGAATGACATTGACTAACTAGTCAACTCTTTATGTTTATGTATGCCAAGTTGTGTAGTTTGGTGGATCATCTCGATGTAGTAAACAATGACTCCTCTCTTATATCACATCGATATCTATACTGTCTATCTTGACGTGACTGCATTTATATGGGCGGGGAAAGGTTCTCCAGGATGATCTTGATGACTGTGAATGAGTCTATTTCGTTGTTAGTTGATGCTCCAGTCGCCATCGATCCCTGTTGATCAGCCTGGTTATTGTTGTTGTTGTTGTTGGACTTGGCAAGTGAATTGCTGCCGCTATTTGTTATGGGTTGGGATGAGTCCTCTTCTCTGTTGTCTGTGATGGAGATTGGTGGTGGAGGAAGATGTGTCGCTTGTGAAAGGATTGATGTCGACCGTTTATGAGTCTTGACACAGGGCAACGATGCAGAGGTCTCCATGAGTGGGTTGTTCCTGCCCGGCGCTTCGTGAACCATTATCGATGGTGTCATTCTGCTGGGCGATGTGGATGGTGATGTTTGAATCGGTGTAAAGGTTGAGACAACATTGTTCGTGTCCATGTCCATTTGATTGGGCATGTCTCCCTGGTTCTGATCCAGTGGGAATGGGTTTGATAGGAAGACACGATGGTTCAATACCTTGGTGGCTACAGTCAACACATGAGTTGGCGTAACAAACTTTTGTCCAGACAATAGCGCCACAGTCCTAGGGTAATGTATATGTTAGGTGTTGCATGCAAAGTGAGTGTAGACTGATTGTAAAGGAATACATACTTTGAAACAAGAGTCAGTGTTGGAGTTGCCCTGGGTGAAGGACCAAACGTAACGAGTGGATGGTTACGAAGGTTTACGATAATAGTTCTAATGTATTGTTCAATATCCTATGTTGATGATTGATTGATTGGAGTCAGATGTGACGCAAATGTGAACAAACAAAAGCTCACTGATTAACATACATGTGTAATGTGTACTTTGGAAATTAGTTGCCTTAGATGTTGGATACGGCTTGGTGCAAGTATATACTTTGATTCAGCGGTTGATATTAATGGATCGCTCTGTACAGTCACTTGAGGTAGTCTCAAGTGTTCATATAATCTGATGTTGATAAAGAAGCAATCAAGCTGTTTGTGTAGGTAGTCCACATTGTTGTTAGCTTGAGGAAGTCTCTCATGTTCGTCGCGGTGTGTCTACATACCATCAGTGGTGATAAAGGTTCAATGCTCTGATTGAGGAATGAACGGCTGGATAGTGAGGACGCTGTAGCAATGACTACAAGCGAGGGCGGTGTGTCAAATGTGTTGCCCTTGAATGCAACCTTTCGATAGACCATCATCTGAAGAAGAGTGTGTCTTGTTGTCATGGGTGCAATGTCAATGTCATCGACAATCAGTACGTCCACCATGCGATAGGGAGTCGCAGCTTGGATCTGTTGTTGTTGTTGCTGTTGCTGTTGTTGAAGCATCTGTTGCTGGAGCACCGATGACGAAGCTGACTCTGTGCGACTCAATGCCAAGGGCGAGTCGACATTGCCAACAACATTGTTGATGTTTGATCGGAATGATGATATCTGGTCAAGTGGACTGAATGGGTTGTTGCTCGAGTTACTGCCACCACCGCCACCGCCACTGTTATACACTGAAGTCCTCTGCTTTGACGATTTCTTTTGTTTCTGTGCCGACAAGTCTGGTAACTGAATAAACAGATGTTGCACCAACTCCTCCGGTGATGTTGTTTGTGTGCAACTTATACTTGCACATGTCAATCCACTTATTATTGGTATTGCCTATATCATTGACATGTCAGTCATTATCACTTCTATGTTTGATTGATGCACTTTCTCTTACCTTTGCCAATACACTTCCATTTGTTTGTTGTTGTTGATTATGTTGATGTAGATGTTGATGATGTTGTCTTTGTTGTGAAGTGTCAATGAGCATGTTGGAGTTTGAGAGTACGGTGCAAAAGATGGCGTGCATCAACTCATTGGGTAGATAGAGACTACCATTGCTAAAGTCTATTGTCGACGATGATGCAGATGGTGAAAGTGATAATGCTGCAATGTTACGCGAAGTTGGTGGTGCCAAAGGTGTTGTCAACAGGTCTGTATTATCAGCCAGCCCAGAGGTAGTTGATGATGATGGAGCAAGTGATGCTAAATAATGCTTAAAAGTATTCATCTTTTGTTCTAGTTCATCACGTTCCAACTCTACTGGTTCTGTAAACGTTGGCTCTGTTGGTATTGCCGGACCAACCTCCTCAGGTTCATCATTCGGTGCATTGTTGCTGACCTGTGCACCTTTGAATCCAAGTATGCCTGTAAACTTCAAGAATCGTCTCTTGATTGCATGCTTCATCCTATTCTATATATATATATATACAATTATATTATCTCTATCTTTATCTCTATCTCTATTTCTTTCATTCACATGATTGAATGAATGAATAAACAAACTTGAGCAAAAGCACACTTTTGTTTGATAGAGTGAGGGGGGTATCACACTTTAACGTCGATGCCCATGAGTTGGAGGTCATTCGATGATGATGATAATGATGATAGTTTATATACCCTCTTGCTTGATAAAGTCAATGATCCTGGCCTCGAGGTCATCACGTATTAAACGAACTTGTTCAGCTGGCTTGTTCTTGGGATCTTCAATCTGCCACTCGACAATCTTGATGCCAGGCACGTAGGGACAGGCATCGCCACAGCCCATCGTGACAAAGATGGTGGCAGTCTGAGCCAGCTCCAATGTCAACTTCTGTGGTATGTTGTTGGTCAGGTCCACACCCTTCTCCTTCATCGTCTCTACGACAGCAGGATGAACATGTGTAGCGGGATTAGTTCCAGCTGAAATAGCCGTCCATCCCTTGTTAGAACAATGTAGATTGAACAATGCTGCTGACATTTGTGATCTTCCTGCATTCTGAATGCAAGCAAACAATACTTTCTTTGTTTGTTGTTGTGGTTGTTGGTCTGACATCTTTCCTTTATATATAAGTATGTTAAATGTATTATAATAACATTTAATCTCCGAAGTCTGACTTGTTGGTCAAAGACCTAAAGCTTCAAAATATCCACTTTTTGAAAGTTCCAAAGCATTTCATCATTTTCATTCATTCAAGTTTCAACAACAAAGAGATCTCTTAGAAAGATAGTTGTTTGTTAGAAGCGACAACATTTGATATCATCTCAATCATACAATGTTCAAATCATTCGTTAAGAAGTTTGAGGAGACGTATGTATCCTAGCAGGCCTCTCACTCAATCAATCAATCGATCAATCAAGTTCTAACAATGTTTCAAATAGCACTGGCTCATTAAAGGACACATTGTTCAATAAGCCAGCTGAATCAGGTGCACCTCAATCCAATACAACAGCAACAACACCAACAGCAACATCAGCGGCCACTACTACCAATGCGACAGCGACTCCAACATCAGTTTCCGCGACTACAACCTCACCAACAACTCCACAAGATACGACGACGACGACAACAACCGCAACATCACCATTGAATACATTGTCCAATAATATACAACCAGTAGTTGATGCATTCAAGGACAATGTAGTACAGCCAATGACAGCAGTGACAGAGTCGATCAAGGACTCGATTAAACGTGACTTCCCGGAGAGTTTGAAGGAAGCCGGCAAGGATATACCAGTGGCCATCCAGGCATTCTCTAGCAACGTCTCCACCGTCACTAACACAATCAGCAACACTGTGAGCAGCACCGTCAGCAACACAATGAGCAACACGATCAACACAACAGTGCACCTGCCATCGGTGGCCCAGCTCAAGGAGTCACTACAGGACGTGGACCTCTACAATGGATCACTACTGTTGCGCTCCTACGAGATCAAGCTGAAGCAGGTCAGAACAAATGGCACCATCCTGGCTGAGCGCGCCGATGACTGTGACAAGAAGATCGGACCACTCGTTCGCACATGCATTGCCCATGCCGAGTTCTGGAAGAAGGCACATATCGAGTTGGCGCACCTCGATGAGATGAACTCAATGATCGAGACAATCGGTTTATCATTAGGTATGTTTGATTGATTGACGAGACATGTGATCGCCTCACTCACACATCACCAATCATACAACAACAGACTCAATAGTTTCAAAGATTGAATCACTAGAGGTTGGTCTATCGATTGAGATTGACAACTATCTTGACAATGAGATGGGCAAGTGGAAGGACAAGAAGGAGTTGGAGGTCACTAGATATGAACAGGTGAAGAAGGCTGAGCTGCCGAGGCTCGAGGAGGAGTTGTCCACCGCCTTCAACAGACACGAGAGGGAGAAGGCCATCTTGGAGAGACAGGCTCAGATCGATCAGGAGCGTTTGGCTCGCAAGCGACAGGACGAAGAGCTGCAAAAGAAGATACAGGAGGATGCCAAACTGCGAACAAACCTCGACAAGACCATTCAACAGCAGTTGAACGACTACAAGACAAGTGGAATACTCCCACCAACTGTTGTGCCACCCAAAGTTGATGATGGTCCAGCCATCGTATCGATTGAACAAGTGGTCATTGATGAGAACAAAGATGATCTTGAGAAGTTCCTGGCTCCAACTCCACCACAAACACCTCTAATGCCTGCTGTACAACCCGTTGTTGTTTCTACACCAGATGCTGTTGTTGTTGAAGAGGAACAGCTGCAGCAGGATCAACCAAAGGATCAGGATATTGCAAAAATAGACAAGATAGAACAAGATGTTGTGGAGAATGATGGAACGACACCAGCCAATTGAGCAAATGACAATTACAAACTTGTCATCTTGCACATATATATACACAATTAAACATACATGTATTATTAATTATAACTTCCGGATTTGGTAATTACCTTTTATGGCGTGGTAAGTCCATCCGTCCAATGGGGTGGATTGGGCTAACTTTCAAGACCTCCCCCTTCATTCCTTTGACAAACAACAACAATAACACAACAAGATGAAACATTGTTATAAGATAATAATAATAATATTGTTATTGATATATATAATTGGAGAAGTAGAAATGAAATTCAATGATAGAGAACATGCTGGTCAATTGTTGTTAGAACGTCTTAGACAATTTAACAATGATCCTCAGGCAGTAGTAGTTGCACTACCAAGAGGTGGAGTACCTGTGGCCTATCCAATTGCCAAAGCACTTCATCTTCCACTTGATATAGTTGTACCAAGAAAGATTGGAGGTATGTTCAATCTAATCTATCAATCAATCGGAGTAACTACTCACCTCCTTATTCAACAGCACCATCAAACAAGGAATATGCAATCGGAGCAATTGCAGAGAATGGTGAAGGATACTTCAATCAAGATGTCATTGATCAACTTGGTATACCAATATCATATTTGGATAAAGAGGTAGAGAAACAAAGAGTTGAATCAAAGAGGAGACAAGTTGTATATAGACGTGATAGGCCTCCAGTTGACTTTAAAAACAAAGTTATTATATTAGTAGATGGTAAGAGCGTTCACAATGAATGATGATGTTGGCAATGACTAGTCTAACAACCATACAGATGGTATAGCAACAGGATCAACAATGAAGGCTGCTATAGAATCGATCAAACATTTGGAACCAAAGAAGATTGTTGTGGCAGTACCAGTGGCGCCACATGATAGTATAAGTGAACTGAAGCATAATCCAAAGGTTGATGAGATTATCTGTTTATCAACACCATATCCATTCAATGCAGTTGGTAACTTCTATCACTTATTCGACCAGACCGAGGATGACACTGTCATTCAAATGATGAGTGACCGAGATCTTTATCCTCAACCTTGTAAATAACTATCTCTCTAAACTCGAGAACTTCAAGTTTGTCCAACTCCCACTTTTTTGAAACGACAAGCATAATTGTTCCAGAATTTAAGCAGAATGCTAAACAGTGTTGTCATTGGGAGATAATGACTCTAGACCATGATCACCTGACTTGCTTACTCCAAAGTTGGACATGATATCATATTTGTTCATTCATCCTTATCTTCCAGACACTCATTCATTCAATCAATTAAACAAACAACAGAGCAAAGCTCAATTGTCTATGAATCCCTGCAACAACAACAACAACACTAATAACATCTACTGTTACTCAACTGAATCACTGCTGTCTAATTATAAATCATCATAAACAAACTAAACAACAATGATGTCCAACGATAACAACATCGCTATTGTGACACCATCAACAACAACAACAACATCAACAACATCATCATCTGGTGAAGGAGTTGTTGATACCTCTCAACAACAACAACTAATACTTGGTAATGGTAATGAACCAGCCAATCACTTGAACTCTCAAGTGTCCATTGATGATCAGAATAATATTGAACTGGTCTATTCATTCTGGTTTGGCAAGACATCCACTTGGTCCAAAAGATACAATGGAAAGACCAAGCTTTGGTTCGGTCGAAGACGTGCACTCGACAAGGGTAGATTCGAACAACTGCTTCAAGAGGCAGCTGCATCAATCGACCAGTCCAATAACAACAACAACAACAACAACAACAACAACAACAACAACGCCATAGTGGATGGCATCTTTGATCGTTGGTCATCATTCCAACGAGGCAGGATCGCACTGTTGTTGCTGTTTGATCAATTCCCTCGAGCAATGTATCGTGGATCAGCTGACATGTTCAAGTATGACGATGTTGCATTGCGTCTATCACTGGACATACTTGACAATCCGACCAACCAAGATCATGCCTCTATGTACTCATTGCCAGAGCGTATCTTTATCTACCTCCCTCTGGAGCACTCTGAGAACTTGGAGCTTGTCACGAGGGCACATCAGTTGATGGAATCTATGGCCAGTGACTCACTGTTTCCCGCGCAACTCAAGTACTACAAAAGGTTCGCGCAATCTGCCCGCGACCATCTCGAGACCATCCAGAGATTCGGTCGATATCCCCACCGCAACTTCCTACTCAAGCGTCAGTCGACCGATGAGGAGCAGGCCTACCTCACATGGGCCAAGAACAACTCTTCACAATCCGCCCACGAGCCATCGAACGGTGATCACGAGGAGATCCAGTTGCGTCCTCCCGTGACCATGGAGAATCAATTCAAGCCCAAGAGAAAGTTCATCAACACCATCAACATTGCCCCTCCCATCAATGAGAAGCCAAAGTTGAAGTTGGTACTCTTACACAGGTATGTGTTCAGTCCTCCAAAGGTACATGTTCCACTCACTCACTCATTCAATCAATCAATCAATCGTACTAGTTTCCGACAGAATGGATCAATATTAAAGAGATCCACCAAGAAACTTGCTGCAATGTTATCGGATATCGCAACGATCTACTATGCCAACGCTCCATTGTCCTACAGCCCTAGTGGTGATAATAGGACAGCTTTGTTGACGGCATTTGGTGAGCTGCCACAGACTGGACATCAACGTCAATGGTGGAACGCATCCAAGGACAACAAGGTCTATCAACACCTTGATGCTTCGGTACATTACCTGACTCAGTTGTCCAAGACAGAGGGTCCATTCGATGGAATCATTGGTTTCTCCCAGGGTGCCGCCTTTACCGGCATCCTCGCAGCGTTGCAACAACAGAACCAACTGCTGTTTAATTTTAAGTTTGCCATCTTGATCTCGGGATTCACCTCGAGAGCAGAGGCACACCAGCCAATGATGCAACCTTCATTCGTTCGCGGACTGCCCACCCTGTCGATACTTGGAACTAGCGATGACCTAGTGGACAATGATAGGACTAGACAGTTGGCTGCACTGTTTGAGGGTGGTCGACTGGTACAACACGATGGTGGTCACTTTACACCAAACAGGTGGCCCAATCAAGAGATCAAGGAGTTTGTCAGTGAACAACAATCACTAATAGTTAATGGAGGCACTGATGTTGCTGTTGATGATGCGATTGGAAAGGAAGACTCAAACATCCCAGATCCATTACAAGAACTTGCAACGTTTGATGAGAAGATGGAGCAGTCATTACGAATCAACCGAACACGTCTAGTGACCAACTACAACAATGGCAAGACACTTGATGAGAGGTTCGCCATCACATTGCATGGACTCACTGCAGAGACTAGAAGTGCGTTGGTCAATGAGGAGGAGTTCAAATCACTCTTGGACAGCAATCCACCTTCATTGGACAGACAATCAATTGCCAATGACTCGATTGTCAAGCTTCATGCATGCCTCTCATCTTTTGATGATCTGTTGGTGATACTGTGGTCGACAAGACTCAACTTTAAACAGGACGAACCTCGTGACTACCCACTGTTCTACCATTTGTGGCTCAATCTCTACCTTGCACATCCTACCAAGCTCCTGACCAACCTTGACGCCTTCCCCAAGCTAGCTACATGGCGTGACTTGACCACTCTTGCCTACTATGGAAACAAGATGGCGCAACAACTTCAGTCAACCTCAACAGACATGGACAACAACAACAACAACACACGCATCACTCTTTTGAAACAGTTGAGACAGGTGGTCATTGAGATGTTCACCAAACAGTTGATGTCCGACTACAAGATTATCGACGTTGAGAACTCTGACGACACTATCGAGGATGATGAGAACAACTCTGACCAACTACTCAGGTGGCCATCCAACTGTGCTCTTGACGCACCCAGACTGGGAGGTGGTCGAAAGGGCTACTCGTCACTGCTGGCCAAGGACATTGCCAGGTTTATGTCACCAATCCCTCCCACACCCAAGGATGCCAACGATAAGCAAATAGGCATTGCCAAAGGACTCTGCTACGAGAACTATCGAAAGATTGTTGCCAGGTTGTCCAACCTTCTCAGGAGCACCTATCCAAGCACTGTCGACTATAGCGTCCAGAGATCGGATCGTGAGGCCTTCAAAAAGGGCGCCGGTGCTATGGGTATCTCGCCAGAGAACAGGAGAAAGATGATTGACGCTGCACCTTCCAACTATGTTTTGAACCCTGAGCCTGAGCCTGTGTTCCCATGCCCACTTGAGGAGCTGGACCCACTGCTCGAGTTTATGAAGGCCGACAAGCCCCTGTCCGATGATTCTTTGATCAGATTCACCAGAGGCACCTGCATGCCTGACGGCAGACTAGACCTGTGCAAACAGGTTGTTGGCCCTGAGGGCATCAAACCATTACTTGGTGCCATGAAGAAGCATAGCACAATCAAGCGACTACTGCTTGGCAACAACATTGTTGGTAACGGTGGTGCAGAGGCCATCGCCGACTACATTCTCAACAATCCAGACTCAAAGATTGACACTTGGTACATTGCGGGCAACAACTTTGACGAGGAGGGAATCACCCACATTGCTGCCGCCCTAGCCAACGACACCAAAGTAAAGGCACTCTGGCTCAAGAGGAATCCTCTGCTGAGCGCAGGTGTGAGACCACTGGCAAGAATGCTCGAGACCAACTGCTTCCTTCAAGTGTTGGACTTGCTCAACTGTGGAGTGCTGGATGAGGGTGTCGCCACAATCTTTGCTGCACTCAAGAACAACAAGACTCTCAAGCATCTCTACATTGACACCAATGGACTGACTGTGGCCAGTGCAGTGACTGTGGGTAACCATCTTGCCACTGGCAACAACCACCTGGAGACACTCTACTTGAGCTGCAATCAATTGGGAGACGCTGGAGCTGCCGAGATTGCCAAAGGTCTAAACACGGACAAGACACTTGTGCGATTGGGTCTGTCGTCCAATTGTATTGGACCGGCTGGAGCAAGGGCATTGGTGGAAGCAATCATCCCTCATCCATCACTCCTGTTCCTCAACCTTGGCTACACCAAAGCAACCTTTGTCATGGGTGCTCTGAACAATGTGCTAGAGGACGAGGGTGCCGCCGAGATATCCCGTCTGATCCGCTCGAGCAAGGTGATCAGGAGCATTGACCTGACTAATAATGGCATCTCCCAGAAGGGTGTTACGATGCTTCGTGAGGCACTGAGAGAGAACAAACAACTCACATCTCTCAATCTAATGCAGTTCAACATGGTGCACAATGAGGTGGCCAGAGAGAGCATCGACTCTATGCTCGCCAAGAACAGGTTACTCTGGGGCAAAGAGAAGTTGGCCGGTGCAGATGAACACAGCTGGATGAAGGTTGGTGATGAAATGGCCGAAGAAGTAAGACAGCCACAACATGTACAAGAGATCCTATCAGTCTACAGAACTAAATAAATAAACACCTTTCCGCGGAAACTCCTATCACTCTGAAGATTGATCAATCATCGTCATCGTCATCATCATCCAAAAGGTAGTAGTCGTCGTCTTCGTTGTCTATATAACTTTGTAGTTTATTAGAGAGAGAGCAACACGTTTAGATGGCAGCCTTCAACAACTTTCCGTAGTCCTTGAGGTGACCGTGGTTGGTGATCAGCTTAACGTTGGCACCGTCGTTGATGACACGACCGGCGGCCTTGAGCTGCTTGTACTCCTCACGATCGTAGGTGGTGAAACCCCACTTCTTGGAGATGACGATCTTCTGACGGCCTGGGAACTTGTAGGAGGAACGACGGAGAGCCTCAATGACGTGAGCAGACATGTTGTCCTTGCAACGAATTGAGAAGATGACCTGTCCGATGTTGACACGAGCAACAGTGCCGACTGGCTTACCGTAGGCACCTCTCATTCCGGTCTGGAGACGATCAGCACCGGCGCACGACAACATCTTGTTGATACGGAGCACATGCCATGGGTGAACGCGGACACGCATGTGGAACGAGTCCTTACCTCCGACCTTGGAGATGTACTTGTTGCAGGAGATACGTCCGGCCTCCAAAGCCTCAGAGGACAGCTGCTCGTACTCCAAAGAGATCAAGTGAGCACAGAATGGGAACTCATCTGGGGATGCCTTCTTACGACCCAAATCGTAGATTCTGATCTTGGCGTCTGGGACACCACGGCAGTATCTGGACTTGATGAAAGGCTTGTTCTTACAGTATCTGTAGCTATAATATGTTGATTGATTGATGATGATGATGGATGTTGTGTTGATTGATTGATTGATGAGATTGTATGATTAGCTGCTTATCCAATCGATTGGATGATTCAAAGTATGTATTTACCATCTAGCTGGACCTGTATATCATGAATGATTGAATAGTGAATCGATGATTGATTGATTGATAGATTGATCGATTGAGTTGATTGATGGGTGCAGAGTAAGTATCGATTAAGGATTGACCAACTTGATGATGATGTAGATACATACGTCTACCCATGATTGAATGTTGTACGTGATAAGAGCGAGGAACACTGGATTGAAGAAGAGCAAACCAATGAATCACATACCCTCTATCCTCCTCCACTCACACCACCACCACGATCCAATCAAATTAAATAAAAAAAAATCAAACAAATCAATGTTTTGAAACACCAACACGAATCACATACCCTCACAGACATACCCTCACACATTCTTTAGACTTAAAGAATGGTGGAAGGACAATGAAACGCAACAATGTCTGGTCATGTCTAATGACATAGAACAGATAATTAGACAATGATACGATGTTTAGAAGTAAATTACAATGGGTTTTGTTGTTTATTGTGTATTGGCCAATAGTATAAACCATTGACCAATGTCTTGAAGTGTTACTTTCAAGTCTTGAACAGTGATGTGTATGTGTGTCTTCCTTAGATGGTAGTGAAAGGATTATGGTAGTCTAGTTGGTGTTGGAAATGACTGTTTAAAAGTCCTCCAAGCCACTGGCGTCAGCACCTGGAAGTGGAGCACCTCCGATGAGTCCGTTGGCAGCGTTGAACAGGTTAATTGGCGATGAACCGTCGGTGAGCAAGACGGTCTTGAGTCCGAGACCCTGCAGGAGCTTGGCCTGCATCTCTGGACCGGCCTGGGCGATGGCCTTGATGGTCTCGGTTCCGAGGGCAGAGACCTGGTTGGAGAACTTGCCAACCTCGATGGCGGCCAACTCTCTTGCCTTGGTGATCTCGAGATCGTTGAGTTGCTTGATGTGATCAATCTCCATCTCTTGCTTGGCAACCTCCTCCTCCAGCTCGGCGGTAGCCTCAATCTCTGAGGCCTGGCACTCAAGCTTGGCCTTCTTGACCTCTGCCTCGGTGGCAATGAGGGCAGCCTCGGCACGAGCACGAGCCTCGGCGATAGCCTGACCGGTGGACTCAACGCTGGCTGACTGAGCCTGCAGCTTGACGAGGTTGGCACGGGACTTCTCAGCCTCTGCCTCGTCGACGATCTTTTGGCGCTCCAACTCACCTCTGGCCATCTGGTCCAGACGCTCGGCCTCTTGACGGGCGGTAGCCTCTTGGGACTTGGTGGTAATCTCGATGGCCAGCTGGACAGACTTTTGCAGAGAGTCGAGGGTACGCTGGTCGACTGGCTCGACAGACTGAACATCAATGTTGGTGATGACCAGACCGTTAGTCTCAAACACCAGACGGTTGTTGGGCTCGCCGTCAGCGTTCTTTCCAAACACAGAGGTCTGAATAATCTCAGCCGAGTGCTTGTGGAAGTGGTCAAAGGTGGCGGCAGCGACGGCAGCACGGACCAATGAACCGGTGGCCTTGCAAAGGTCTCCAGTAAAGTCTGGTGTGGCAAAGAGACGGGATGGGTTCTTTGGGTCAACCTGGAACTCCCAGTTGTAGGAGAGCTTCAGGGAGAGACGGGCGTGGTCAGCAGTCTCGACGGTGATGAGATCGGTCATAAAGTCTGGTCCGAGGAACAGAGCCAAGGAACGGATGTGGTTTGGTCTCTTGGGGATCTTGCCCGAGAGTGAGAGGACGGTGAACTCCTCATCTGGGGCCAACATAACCAACTCTGGTCCAAAGATGACACGTGCCTGCTTCTTGCGGTAGTCGTAGATCTGGACGGCGGCCTTGTGTGGCACACGGTAGGTGACAACCTGGGTTGGGTCACGCTCAACCTCATTGTGCTCCTCGTTGACGTCACGGGTGGCAGACTTGCTGAGCAACTCCTCGACGATTGGGGACAGGGGCTTTGGCCATCTCTCCTCGTTGGGGAGCAACATGTATGATGTACCAATGACAGAGCGGACCTTACCGGTCTTGGTGTCACGGACGTAGATTCCTTCGTTGACATCGAGTGGGATACGCTTGCGACGCTCGACAATGTCGACTTGGATGGGTGGGATGTAGTCACATGGTCCGTAGATCATCCAGAGATCACCTGGCTTGCGGTTGACCTTGTCCTTTCCGACGACATCGCCAAAGGACTCCTTGCAAGTGAGCAGCAAGGCCTCATCCTCAGAGAGGACATTGACGTTTTGAATGCCAGAGACGAGGTTCTCACCTGGCAAGAGGAAGAAGGTGCGCTCACCGTGACGCAGCTCTTGGTGGCCAAGACGGTTCTTGCCAGTGGCTGGGTCGACTGGTGAGTCAACCAAACAGTACTGACGGGTGGTCAGGGTGATGGACTTGATGTCACGGACGACCTTCTCGTTGACGTCTGGGATGTAGGTCTCACAGTCCTTGATGGTGATGATCCACTCCTCGCCAGCCTTTCTCTGCTTGCCAAAAGTGTCCTTGAAGGAGCGCAGGGCCAACAGGTGGTAGCCGACACGCTCAGTCAAAACAAGGGACTGGGACGAAACCGACAATCTCCTCGTAGACGCCTGGCAGGTAGGCACCAGAGTCACGGACCAACCACTCCTCATTTGGCTGACGGATGACTCCCTTGCGATCCTTTGTGACGAGACGAGCACGGAGCTTAAGGGCCTGATTCTCCTTGATGATGACGGCCTTGACTCCCTCGAGCACCTGAACCTCAATGCGTGGGTAGTAGGTACCTGGACCCTCAAACAACCACTCATCACCAGCGACGTGCACGACCTCAGTCTTCTTGTCGGCAGCAATCTCTACAAAGTCACGCAGACACTTGAGTCTCAGGGCGTTGTTGGCCAGGACCACCTGCAGTGGCACTGGGAGGGCCAAGAGAACCTCACCTGGGAACAGTGGGAATGGCTCCTGGGAGAATCTGATCTCCTTGTCACCGTGACGGAGCTTTGGCTGCTGGAACTGATCGAGCTCCAACTTTCCATCCTTGGCTCTGATCACTGGATTCTCAACGATGCAGTAGTTTCTTGGTGGGATCAACACCATTGGCAATGGAGATGGAGTCAATACTTTCTCATGATCCAATCTAGTGAATGTCTGTGGACCAACTTCAACGCGAGTCACATTTGTGTTGTTATCCAATACCTAATTTAATATAAATATGATTTGTTAGATTAGATTGTTGTTGTTGTTGTTTGATTGATTGACAGAAGCTAACTTACATGAATGTAATGGTGTGGCTTGATTCTAATGACTGTAGTAGGAGTTGGAGTTGACATTCTTTATATATATTAGAGTGTTTTATGAGATAAGTTGTGTAATATATAAATATTCTTATTGAGATAAAGATGAAGCAATTAAATGATTGATTGAACTTATGATCAGCAGCTTGATGACTTTTTATGCTAGGTGATCTTTTGGTTGTAAATGTTTCAATTTAACTCTAGAGTGCACATCATCATTCAATCTAATTATCAGTTTTGTGATAAAAAACTTGGAAAATATTTATAAATTTAAAAGATATTTTCGTGGAAGGTATACCACACACATTTTTTTCAATGTGATGTCACTGACCGATTGACAAAGAGATACACACCACTGTTGACCTAGCCCACATTCGACTGATTGATTGTCAATGACAACTCTGACATTGCAAGGCAAGAAGAAGAAATAATAATATTTGTTTACAACCAACGTAGTGTTACTGAATCACACTCAATCAAGCCTGAACATACTGAGTGTATGGCTGTCTCCAATCACTTAAGGTCATCACCTCAGCATGTTAATTAATTGGACTCTGAGCATTCAACAAGTGAATGAAGGCACACAGAGCACTCACCAACACAACACAAACAAACATCACGTGAGAGAGGAGTGTTTTGAAACTTCTTTCGAGTGATTTGATTCAATTTGGTGTTGTTTGGGAAATAGATTTTTGCAGAGTACCACCACCAAAGTCATTTTGCATTCATTCCTTCATTCATTCATCCTGTTACCTCTATCTATCTACTATCTATTTTAAAAGATCATCAATAAGGTGCAGACAGATAAACTATCTATTATTATTATTTGTATTATATATATATATCATTCATATTCATCATACATTCTACACAGTTGTAACAACAAAGTGATATTTGAGTAATGTCGGCGGCACTTGCCAACAAGAAACTACAACGTTCGCCAGTCATTGAGAACATTGTCAATGCACTATTGTTCTCGGCCAATGACAATGATGAGACTGTCCGAAAGAGTGTCATCTCTTCAATCTATGACATTGGTTTCCGTCAACCCAACACTGTACTGGCATTGGCTTGTGACTATTTGAACAAGAATCAAAAGGTAAGAGAGATTGTGAGGGAGAGCTACCAACCATATACTTATACTCATTATATTACACCTAGATTGATCTTGTACATAGAGTAACAATACTAAAGTCAATGCATCAGATACTTGGTGAGAAGCGTGATGAGATTGTTGATTCATTATGCTTGGATCTCATAAAGATGTCTGTCAGTGAGTTGACCAGAGACAAGGAGGTCGTTCCAGATTGGCAACAGGCTGCTTCATCACTCATGGTCTCATTGGGTCTTCGCTATCCAAATCAAATCATGGATGAACTGGTCAARGAGATTTGAGACTGGATCAATTCCACACTACTTTATCATGAAGACCATTGGTGACTTTATTGGTTCCAATCGTATGTACATTATCATTATACCATTGGAGCGTCATACTCATCATTACTAACCATATAACAACTAGCCGTACCAACTGTACCACGTATTAGAGATGTATTATCACGTGTACTACCTGTTCTTGCATCGATCAAGCATGATAATATCAAATGGGTGTTTGCCTCTGCTCTTGGAAACTTTGCTGATGCTATCGTTGCCTACGTCTCCAACATTGATGCCGGCAGCGACAAGTCATTGACTCTGTACACATTCAGTTCAGAGTTTTATCCGGCATTGGAGTTGATGTTTAGCAAGTGGCTGTCGAGCAGTCAGGATAAGGTGCGTCTTGTCACCATCCAATCTATCGGTTCAATCTGCTCGATCCTCGCCGTTGAACAATTGGACGCACAGGCCAATCGTATCATCACCGGTCTATTGCCAATGTTTAAGAAGGAGAAGGATGTGTTGCCAGTGTGCCAGGCATTGGCTCACATCCTAGAGGTCTGCGTCAAGAATGACCTAAAGGTTCAGATCGAGTTGTTGTTGCCATCCATCATGATGACCCTCCATCCACTGGTGTGCATCATACCAGACTTTAACAACCCTGCCTCATCAAAGTTGTTCAACGAAGTGTTGCACTGCTTTGAGATCATTGGACGTGGTTTCCCCGATCAACTCGTATCGTTCCTTTCACAGCGCCTGGAGATTAAGGATCCAAGATCACGTGCTGGATCACTGTCCATCATCAAGCACGCCATCTCTCGTTTGGATGCAGAGTTGGGAGAGGAGAGAAAGATGATGATACTATCTGCAATCAAGCCTCTCATTGGTACAGAGACCTCATTGTTTGTCAAGAAGTATCTGGCTCAGGTGGTCGTATCAATGGCATCAAACGGCTACATCCATTTGGAGGGTGGATTGTGTCTGGTGGAGTTTGTCATTAAGGGATCCAGCTACTTTGTCGACACAGAGATTGGCAAGCCAGCGCCTCCCCAGGACAAGAAGAAGGAGCCAGTCAACGAGATGACCGTCACAGAGTATGAGTTTAGAAAGATATGTGACGACATTCTCAATCTGATCACTACCACGGTGCCCAACATGGAGACTGTACTGTGGCCCTACCTCTTTGAGTTTATCACACCGATCGAGTACAGTGGAGCCTGTGCCATATTGGCCAAGTGCGTTGGATTCCTTGCGTGGAACAGACGTGAGCAGGAGGCCGATGACTATTACATTGACTTTGACAAGGAGGTCAACCTGCCCAAGCCAACACAGATCATTGCAAGATACTTTGTTCTTTTGACCGCTCCACACCGTCGCAACGAACAGGGCACACGTATTCTCGAGGCAATGCGTGCCATTGGACCAATCCTACATCCATCGATCTGTGACATGTGGGACGTCACACTACCCAAGCTGGCGCAATTCCTCGTCGACCACCCCGACAATGAACAATTCAACAAGAACCAATGGGAGGAGCTTGTTCTACGTCTACTGTCCGAGACGATCAAGAACGCCGCCGACGATGAATGGACCGTTGCACTGGGCACCTGCACGTCTGACCAGATTGATCATTACAAGCGCGATCCCATCCTCAAGCGCTCGCTCTACAAGCAACTGGGCTTGGTGATGCAAAAGTGTTCGCACAAGGAGTTTGTCAAGACCAAAATCGAGGCAATGTTCAACTCGGTGGACTACACCAGCGCACTAGAGAATGAAGGATGTGCCGTTGGTCTGGGCTACTGTGCCGCCTCCCACTTTGACATTCTTCTCGAGAAGATTGGACTGTTTATCAAGAACAACATGGCCAAGAAGACTGGATTCTTTAAGAAATCAGGACCAAAGGGTATCAAGAACTGTGTGCTCCTCAGTTTGGCGTACGCCGCCACCTACTCTCAACCAGTGTTGTTGTCGACACGTGTCGAAGTTCACATGCTCACACCAATCAGACCATCGATCAGCATTCTAAAGAAGCCATTGAAGAAGCTGTCGGCCATCAAGATGATTGATTGCATTGGTAGAGCACTGCACCACGACAAGGTACCAAACTTTGTCTTTAAACAACGTGATGAGTTGTTTAAGTTGTTGGTGCAATATATGGCCACACCACCACCCTCTGTCAACTACCAAGTCAAGATTGAGGGTATCAGTGCATGTTCCACTCTGGCCAAACTACAACCAACACTACCATTGGACCTTGAGGGTCAGATTGTTACATTGTTGCTTCAATTCTATGGAGCACAGGCAGCCAGTGCACCAGCCGACGACTCTGCCGATGTCAACAATATGGTGTCTCAGATCAACACATTCTTCTCCACAATCCTCTACACTCAGACCTCTATAGTCTGTCTGAACCGTCTGGTCCAGTACCTCGATCCATTGACCCGTGCCAAGGAGGCACACCTACGTGAGAGATCAATTGGTTGCATCCTCTACTTGGTCAAGAAGTTTATCGAGTACTCTACAGACGCCGAGCAGATACCCGCCGAGAAGAAGTTTGAGCACATTGGTACATCACTGTCTGTGATCATACCAAGATGTGCTGATCCCGAGCCAACCGTTCGTAAGAATGCAGTGGAGACCATTCAGTTGATGTTGTACATTGACTATATGCTCAAGAATGTGTCCTACGAGAACCGTCGTGTCAAGCCAGTGGACACCATCCACCCACTCACTCAGATCAAGGAGAGCATAACCACCACCGACGTTAACGAACAGTTCACATTGGTGTTTGAGATCTCTGGCATCATCTCAAAGATGTTGGTGATTGAGGAGATACCAACGTTCTTGGAGAGCAGTCTCAAGGGACTTCAAGACGTACATACGTTCAGTACCAATGGCACATGCATCATGATCAATGGTTTGATCAAGAACCGAGGTGGAGAACTACTGGACTATGTACCAATGCTCGTCAAGGGATTGCTCAGCTCGATGGAGGGTATCACGTCGGATACCACAATGAATGGTACATTGGTATCATTGAGGAGTTTGGCCACTCATCATCTCATCTCTGTGCTCACTGTACTGTTGGACTTCCCAATGCCACACAGCACCCATGTGATCAAGTCATTGCAGATCATTGCCAAGGACAAGAACTTGGTGGTACCAACCATCACTCATTTGATGGACCTCTTGAACAACAAACCAATATATGAGGACAAGCCAGACCCCAAGGACAAGAAGAAGACTGTTCCATCACCATATCTGATTGCATTGGCAGCCACCTGTTCAATTGGTGAGATTCTCCAATTGGAAGAGTTCTCTGATATTGCCGGAGTGTACTATTGTCAATTGTTCTCAACATTGGCCCTTCGTGCTGGTACTACCAACAACTCATTGCCAGGTTTCATTGAACCACCTGCAAACAATCCAAAGGCAAAGAGAGTAGAGATTATACCGTCACAGTAAGTAGTCATAGTTGTAATAGTACACAATGTTTCTAATCAAAATGTTCACCTTTCACATTCATGTAGACAAATGGTAACATCATTCAAACAATTCTTTAAATGTACAAAGGATTTAGAGATATTGGAGGCATTGGAGACCAAGGGCAGTATGACATCATTGGAGGGACCAACATATCATATTGCAATCCAAGAGATCACTGCTCAGTTTGCACAGGCTCATCCTGATCTACTTAGAGGAGTGTTTGACTACTTGATCCCCTACCAACGTGCCAACTACGTTCCACAGAGGATCATTGCACTGTCTGTCTTTTCAGAGATGATCAATCATTGCAAGGATAAGGAGTTGCTTCAACGCCTGATCAACACTCTATTGAACTCGCTGGTGGAGCCAGCTCTCAAGTTGATCTCTCTCAAGGGTCTCAGTAATGTGGTGTCGGCCGGAGAGGAGGCCACCAACAGATACGCACCCACCGTCATTGACGCCATATCATCGGCGATTGATGACGCAGACGAGGTGATGGCCATGGAGGCTATGCTCGGTCTATCACGTATCTTTGCTCTGGTGGACGAGGCACGTGTCGCACCAATCCTCGTCAACATTTGCAACCGTATCAAGCCAGCATTTGAGAAGCCCAACAATGAGATCCGTGCCGCAGCCTTTACTCTGTTTGGATCATTGTGGAGATTCGGCTCTGGTATGGCCAGTGACTCGTTCTATGAGCAGATTCATTACAACCTTCCATCGATCGTTATGCATCTCAACGACGAGGCACCAGTGGTCAGAGCAGCCTGCAAGACAACGCTCAGACAACTATCACAGTTGTTGAGAACAGAGGATGCTGTACTACTGTTCAACAGGAAGTGTTTCGATGCCAATGATGCAACGTTGGACTATGATGTATTCTTGGATGACCTATCAAAGTTATTTGTAAGTTGAAGATGTTGTCGTGTAATTGATCAATTTAATTTATTAACATATTGCGCATACCAGATTGCAATGTACATGGATAGGATTAACTTCTTTGTAATGACAGTGATTGAATACTTTAAGAGCAATTGGACCCAGTTGCGTAGCAATGCTGCAACACTTACAGGATTCATTCTGGGCAACATGCCCGAGGAGAAGAAGACTGCAGTCAATCCATCGATCATCACCAAGGCTGTGGTGTCACTATTGAATGAGAAGTCACCTCTGGTCAGGAAGAGGGCGGCCGATGCTCTCTCCCTTTTGCACACTTATTAATCAAATAATACATAATAAATCAGCAGTAACAAACTTTTCTAGGATCTCAGTTTTGAAAACTTGCCCACAAGTCCTTGGTGATAATCGATATGGAATGCAGTGACTTTGCAATCCTACGACTTTGCAATCCAAAGACAAAAACAAAAATATTTCATTTGATTGTATTATCAATTATTATAACCATGTCATTCTTATCGCCAGCTACAAAGTACTGTACCCTTTGTCATACCAGTCTTTTAATAACATCTAGTCATAATCATTACCTCCAATCAAGAGATTGTACCACACTCAGACCTTATTCTTCAAGGCCTTAAGTTGACAATCTCAGACTCAACATCGAATTAACAAGGTAATTTTGTTTGAATGTTGGGTATCATTTATTGGAACATTGTAGGACCAGTAAATTGGCTCGTCAGTTAAGGAGCATCGGAAAAAAAAAATACTCATTGGTTGGTATCGAACCCAACAAAACAATAAAAAGCACCTCGATTGGGGATCGAACCCAAGACCTTCTCCTTAGGAGGGAGACGCTCTTCCACTAAGCTATAGAGGCAATTTGAAAAAAGATTTTTCGTTACATTTTTTTGCGCGGGAAAAATTTTGCACCAGAATAAATAATGAAGGTTCACAAAAGAATAATTTTGAAAAGACAGGACTTGATAATTTTAATTAAAAGTTCTCAAAGAGCCATTATGATGCCAAAAAAAATCAAGAAAGGGGATGATAAAAAGCATCGAGACCATTTTATTTGAAAAAGCATTTACCACATCATCAATCTCATCGATAAACTAGCCGTGTCGTTTCATAAAATATCCAAATATTAATTAGAACTAGTTCTTTTAAACCGTCGAACATATCAATTGATTTACAAGTTCTTGATCATAATTAATACAACAACAATGAATCAAACAAATAGAATATTCATTTACTCATTATTATTAGTCACCACACTCATCTGTCTTGACAGGTGGTCCACAGTACAAGGTCAGGCCGCCTCAAGTTCTTGTGCTGGATCACCTGTTACCATCAGTCTACCAACTGGTACACCCTACAACACTATCAATATCAAGCTACCGTTAAACAGTCTGGTGGTCCAAAGTAAACCAGGAACTGAGTGGGGTGCCGTACTCTATGGTGATGGTGAAGCACTAGGCAAGCTATCAATCGCACCTGGTTCAGTTACCAATGGAGTTCTCTCTCTAGTTGTCACTGGATCTACAACACCAGGTACGACATCTTCAACCATCTCTACTATCTCTACCACATCATCATCACCTCAAACAACATCATCAACTTCAACAACATCATCAACAACAACAACAACAACATCACATTCCACAACTGGATCTACAACAACTCAGACACCAACTATAACTGCAACAACAACAACGACAACAAATTCTGATACTACTTCTACTACTACCACTACCTCAACAGGTATTGTACCAAGTGATGGTAACATTTTGAACTCTCGTATCACCTCGACAACCATATTCTCAATGATATCATTGTTCCTATCTGCACTCTTCTTGGTACCCAAAGTTCGCCTGTCACCAATGATCGCTACCATAATGATCCCAATGATCTTTGTCTGCCTACCTCTACTAGTCATCTCTGTACCCAACCCATTGTTTTGGTGCCAACGAGGAACACTTGTTATCACCTACCCAGCAGGTGGTCACATACTGGTCAATGGTCTCCAACAGCCAACATGCTCTGCCAACTCATCCTCACCCCAATCAGTCCAGACACCCACAGTCAAGTATGTCCAAGAGTTCCTCGACACGTTCTGGTTCTCAAGTCCTGCCGTTGTAGACCTTGACAATGATGGTGTACCTGAGTTGATCGTCTGTGAATCAAGATGTCGTGTCTACAAAACCACCCCAACAATCAAGCAGATTCAATCTCTGGTCGTTGGTCAACGCGTGTACGCTCCACACTGTGTCACTGACCTAGACAACAATGGAAAGATTGATCTCTGCTTTGCAGGTGGTGCAACAAAGACGACGGTCAACTGCTATGAATGGGCAGACAACACAAACATGTTCCAGGTCAAGTCTGGATGGCCAGTGAGAGCGGGCACAGCTGGTGGTACAGAGGTACGAGGAATGGCCTGTGGTGACATTGACCAGGATGGTAATGTAGACATTGTAGTGACCTCTACAGATGATAATGTACAGGTCTATGCCTACAACTATAATGGACAACTAAAGTCAGGATGGCCTCGTTACAACTTGCTACATGGAGCAGACAATGATGCAAATCCAGGATCAAACGACTTTGATGGTCGTAACCTATATGGTCACGAACGTTATGGTACCTATGGTCTAAACGTTGGTATTGGTAACCTTGATGATACTTCAGATTTAGAAATTGTTGTTACATACGAGTAAGTACAATATGTTACAATCCTTTTGTGAAGAAATACATACTAACTATTACTATTACCATTCCAAAGTAATCATCAACTACAAGTATTCAAATATAATGGTATAGCATTGAATGAGAATCCAACCTATACTCAGAATCATATTGGAAACAAAGCAAAGTCTGCAATTGGTCAACCATTGACATTTGGCCAACACACTCCACGTTGGACTAAAAAGGTTGTGGATGAATATGTCGTCGTCAATCATGCCAATGGTGATTGTTATCCAAATCCAGAATCGGATGGATGTGGTGGCAATCCTCCAGCCGGCACTGGTCTCGATGAATGGCTTCAATTCACTGCATCACCTGCCTCTGTTGTGGACATTGACGCCGATGGAAAGGCAGAGATTGTAGTGTTGCCAAACTCTGAGATGGGAATGGGTACCAACACCTACATCACTCAGAACTATCGTCTCTATGTTGTTGATGCTGCCTATGGCAATGGTGGAGACCCACACGTTCAAGCTACTCGCGCCGGTCTTCGTCACACTGGTTTCGATGGCGCAGAGCCACCCGCAGGATCAATCCCTTCTTGTCAAAACAACACGGCCGATGCCTCTGCCTGTCGTATCGACAATGATTACCCTCCAAAGGGAGTGCCATCACCATCCTTTGCTGATTTCCAGGGCACTGGTAAGCTGTTAACTGTGGCTCCCTTTGGAGATGGAACAGTACGTGCCTTTACCAATGCTGGTGTTCAATCGTGGAAGTTCAACTTTGCAGCTGACCTCGGAATTAACATTCAAGTGGCAGCACTAGAGGCTAGTGAGGCAATGCTTGCGGACCTCAATGCTGATGGTGTTCCAGAGGTTGTGTTCTCTGTGTATGGCCGTCCAAACAAACAGGACCCCTCGATGCAGACCACTGCCAACCAATACATCTACATTCTATCAAGCGCTGGTACTCCTCTCTACAAGCTACCATTGTTCAATGCCAACACTAAGGGCAATACAGCAACCAATGGCAATGGCAATGGAATGTGTGGTGCACCAACTGTGGCTGACATTGATGGTGATGGACAACTTGAAATCATTTCTCATACGTTTGATGGTCGCATGGTGATCTTTACTGTGCCAGGTTCAAAGACCAACTGTTTGCCGTGGCCCACTGGACGTGGTGGTTTGATGCGCAAGGGTCAGCCAGACTACCCATACAATCACTAAATCTAGTGTTGTTGTATTTTTAAATAAACATTAGATTATTATGACTTTCAAACATCCTCTAGGGTCTTGATTGAATAATTTAGTTTGAGTTTGAGTTTTTTTTTTTGAGTTTGAATGTTGGGTATCATTTATTGGAGCATTGTGGGACCAGTAAATTGGCTCGTCAGTTAAAACATATCATTCGACTCTGGAAGTTCCTCATGTTACAATTTAGTAATAAGTTTGAGTTTGAATATTGGGTATCATTTATTGGAGCATTGTGGGACCAGTAAATTGGCTCGTCAGTTAAGCGATGTGAGCGGACTACAATGACGCCAATTCCACACTTGAAGTCACTGGGCGGCAAGTTCACTGGTCTCTTCCGCAAGTTCCACACACCTTGGATGGAAGGTTTGTGAGTCGTGAGCAACGATTTAGTAATAATAGGTTAAAAAAAATAAAATAAAAAATGATTTATCAAGAATGGGAATCGAACCCATGACCCAAACCGTGTTAAGGTTTTGTGATAACCAACTACACCATCCTGACTTCATATCCGTCAGTTAGGAGAGAGAATGGGTTATGGAAGAGAGACTTCACAATCTGCTACTTTTATTAACATTGATCCCAATGGCCGAGTAAAATATGAATAAAAAAAAAAAAAAAAAAAAAAAACATCCTGACTTCATACTCAACAAATGTAAACAATCAATTTCCTTAACAAGCGACAAAGGAACTCTCCCATTATCCTTTTGGCCCTCATATATATATATATATAATAATACATATATACATACAAGATACGTTTGTAGTCCTTGTGATCAGTTGGAGATAACTTATGCTCACTCTGTTGCGCTTTAAGTTATCTCTATCTTCTCTCTTTCTAAAGAGGGCGCAATCGACCACCCACTGCCCCTATAGTGGGTCAGAACTGAAATTAATTGGTTTTGATCAAGAGACACAGTCAAGCTGCTTGGTACCCTGCATCAGTCCAGTGACACAAGTTGTTCTGAACATCCCTCGAGCCTGCTCTAACGCACCAGCTCTAGCCTTTCATGTTCAACTGCTGATTGCCTACCACACCTACTTCTCTCTATCAACTCCAACCTACCCAGCCAGACAAACGAACCCGACTGCAGTGATACGCGCGAGGAGGCCGCACCAATGGCTCCACCACGCAGGCCCATCTGCACTCAGGATTCCCCAACCATTGACGAAAAGTTCCCACGAGTCTCAGGGTGCGACTCACACAGCGGAGCAGGAGGAGCTCCGTCCGTAAACGATGCGTCAACATTGGCATGCACGACCGCCGGCAGAATACTTTTTATAGTAGTCGGGTATTCACCTCACGTCCTACACGCCTGCACGCAAACCACGAGTGGTTTGCCACGTCAAGAGCCCAATCCCTCAGCCTGAACAGCACGCCAACAACGGCCATGTCCATATGAACAGGACTACCGCTAGTCTCCATGCAAACGATGGATCAACCCTTCTCTTACGACCTTCCGATTTTGAACAAAGTATTATTAATATTTTTTTGTCGTCGACTATTAAATTATAATCATTAAACGTGTTTACACTTTATTCTACGATGACCGACGATGAAAGTGCCTTGAACTTTAACGATCAAATCCATATGATCGCCATTTGACAGAGTCCAAATAGGTGCTTCCAATACTTGGATGAAGGTCCGGTATCTGAGCATGGATGGTGCGCACTTTTTGCAAGCCATAGGTGGACACCAGATTCAACACGGCCTTCTCCACGATTGGATGAACCTCTAGGATCTTCAGTCGGTCCGAGTAGTATCTGCTCAGTGAGGACGATGACAACAGGCAATTCCTAATGTCGCCAACAATCTCGAATATCTTTACAAGACACTCCACTGACTTGGGATGGAACTTCTCGTTGGTGATCAATTTGAGTATCCTCTCCGCTTCTACCAACTCCTCTAGACGATAGGCCAGCTGGCCAAGTCTGATCCAATCGGCAAGTGTCCTGTTGGGATTGATGTTCTTCATCGTGACATTGCTAAAGTGTTCGAGCGTGGACTTCTTTGTTTCCTCTTCTTCCCTCCACTGTTGGAACGATTTGTAGTCCTGGAACAAGGCGTGGAAGGCAAGCTCAACGTTCCTGTGGATTTCAACAGCGGGCAGGTTGGCCTTGAATCCACCAAGCTCAACAAGATGATGCTCCTTCCTATCTTTGAGAGAGTCCAGACCAAAGTGATTGATAAATGATTCGAGTACTGTGTTTAGATCTTGAAGGTTGACAGTGTTCTCATCAAAGTTCACTCGTGTAGGTCGTTTCTCCTGTTGCTGTGACAAGGCTGGCTCTGTTGTTGATGTAGTGGTGGTAGAGGTTGAGCTGTCTGTAACTACGTCGGAGGACGTGTTGTCCTTTTGGTGATCTTCTGCGTGGTCCTCTTCAATATCACTGCCATCAGAGGTGACGTCCTCCTCTCCCCAAAGACCCTCCTTTGGAATGTTTGATTCAGGTACGGGATTGTGTGACTCAGAGCCTTCGGTCAAGGAGCCATCGGTCATCACAGTGTTCTCGGTGGCTTGAGCTCTGTTGACTGGTGAGGTTGTGTTGTGACCATCTTTTGTGAGCGACGCCTGACTGCCAGATCCATCGTTTTGAGTTTGGTGCTCTCTCTCCTTTCTCTGTTTGGTGCGGATAGATACGGCCAGCTCGTCCAACACCTTTGACTTCTTCTCGTTTAGTTGTAGCCATCCTATCTTCCTAAACATCGAGACCAGTAGCGTATAGACCTCGGATGATTCACCCCTCAACGAGAGAGAGGTAAGCTGTTTCAAGAACTCATCACCTTGCTCCTCGTCAAACTCCAATTCCTCATCCTCCAGTATGGTCCACATGTTTGGATGATCTGGTGGCGGTGTCACTCTCTGGTACTTTGCCTTGCCAATACGATCAATCATTGCGTCATTCTTTAGGAATGGTGCATTGTTGATCATAATCAATGCCTATATGGTATTGGATATATATGTTAGAGATTGGATTGATGTGTGTGATCTATTATATACTTACCCATTCAAATTGACCAAGTTGTACAAGGATCCTAGCAGCAATCTTCCAACCACGCACCAATAGAGGCTTCAAGGCAATTGATTTCAAGATGGTCTTGAGAGCAGTGGTTGAGAGTTCAACCGACTTGTCAGAGTGTGCTGATTCCTTCTTTGCTTGGGCAAGCAGGGTCTCAGCCAATGTCATGAGCAATGATGTTGACTCGGGCTGTTGCTTCAAAGCCTCGGTGAGAGAGTCTGTGGCTGCCTGGAAGTCAGTCATCATTGTTTGGGCATAGGCAATGACCGAAGTGACCGTGGGTTCAGTCTTTCTAAACTCCTCAAAGAACTGGCGCAATGGCTCGTAACGATTCCTCGATGCAAAGTAGTTGCACAGTGTCTGTACCAATAGATTGTTGCTGTCATCCGTCTCGAATGCCTCTGATCCATTGAGTGTTTGCATCTGTCTGTCGACGTATTCACCGTCCAAGCCACCAAGCTTCCTGCCCTGCCAGAAGTGCTGATGACAGAGGGCAAGGAAGGCAGCCTCCTCAGTGGTGTCCTTGAGAGCAGGCAGTATCTTGACTGGACGCAAGAAGGGTGGAGGCGACTGGATGGCCCGAAGCATTGAAGAGAGGTAGGTCTCACGCCAAAATGACTCCTCTACAGTGTTCTTCTCACCACTCGCACCAACGCTGTAGACTACTGGTGTTGAGTTGTTGATGCCAATCTCCACGTGCAGATCCATCTTTAGGAAGCAGTTATAGGCACAAAAGTGACAGCCTTCAATCTTGTAGCTGCCACGACCAAATGATGACTTCTCCTGGTGCTCGACCAGTGTGCCCAAGTAGACTGCGATCGATGATGCCGAACTAGTGTCTACGCCACTCACCCAGTGGAATGAAGACAGCTTCTGTGGTTTGAGTCCCGGTACGAATCTTGGTGGTTCATAGCTCTTGATCAGTACACACAAGTCTGGTGGTCCAAGTCCTGTAAAGTTGACCAATGCCAACTGTCTCGACGCCAATGCCTCACCAAACACACCTTCTACTTTCTCCTGTATGTTGCCAATGTATTCACCCATCCTATCCTATTTGAAGAAAACAATATATGTATTTACTAGGCAGTTACTACAATAATCTATTCTTCCTATCTATCTATCTATCTATCTAACTAATTAATTAATTATTGAATAGAAGATGTTGATGTTGATGAAGATGATTGTTGTATTGGTGAGAAAGAGAATAGGATGAACTACACACACACCACCACACACACACACACAAACATATAATTACACACACACCATGATGGTGACCATTTCATTAATAGTTATCTGTGTGTTAACCACGTATGACTTACACACTCACACACTCTCTCATTTGGATTAATGTAACTTCCGTTTATTGATTGGTCAAACGCAGGACATTGCAAAGGACACACAGAGACTTTAGCACACGCTCTCGTCGAAGTAGTGGAACAATGATCTCGGCTGCCGCAGAGAGAATACGATAGCAGGTCCTGATTCGACCAGGTGTTGGGAATGGCCACAGTGTCCTCATCACTCCATACAGTGCTACGGCAAAGAAGTGCATTGCCAACACTGATGGTTTAGGACGCAGCCCAGAAAGCAGCGCCACCGGTCCAGCAGAGAACTCACCACCGAGGCCAAGGTAGCCAAGACAAGCCTGACGCAGATTATCATTGTCGGCACTAAACACTCTGTAGAGGGCGCCAGCCAATACGTTCATCGTTGAAGCCAATGGTGTGCGCTGTACTCTAAACTTGAGCATGATTGTCTTCATCCTGTCGTGGTCCAATAGGTCAGCCTGTGAGCAGTTGGCTAGCAGGCTGGTTAGGATGCAGACATCGGACAATGCCACGGTCATACCGGCACCAGTCAAGGGATGGCGCATGTTCCAAGCGTCACCAATCATTATGACACCTGGTTGAGCAATATCGTCTGGATGCAGTCGAGAGTTTGGCATCTTCTTGAGTTGGTCATTGTGGAGAGCGTGGATGAATGCTGTTCGCAATTGTTCTGGCAACTGTGGAGCGGTTTCCAATTCGAATGTCGATTTGAGTTGTGAGTTTGAAGGACACTTGTCGCCTGGTACATCCACCAGCACTCTAATCTCGTTGCTACCAATTCTATACATCAATATTGGTGATGGATCAACCAAGAATACATGTCCATGCTCAGGGAATGGTAGTTCACAGTCTTTCAATATCATACTAGTAGATGGTTGACCAGAGTGTTAGTATGAATGATGATGATGATGTTGGTGATCAACAGAATGTTCATGAACACACATACCCAACGAAAGTTGAAGTGACTTGGGGAGTCTGAGTGGTGAGAGTCCTCCTAAGATTAGAGAAACAACCATCGCATACAATTGTCAGCGGGGCATAAGCCTCGCAGTCCAACGTAGAGGGAGTGTTGTTCGATGTTGAAGGGCCCGCTACACTATATCTAATTCCTTTGATGACATCATTCTCTTCGATCAATGATTTGACTGTACCCTGAATCAATGTTACACTTATGGTTGTTTGATTAGTATGAAGGTCTCTATATATAAATATATATAAACCTATGGTTCAAACTTACTTCTCGACAAGTGATGCTTGATGACGAAGCTTCTGGACGAAGCGACCATGGTGAAAACTGAAGCCATTGATGGGTTTGGTTGAGGAGTCGCATGGATAGGAGAGCTTCACACTGCCATTTGGCTTGAAGATGCCGTAGCCGTAGGCTGGAGTGGCGTCAATGCCCTCAAAGCATTCGCCCATGCCCAGTTGTCTGAGTGCACGCACACCACCAGGTTGCATCAACTCACCGACAATACGGTCTGGCTCTCGTAGATCCCTCTCGACACACAGCACACGACGTCCAGCCACTCCTAGAGTACGTGACAAAGCAGCACCAGCCACTCCTGCACCAACAACAATTATATCATAGTTTTGATCCTCTTGTTGTTGTTGTTGATCCTGTTGTTGTTGTTCGTTTGATTGAGACAATGATGAGTTGTCGTTCTCATTTTCATCGATTGAATCTGATTCGATGTTGCTCATCTCATAGCATCTGTTTATATATTTGTTTTCTAGTACTGATATATATTAATAGAATAACAAAATACAGATAAATAATGTTATATTGATATGCGTTGTTGTTGGGAAACACGAAAGGTAAAGAGTCTTTGATCAAAGAACCAACCACATTTTTCATTTATTTTTATTTAATTGTTTATTATAAATATCTCTTTAAAGTTATAACATTATGTTACCTCCCTAATATGGATGTTGATGATGATGATGTTCAGATATGGATGATTTATTTCAATAACAATAACATCTTATCAACTTGAACACCAAGGGATGAATCCTTCTTTGCAGTCAGTTCGATCTCTTTCTTTGCATTGTCAAGATGTTTGCCCAACAATGACAAGATTGTGTTGTTCGCCTTGCCATCGATGATCAACTGCTCGATTAGGTCCAGCGTGGCCTTCCTCACCACAGAGTACTTTGTGGAACTCAAGCAATCCAACATCTTTTCAAACAGTGTCGTCATCCACTCGTCACTCCATTGATTGTCGCTCCACACTGCATGCATGATGAGCTTGAGTGATGTAAGTATTGATACTTGTTCGTTCCATATGCTGTGCACCACGTTGACCAGTAGCATGTCCATTACTCCAATGTTTTCCTGCTGCATCGTCTTGGACGAAGCAACAAATGCTTGACCAATGACATTGTAGATGGCAATGTGAACGAGAATGGTCAGTGGCTTCTGCTTGGGATCCACTTCCACCTCCATTCCATCGTCCTTTTCTTTCTTTTCCTGTTGTACAAAGACGAATGGATACAGTTCCTCTTTGATCTTGTTGTATAGGTCATTGATTTCGGCACCTCTGAACGATCCCAACATACTGGCAAAGTTGGTCAAAGCCTTCCTCTTGTAGTCCAGATCGTTCTTCTTGCACTCGGCAAACATTGCAGTCAACAGATCGAGTGCTGTGGGCACAGATCCATCCTTTGGCGCGTTCATTATGCTATCGGCACACACAGATGACACGGTGGACATTGATTCGAGTAGCGAGTCCTTGCCAGCGTAGGTTTTGCCCTTTAGACCCTGGATGAGCAGCTGGAGAACCTTGGGCAGATGTCCCTCCATTGAGTTCTTCATGTCGTTGGAGAGATGTGAGAGACACAGAGCCGCTTGTTGTTTGGCCGACCAAGAGTTGGACAGCAGGTTGGTAGAGATCAGCTTGATGATCTCCTCAATGTAGAGCTTGATGCTACCAATAGAGTTCTCTTCCCAGATGGACTTGTAGAGGTCGGCTACCTCTTGCTTGGGATGTGAGCGGAAGAAGTACATAAATGGAATGAGATCCTTGTTGAAGGATTGTATCTCACTGGAGGCCACCTTGTAGAGCTCCTTAAAGAACAGTCCGTTCACCTCGAGACCAACAATCTCCTCGACGGTGGGCGCCTCACCATCTTTGTTTGGAACGACCAATCCCATCACCTGTGCAATCGTCTGTTTGATGACCTTGTTGCTGTTGGCCTTCTTGACACAGATGGCCAGAGTGGAGACAAACTGTTTGCGTGTGGCGATTGACTTGTCCAGGATCGAAGGGAACATTGTAGTTATGAGCTTCTGCAACACTTGCTCTGGCACGTCAACGACGATATAACGTGATTGGAATAGGTTGGAGATGAACTTGGCCACACCAACCCTGGTCACAACACCAACACTGAACTGTACCATTGTAATCACGTTGGCCATCACCTGGTTGATGTTGCTCTGGTCAATGTACTTCATACACTGCTCCAGAATGTCGTTGAGTGGTGATGCTTTGGACATCTCTATTCTGGCACGTTCCAACTGTTCCGGTGTAATGTTTAGTGACTCTGCGTGGAAGGTGGCATAGTTGAAACTGGCAGACTCTGTGTTTGACAGTGACTCGAGCAACACATGTACCATGTCGGGAACGTAAGGCTTGATCAACTCCTTCGATGTGTTGGTGATCTTTTGAAGTTGTTGAACGGTGAACACTTTGACCTCCTTGGAGTCGTTGGAGATACCCTTGGTGAGCAGCAGAGGAATCACAACCTTGAGAATATCACCTGATCTGGCCTTTGAGCTAGAAGTAGGGTCGCACATCCTGGCAGTGACAGTGCCCAATGACTTGATGGAGAGTTCTGCTGCCTTTCTAATGGACTCTCTAATATCATCCAGAGTCCTAAAGTTCATATAGTACAGATCCTCAATGTAGGGCAGTAGGTCATCAGTTGAGGCATGTGCTATTGTGTCTGGTATGGCTGCACAGCTGGCCTCTCTTACGCGCCATGCGTTCTGGCCCATACCCTGTATGATATCCTTAATGATGGGGACAAAGAATCTTGGGAATATGTCCTTGCTGTCGATGATCGAAGTCATGATGTTCTTCATGGACGAGGCAATCTTGGGGCTCGGGTCATACATGTATCGATAGATCTTTGGCACGAGATCGGATAGGAGAGGTGCAAACTCCTCCTTGGCCTTGGAGGCTAGTGATACAATGGCAAATGATGCTCCCTTCTTTGAGTTCCAAATCTGGTGGTGATTGGAGAGGTTCATAAACTTGTATATCATGTCTGGTTTGCCAAGGTCATTGGACAGTTCACTCAACTCCTTGAATGTGGCCACCTGACCAGTCTTGCCGACTGCACCCTCTGGAAGCAGTTCAGATGAGCCCGGAGCCTTTTGAGCAGGCTTGCCAGACAATGTCTTTGAGAGGTTGGACACGAGGAACTCTTTGAACTTTGGATCGTTGCTGCACTCATACACCAGAGTGATACCTTTGGAGGCAATGTCTTGGGTGAGTTCGTTGTTGTCGGCGAGCAGCGAGCAGAATCCATTCTGAATCAGTGTGAGCATTGATTGAAGCTCGGGTCGTGATCCAAAGTTCTTGAGCAAACACAACATCCATGTACCAGCGGAGCATCTAGTCACTGGTGACTGTCTGTCAGAGAAGTATGACGTCAATATCCTCTCAAGCGTGGCAATCAACTCTTTGTTCTTCAACTCGTTGCTTGGCGTGTCCATTGGGGTGTCAGCCTGTGGCTGTTCGTTGGTACCCACAAGCAGTGATCTCTCCTCTGATTGCTCGGCACGCAGTTCTTCCACAGTGAATGGTGAGAATGGATGAATGGCATCTGTGCCAATCAAGTGACCACCAATAATCAATGACAGAGTATCACCAACAGTGAATTGGAGCTCCTCGTTCTTGTTGTTCACCTGCTTAAATAGGCAGTCAACCATGTACTTGCGCATCTCTATCAGACTATCATCGCCCAGACTGATCCAACCCAGCGAAAGCAAGACCTGCTCAGCAACGCCACGCTCACTGGAAGCATCGAGCATCTTTGTCAACTCCTTGATGATCTCCTCCTTGTCCTCATTGGATGCATAGGGAATTGGTGAGTAGAGTGCGATGATACCAATAGCAGTGATGGCAGCACTCTTGATTGTGATGTTGGTGTGCTTGAACAGCGTCCGGATCTGTGCCAGGAATGACTTGAATCGCTCCTCACTGACATGCTTCCTGACGTCCTTCTTGTTGTGAGCTAGTGCTGCAACACTGTAGGAGAATGCCAGTAGAGGACCATACTGCTCTAGGAAGTCCTTCTCAGTGGTCACTGATTTGTGATAGGACTCTAGCAAAGCGTCCAATTGCTCGTTGGGTAGATGGCAAGAGACAAGACCAATCATCTTGGCGATAAGGTCCCTGGTTGGTAACTTTCCAGACTTCATCAAGTTGTTGAGCAACTCAACCTTGCCGGCGAAGCGAGGCTGCAGGTTGGGACAGAGACACAAGAGGTGAAGCAGGGATACACAGCTGACTTGGTAGAGATCATCGCCAGCCTTTGAGGTCAGTGCCACCTCGATGAGATCGATGTAGTTGTTCAGTGTGGACTCTGGCAGCGATGCGAGGTATTGACTTGGTAGCTTCTTCAAAGAGAGTGCAGTCTTTCTTAGGGATGTGCGCAACAGGATAAGGATGTGTTCAAAAGAGACGGCAGTGTAGCCCAACACATGAATGACACCTTGTGCATGCTTCTTTGCTGTCATGATCTCACTCCTGCGCTCCACTATGTAGTCAAGCAGTGCTTTGAAGTCTGGATAGATTGCGGACTGTGGATCGTCGCATGATGTCATCATGTTTCCACTGTGCTCATAGGGCTCCAATCCTCTTCTCGCCTCTTCCCTAATGTCTGGACGTGGATCACCAACTAGAACCAAACTAAAGTATCTAGATCTAACATTGTCAAATGTGAAGCAGTGTTGAGCCCATTGTAGAACGATGTATCTGGTTGTGTATTCAGTCTAAGAGATGTTTGTTAGTGGACATGTCATTGTTGTTGTTAAGAGTGTTGATGACTAGACTACATACATCATTCAAGTGATTCATAAGTATACTTATCAATTGTGTGCTTATTTCAGGGTCCTTGCAATCAATGAATGCCTCTCTAAACATGATTAGAGAGTCCTGGATGGCACTGGCGACAACAGTATCCTCCTTTCCAATCTTGGACAGTAGCTTGGCCACCAAAGTCAAGTCCTTATTAAACAGTGCCTTGTTCCTCTTGCATAAGAGACCAAGTGAAATGTAGGTAAAGGCCTTCAACTCATTGATATCCTTTCCGCTCTCCTCATCCATCGAATCAAGTAGTTTCAATAGACCACTAAGAATGATTGGACCAAACTTTTGGATATAGTTATCCTCTGCCTATTGTATCTATGTTAGTAAGTGTCCTACAATGACAACAACAACAATTACAACTATTACTTACATGTCTAAATACCCATTGGACAAAGGACATGGCAGCTTGCTTCAACTTCATGGTGGTCTCAACACCATAGACACTCTCGAATATGATCTTTAGAGTGTCTGGGAACTTGTTGGCGGCCAAAAGGGAACGACAAAAGTAGTGAAGAATCTTCTCGCGTGTCTGTGACGATGCTGGTTTGCGTTGAGTGTCTGGATTGGCATTGGGCTCAGAGGTACTGCTGCCCTGGAAGATGACGTAAAGCTGGTCGATCAATGCCGTGTTCTCCCAATTGATCTTTGGCAGACGTTTAAGAGATTCATCAGCCTTCTTGTTGATGACCTGGTAGATATCGGTTGACGCTACGATACAATGAACAAGAATGTCCGTGTCAGAGAAGACACCAGACGCCGTTATAAAGTTGAGTATCGCTACCTTCCTCTCTGTGAGTGCGTTGAAGTCGTACTTGTCCAAGTTCTTTCCCATCATTCTTTGGAGTGACTGTAAGCTGTGGCATGGTGGGATACTATGAAGTTGAGGGAGAGAAGTTAGAGATTGTTTGATCACACCGTTGTTGTTGTGATGATGACAATACAACATACATGATGGCACCCTCTTCATTCTTCAATGTCTGTACACTTGGAACCATTAGGAACTCAAGGAAGAAGTCGAGCAACACCTTGCAATCCTTTTCATTCTTTTTGAAAGGGAATAACTTGTCCTTCTCAGCATCAGTCTTTGGCATTGATGTTAAACAGGTAAGGATCTGAATGGATGGATTTGAATGATGCCTTGTTAGTAATTATAATGGAGGAGGAGTTGGATCATTGACATACAGTGCAAACGATATGAGAGAATATATCCTGATGTTGAATGGGCAGTGTTGATAGACCCTCAACGACTGATGCCAAATAGTTGACGCTGGACTCTTTGGGCATCGTATTGAAAGCCTTCTCGATGTAGACGATGGCAAAGTTCCTGACTAGTGGCTGTGTTGAGGGATCTCTGTAGAGGGTCAACAGCTTGTCGATGGGATACTGAAGGTCCGATGCAAACATTGTTCGTTTGTTAAAGTTGCTCAACACCTCCATGGCTTTCTTCTTGATGTTGGCGTCTGGCGATGACAAGTGGCCAATGACAACAGCGAGGTAAGAGTCAAGGAACCTGTTGAACGGTGCGCCATTGTCTGTCAATGCAAACTTGAACAGAATAGTATCCAACTCCCTAATGATATCCATTTGAGGTGTTGATTGTTGTTGAGCACCTGTATTAGTTGTGTTTGTACTCATTAGTATATGTATATGTTATTATTATTATTCTTCTTTCTTGTTTATGATTTAATTTATTAATTGTTAAATCAAAAAGTGAAGATCACATCGTTTACTTTCAACACACAATCTTCTAACCACCTTCGAATCATCTGTATTGTTGGTGACTCATGTTGACTAATAATTGTGACATTGTTTAGAATGAAAGAAAAAGACATATTTATAAGAGACAACAGATAAGAATATTCGAGAATTTATTATTAGGATTAATTACTGATTTAGATCTTGGATTAATAAACCTCCGAACTTCGGATAAATGATTTCAATTAAATATGTTGCCCTGCTGAGATTCGAACTCAGATGACAGGATTCAGAGTCCTGGATCCTAACCCTTAGATGACAGAGCATTTTCAAAGGCGGCAAACATCCAAATCCGTATTTTTATAATATTTTTTGGACTTCATTGAAAATCGGAATTTGCTGGCTATTAAGTTAAACTGGATTGCCTCCAAAAGAATATTTATTAATTAATGATTCAAATATGGTTTCCTTGTAAGAATGAATTCATCGAAAGCCTTCCAGAAATCCAGCTGACCAGTATGATCCAAATGTCTTTTGAGTTTGCTCAACTGTTGTGTAATAGATCATGTTTGTTAGTATTACCTGGAAATCAATCAACGCGTTGATTTTATACTACAGTACATACATGTATGACCTTAACATCCCAAGACTTTACAGTATCTGGCAGAGTCATATCGTCCATCTTTAGGAAGAATCCCTTCACTGTATTAATGGTGATTGATTGATGTTAGGGGGTTTTGTATTGAGAGATCACGCCCACCTGTTCCACTTACCATTAGAAAGGATATCAACTGGATTGGTCCATTTCCAATCTTTGAATTGCCATGCTTCACCCTGCACAAACACAGCAGCGACTCTCATCCAGTCCTCTGGTTTGAGTAGCTTGACATTGTCATACACTTCATATGTTATGGTTGGTGTGCCAATCCTATCAAACTTGATAAATGTTGGTTTGGTCTTGTTCTGCTCAGACAGTTGGTTCTTCTTATCCATTGATGGGACGTATCTATTTGTTTGATATGTGACAATGGTAAGAATCATTTTCTTCTCTCTCTGTCGGTCTTTCACCTATTCCCTTCCATGATTACTTACAATGAGTTTTGGAAGAAGTCTTGTGCGTTGAATAATGATATGGCAGCTGTCAGCGAGGATGGAACAATGATGATTGGTGTTCCTGTATATGTGTGCGTTCATAGTTAGTCATATGCTTGTTCTTGATGATGATGGGTTGACAGGTATACATACTGCTTGTGAGATTTGAAATCTCATGGAGATGGTTCTTGGCTGCCTGGCTACTTGATATATTATTATTATTATTATTATTGTTGTTGTTGTTGTTGTTGTTGTTGTTGCTTCCATGCTCTCCATTCATCCTCTGTTGTTGATGAGGTTGTTGCTGTTGTTGTTGTTGTTGGTGTGGCTTCTTCTCCTCCTTCTTAAACTGATTAAACTTATCAAGTATGTCGATATATGACTGGTTTGGTGATAGGTATCATCAATGTTAGTTGGTTGGTGTCTATCATCTATCTCTCTCTCTCTCTCTCTCTCTCTCTCTCTCTCTCTCTCTCTCTCTGTATCTACCTACACTTTGACCAGTCAGAATTGAGCTTCGGTCATGAGTAGCCTTCTCTCTCTGTAGTATTCTCTTTGTGACTGGTTCATCAGTTAGAATGAACTGACTCTTCTCCATGTCTCTTGCCTTCCTCTTGTTGACAATCTCCTCCATGAACTGTTTCTCGCTCTCCTTGATAGAACTTCATGAAGTTTATCATCAGTGTCGACCAGTCAGTAAAGGTAAGGTACGATCGTTGGACGATATTATAGCACACATACTAATTCTCATCTGGGATACTAGGTACACTAAGCAATCGCATGGCAGCAGCATCCTTTTGTGCCTGTAGTTCGGCATTCATCTGAATCTCGGCAATGTAGGTCGACTTGAATGGAGTATCGTACTCTGATGTGTAGTCGCGGTCCACATCCATAGAGTCCTGCATCGTTGGTATCTGTGTGGAGTGTTGTTCATCGCCATGATCGCCAGAGTCCACAGCAACGCCAGCAGAGACAGCCGGTTGAGAGATAGCGGTGCTCATAGGAAGTGCAGCAATCGGTGCACCCAAGAACACAATAGATTGTGAGTTGGTAATCTTACCATCCAAGTAGGATATAAGTTCCTTCCTGTCAGTCCTATATATATATATATAAAGTTGAATATGGTGTAAGTGATACTGCTGCTGCTGCCCATCTATGATGATGATTCGTACATTGACAAAGCCTCTGTGTTATCAGCTCTGGCATTGACGACATAGACAGAACGCTGAGCATCACGATTGATGTAACAGACATAGAGTGCCTGTAGAGTGTAGTGTGCACCTGATGTCAAGTTCTTAAAGGCTGTCGGTGTGTTCTTATTGAAGCGAGTGTGACCAAACACAAACTCATCACCTTCAATCACTGGTAGTTGGCCTTTGATGATCACATCGTGTAACATTGTCAATGGGTCTGCCATCCTTGATCGATTGTATCTTCAGAACTGTATGTATGTAAATGAATATCTGTATGTGGAATAGATAAATGGTTGAATGAATAATAATTAAAACAGATCTTCAAAATCTGCAACAAAACATACAACTTCACCAATTCAAGCAAAACTCTTCTTGTTTTTTTATTTACAAAAAGAGATAATTACAACATCGGTGTACGATGGGTATTCTTCAATCATCAACAAAGTCATCTCTTGAGAGTAGGAGGATGATGAGGATCAATCATAATCAGATGCCAATAGATGACTTTATATTACGTCGTATAATTTCATTATTATCCATTGTAACAACGAGGAAACATAGAATTTATAATCCACTAAAGTTGTCACTGGTATCAACTTATTGGATGACTAGTATTGTATCAAGAGCCACCACCAACATCACTATAGAGCCTAGTCAACGAACATTTATCCGACGATTTCCCATCTCTCTATCTTATATTGAGAGTTACAACAACTCGCCTTGTCCACCTACCTCACACAACAACAACAACAACAGACTTGGTCTAATTAAGTTGACAATTGTTTATCCGATCCAAGCCAGACCTACACATACCAGTGTCCTGACAACATTGGTACATGACTTGAATGAACATTGGCCGAGATGTACACATCTCACTCTGTTCAATTGGCAGGTCGAATCAGGTCTACTCGAACAGATTGCATTCCAATCTGGTATTGAGTACATTCGCATCCTTACAGATTGCCCTCTTGCTCGCCATGCCAACATATTATCAAAGTCTACAACATTGAAGCATGTGTCCATTGTCTCACTGCGGGATGACAATCCAATTCTCTGTCTGGCAGAGTTTAACAATGTATGCTCTCTCAAGTTGAGGACATGCAATGGCGATTCACTCTTCATTACTTCACCAATGACCAACATTGTACGATTGACACTTGAGGATGTAACACCGATTATTCGACCAATCCAGTCATGGACTTTTTGTCTCACCATGCTACCCAACTTAACCTATCTCTCTCTTCATAACGCCTATGATAATATGTCCGGTACAACATCTTTCCATTGCCTTTCCAAGCTCAAAAGACTGGAAATAGGTGGACTGATCAAGGGTTACCCAAAAGAATCAAACGGTCTGATGGTCAGACATCTATTGGATGATATCAACCAGGTTGGGAGGCATCTTGCAGTACTGAAACTTCGAACCCTTTACTTTCCAGCCGAGTCTTCTAGAGTCTATTTGTTAAAGATGATCAAGGCCATGTCAGTGCTTCAGAAGCTCACCTTTGTCTACAATGATAAGGAATCTACTGAATATCTCTTGGCCAACTTGGCAGCAGATTCGCCCTCCAGCCTATCTCACTTCACAGTGTCGATTTTTAATGGATCCCCAGGGTGGACCAATCTAAATCATTTTATCATGGTCAATCAATATGTTCAATGTTTATCGATACGAGCATTTCTTCCTAATCACGCCGAGAACCTACTTGCAAGTTTAAGAGTCAACAATATAATTAGGACTGTCAAGGGAATTGGACTTGGCAAGTCAAAGGAATACAATGATAAGAACACACCATTACTGTTTCTCAAAGATCACATTATGTGGAGTTACAAAGATTCAAACATCCGTCAATTGTTGTTCCATCTACATAATCTATGATTGTACAAGTGAATAAACTCTGTATAATGGTGAGAGAACTCGACACTGGACTTTATTGAAACAAATGATAACATATATGTTTAGTTACTGGCGGCAACCTCGACAACCATCTCGATCTCGACACATGAACCCAAGGGGATCTGGGCAACACCAAAGGCAGCGCGGGCATGGACTCCAACCTTGCCAAACACCTCATTCAAAAGGTTTGAGCATCCATTGATGACGAGATGATGCTCAGTGAATGTCTGGGTAGAGTTGACGAGACCGGTGAGCTTGACGATGCGTGTGATCTTGTTGAGGTCACCAGTGTGGGCGTGCAGAGTGTTGATCAGGTCAATGCCAATGGAGCGTGCGGCAGCCTTTCCCTCCTCGGTGGTTATGTTGTCACCAAGCTTGCCAACCCAGACAGCACCGTCCTTCTTGGCAATGTGTCCAGAGACAAACACAACATTTCCAGTCTGCACACTCATGACGTACGAGGCGACATTCTGTGGTGGGACGGGTGGGAGTACAATGTTTAACTCCTTAAGTCTATCATAGATGTTGGTTGACATGTTTGTTTATATAAATATAACAATAAGGTTGATAGTGTTTTAATGAAGTTGTCAAAATTCTGAATGATCAGAGATACTGGTGTGTTGTGTGTGAAAAAAAAGTGATGTTCGAAGTCGCTGAACCAAGGTGCTCAAATGTTCTGTACCTTGTGAATGGTGAGGTTGTTGCTGTTGAGGTTGTTGCTGTCATCATCAATGTTTTCAGCCACTATGGCTAAACTGTTGGTGGAGGAGAATGAAGAAGGAGATGACTTTAGAGTCTCTAGATTACTCTTGAATAACTTGGCATGCTTGGAGATGTTATCCTCTTCGCCTATGGCCACACTGAATGCATTGAGGATGTCTAGGGTTGGTCCAAAGTGCTTGGCACCCAGACCTCCAGTTCCCAATACCTCGATGCACTTGAGTGTGTTGGTGAGGTCTGTCAAATGCTGGTCAATCTCTGACTCTGTTGAAGAGCTGTGGATGGTCGATTGAAGCGAGTTGATAGAGGCAATGGCTGTGCTGATTTGTTCCTCTAGTGATTGGAACAGCTGTCCAACTGACTCGAGAGACAACAGCTTCTCGGTCTCTGCAAAGAAGCGCTTGAATGTAGCGCAAAAGTCTTGGTTGAGCATGGCCTTGGGGTTCTTGGTAGCGTATAGCATCATACCGAGCTTCTCATCGTCCCTGATCTGGACACAGTTCTTGGCAACAAAGCTGGTGAGCTCGCCAAAGGCAGAGTCGTGGCCCACCGAGATCATCTCCTTGATAATCTTCAACACAATATGGATGCCCTTCTGTTGGACTACGGCATTGGTGCTGTTCTGCAGACACAGATTGATAATGTCCAACATTATCTTGCAGAATGAAGCGTGGGTCTGGGTAAAATGCTGTTGTCTTTGCTGTTGATGATGTTGGTTCTGAATTGAGTGCTGCTGCAGGTTGCTGTCCGAGTCAACGTGGGCTGGACCAGTACGCTTATTGTATATCTCGTACATGGTCAGTACCAATCCTTCAGAGTACTCGCAAGCAATCTGTGTGAACAATTTGTTGACAGGTGCAATGTAGGCAATGTTCAGTTCGGCAATGGTAAACATCGTTGATATGATGGTCTTGAATGGTAAATAGTTGCAATCCCACACCTGTAACTGTTGTTGTTGTTGTTGCTGTTGCTGTTGTTGCTGCTGCTGATGACTTTCACCAATGACTTGATCACTGTGAATGTTTGGTGATGATTCACGACGTAGAAGCATGAGTACCTTGGAGACCAGATCGATGATCTTGATACCCAAGATAGACTCGTGCTGGTACTTGTTTCTCAGCTGTCTGCAAAAGGTGTCCATTGGTGTCCAACGTTCGTTGCCTTCGGAGGAGTACACTTGGAAGAACAGGTTGGCCTCCTTGCGCTTGGTCGTCAACAGATTGGCCAACGCAAGGCAGTTGGGCAAATAGAGATGGAAGTTGTGGAAGCTGAAGCAACTGTTGAGTATCTTGGCGTTGAACTGGGATGGAATCCTCTGAACCATCAGGTCGGCCATGCGATAGAGCAGATCAGCCGTGTCGGCATACTCATTGCACTCCAAGAAGAGATAGTTGAGCGCCCAGCAGAAGTTGTTGTGAGATACGACGTAGGTGAGGAACTCGAGGTTGGCCTGGGACATGAGATACAGGATCTGGTAGAAGCTGGGCAGAGACTTTTGGTTGAATATCTTCAAGTCCTCCTTGGGCGATATACTGATAAAGTAGTCCATCAACTTGTTGCGAATAGGGTCTTCGAGCATGAGTCGTACATTCTCTGGCGATCCATCGAGCATGAGCGACACAAAGTGTGTGACCTCGAGACGGTTCCTCTCGATGGACTGGTTGGTGGTGATGAACTGAAGGAACAGCTTGAGGATGGTACCCTTGTTCTTGGCAAAGAGGCTCCTCTGCTGGTCGGATATGGTGCACATTGACAACAGTCGGAAGTAGTACTCGCACTTGCCAGATCGGTTCTCGCTCTTGTCCTCCTTGGCCTGGTGTCTGACCTCTTTGATGATGCTCATCAAAAAGAGGAACAGTGAGTGGATGCGCTCTGGATCCACGGGGATGTTGTCGTCACCCATACCGTAGAGATGGATGATGAGATTGAATGTCTCGTATCTGATCTCTTGGGCATCGTGCTGAACAAGCCAACGAACGACCCACTCGCCCATGTTTTCGTCGAACCACGTGGCGATAGTGTCGTTGGAGAGAGCAAGCTCGATGAGTGCCTTGATGTAGGGGTGGAAGATGCGTTGCTTGTTCTCGTCCAAAAAGTTGATGTACGCCATGATGGCACAGTCTGCTCTCTCATCCTGATTGTCGTCCTGGATGGTGATCAGCGCGTAGAGAACATCAAGCGTGTAGCGGTACTCTGAGTGTTGGATGTGCTCGATCATCAGTTGACTGAGATCAATGTTGTTGTAGCAGAGGTGAATCAGGATGTCGCTAGTTGCCTTGATGCTGATATTGTCCTTGATGGTCTTGACGATAAAGGCGGGGTTGGTCACCATCTGCATATCATCGTTGCTCATGTAGAGTGGTTCATCATCATCATCCTGTGATTCGTTGCCAAAGTAGTTGGTGTTGCACGCCGTGGTGAGGAAGGCCACAGTCTCCAACATCGACTGAAGGAGTGGCGAGTTGAACTTATCACCCATCTTGGTCCTCTTTTGTGGTGGCGTTGTCTTGGCCATTGGTGATTCATCGCCAAGGTAAAAGTCAATGAGACGGGCCACAACATTTCTGGACAGCAGGTACTTCTTCTCTTGGTGACCAATGCAGCTAAAGTCACGAATCAGTGTGAAGTACTGATGGAAGTGCTTCCAAAAGAACGAGGCATCCTTGATATACTCTAGATACTTGTCCATGAAACGGACAATGTAGGACTTGGGACGACCGATTGTTATGTGGTTGTTGGTGTTGTTGTCGTTGTAATCGTCAATGGACTTTTGCACAACATCAACCTCGACTAGATCCATTGGAGAGTCCTTGGCATCGTCATTGTCATTGTCATCGGTGCTCTCCACATCAAAGTAGAACTGTCTGTCGTAGGGCAACAGGGTCTGAATGACCTGCATGATGATCTTGAATAGTGCCTCGCGGGGCTCGGTCGTAATACACACCAACATATTCTGGACCACCCAAGAGATGTCCTCAGAGAGAGTGTTGATCAACCACTTGCAGGAATCAACATGATTGGCATAGAGCGAGCAAAGGTAGTCGACAAAGTCACCGAGGTTCTTGCGCTCCTTGGAGTGAGATAGGGTTTCAACGACAAATCGGGTGCCCAGCTCAATGGACATCATGGTTTGATCGAATGAGTCCTCACCATCGTGCTCCATTCTGTTGGCACTGGGTTCGATTTGTCCAAGATGTAGGATGCTCCAGATAAAGTTGAAGTAGGATTGCTCAAAGATGTTCTTGTCAGTGAGGAACTTCATGTTCTTCTTCCAGACGTTGCTGTAGATCTCCTGGGGCACAAGCTTGGAGGCCTGTGAAAGGCCAACATCCTTGTAGACTGGCTTTGGTTCATTGTCCTTGTGCACCTTCTCGTAGAACAACATGTAGGCGTTGTTGTTTCTTGTGGTGGTGCGGATGTTGGTCTTGCCCTGATCCATAGAGATGGAGTCGTAGCCACCAAAGCAAGACTTGGAGATGTCCTCTGGATTGAAGTATTCGGTCATCTGATCGTTGAAATGGATCCATTTGCGTTCTTGACCTTGGAAGATTGAGTCACGCTCCTTAATGAACGAGTAGTAGTGTCCAGAGTCGGCAGTGCCACTGTGCACCAGGATACCACTCAACTGGTAGTGGTAGTACTCGGGTGGATGGAGTGGTGGGATGTTGGGCTCTGGGAGACCCTGTGCCTTGGCCTTCTCGATGGCCTCCTTGCGCTCCAGTACCTCCTTGGTGTATGGCGCCATGTCAAGCTCCATTGGGAACTTGAGGGCATCATTTAGCTTGGTCCTCCTCATTGTGTCCAGGTCAAACTCGAATCGCTTGTTGTGGATGATCAGTGTGTTTGGTAGGGACTTGACACAGCGTCTCATGAGACACTTGACCTTTTGTGAGCACTGGCTACAGAAGTACTTGTTGTCGCCGTCCAACGTCTCGGACTCGACAAACAGCTGCAGAGACTCTTGTATGTCCTTCTTGTTCTTTACCTCAACGCTCATCGTGTAGAATGGTTCCTCTCGCTCAGAGACATGCGAGCACTCTTGTGAGATGAATTGGTTGACAGAGGCACCGCCAAAGAATTCGTTGAGCAGCCTCTCATCCTTTGTGCCCTTGAGCTGGTTCTCTAGACGATCAAACAGCATGTTGAAGAACTCATCAACATCCATCTGAATCAGTGTGTTGATTGGTTGTCCATCGTACTTGTAGGCCATGCAAAAGGCTTTGGGATCGTGTGATCTCTTCTCGCTCTCTTGCAGGTTGGCAAAGATGATCTTGAGCTGGTAGAGCAGCGAATCGGCAGTGTTGGGGTTGGAGTCCTCAGCTTGCAGGATGCTGTAGCGGAAGCGAGGGATCATGTACAATTGTTGCATCAAGGAGTTGATGTAGCATGTCGCTCCGAGGTTCTTGAGACCAACGTAGCCACAGGATGATTTCTCATTGCCCACTGGATAGTAGTTCCACATGGCACGACGTTCGTCTGGCTTGTTCTGGTTGGTCAACAGTGATACCAAGATGCGATAGTTCTCTTCACAGTTGGCTGCCAGCTCCTGCAAGAGACCAAAGCAGGCCTCACGCGACTCTTTGGTCTTGGCCTTTGGAGAGCAGCGTGGTCCATGGTTGTCAGCCGAGGCAATGTCAAAGAGACACTCGTGGAAGACGGCACGAACAAGCTCCTCCTTGAATCCAGCAGTCAGTTTGAACTCGTGTGAGTAGCTGACCAATGTGCGGATCAGGTTGACGAGGCCAATAAGGACGTAGTCCTGTTGGAAAAGGTTGGTCTCGACGATGGGGTGTGCCTTGAGCATCTGCACCAATTGCTTGAGTAAAGGCATAAAGGTCTCGATTGCAGTAGTGTTGCATCGTTCACGCAGCAGCCAGCTCAGTAGGTAGAAGAACTGATTGCTCGAGAAGGAGTACTTGTCAGAGCCAACTGTGAAGGGGAGCAGTGCAAGACATTGGTTCAAGAAGAACTCGAGAGCCTTGGGGTTGTTGTGACAGAAGCCACAGAACTTGTTCATGGCAGTGTCACGGATGGAGCCATCACTGCTGTCCAGCAACAGTAATTGGATCCACTTGGTGATGTCCTTGTGTTTGTAGAATTGCTCCATCTGTTCGGGATTGACCACAAGTGCCTGGATGAGTGTCAGGATGTTACCGATGACATCTCCATCGTCAGTCATGTGCATCAACATCATCTCCTCTGACTGCACCGTTGGCAGGGTTTGGCTCCACGCCAAATCCATCAGCTTGGACAGGAATGAGGAGGGGGTGAAGTTGGCCACCACCTGTGGGGAGATGCTGGAGAGATTGATCGACATGGTCTGTGGATCCAGGATGAACAACACGATGGTCTTGATCAGCGATGACAGACATTGTTTGCGCTTGGCTCCCTTGCTCTCGTGCTGCATGTCGGTGTGCATGAGGATGTTGACCAGCTGTGACAGGCCACCGGTCTGTACAAAGCGGCTCCTCCAATCGTGGTTGTTGCTCTCGACAAAGTTCTCAATTATGAGTAACGAGTAGAGAAGTCTAAAGACCGATGAGGCGTCCAACACTGTTGGCCAATCGCAGGTGTCCTTGTCGACGGGGATACTGTACAGGAGGCCAAAGATGTGGGGATTGACGGGCAGAAGCAAAAGGATGTCCCAAACGAGTGGCGCAACCTCTTCGATTCCCAACAGTGAGAACAGGAGACCATACTTGCTCTGGTCAAAGTGGATGCTGACGGGCTGATAGCCATCGTCGGGCTGTCTGGGCTCGGATAGCTCGTTCACCAGGATGGTGTCATGATTCTGCACGCCAAAGTCATCCAGAGTCTCATAGTCGCAGTTGACCTGTCTGGCGTTATGGATAAAATACAGTGAGCCGGGATGTGTCATCATTTGCTTGGCCAAGCGCTCCTTGATGTGGCCGATGGTCTCGTTGCTCCTGATGTGCAACTGGATACGATGCTTCTGGTTGGTGAAGTTGACGGTTATCGAGGGGGAGTAGTTCTTCTTGAACGAGTCCTTGATCTTGGTGCCAAAGCCATCGAGGTAGGCTTTGACCATTGACAACACCCTGTTGACCTGAATGCTCTCTGATCTGTTCAGACGGCCAGTGGTTGGCACTTTAGATAGACGAGATACACATGCAGCTAGGAATTCCTCTCCATTCTCATTAGACTCCATCTGTTGTGATTGAATAGGTTAGGCGGGGGTGTTTGAACGTTGACGGTGTACCCATATGGCTCAATGACTTACCAATTTATACAACTCATTGAGTACATTCACCATGGTGTGACCAACCTTTTCACTCTCCACCTCTAGTGCAATCTTCCAAAGATTGTCCAGTCCAACTAGATTTGGTGTGCTACGAGAGAGAGAGACAATGTAAGTCATCAACAACAACTAAAGGTATTTGATATGGAGTAGCTATTATATATATAACTTACATTGATTGGAACTCATTGTTCACTGTCTTTAAACAAATGACATAGAGAGTGGCACCTGACAGCTCAAGGTCTCTGAATGGTATCTCCTCAAACTTTTGAACGAGATGAGAGTAGATTGAATCCTGGGTGACATTGTTGTTGTTGTTGTTAGAAGTGTTTGTGGGGATGGATAAAGGTAAGGTTACTACTTACCTCAAAACAAGGACCATTCTCTAGCCACTTAAAGTAAATGTCACGATCAGTGCCGGTGATTGGTTCGATCACATAGACGTCCCACACAATGTCCATGTTGGTGGTGGTGAGCGTCGCTGGGGACTTGTCCCAGATGTAGTCCATAAAGTGAACGTACTCGGCCATCTGCTCGGTATGAGTGTGTCGGCCATGCAGGACAGTGTCATCCAACGTGCTCTGGTCTCCCAGTGGCTTGCCTGCAGTGTTGGCACCGTCAATGACGGACCGGCAGTGCTGCTTGTAAAAGGTAAGGTGTGCAAAGAACTTGTCCATAAGCGATGTCGTTTGGTTGAGCTGCTCGATGATGGCACTGCCGTGCTGTTTCTGCTGCTGGTGTTGCTCAGAAGCGCTCATTAGATTGGGACTCTTCTTGAAGCGCACCGTGTAGAGGTTGATGATGTACTCGATCAGACGCAGAGAGAAGATGACAGAGTGATGCTTGTCAATGTTGTCGATGCACTTCATCAGATAGTCGTTGCGCTGCGTGTTGTTGTGGTGCAGACCCTGCTTCAGATTGGCAAGTGCTTGTTGTGCCAGCTCTGGGCTTACGACGACGCCGCCCGTGTCCTGTAAAAGCTGCCAGAATATATCGAGTCCCAGTGGAATTGTAGACTCTCGTGACTCTTGCTCCTGGTGTTGGTATTGGGTGAAGGGACCTACGCCACTGCCGCCATTGTGGGAGTTGGAGCCAAAGAGGTAGGGCTGCGAGGAGGTGTGGTCGTTTGTGGTGGTGAGACAATTGATCAGTTGAAGGGTCTCCATTGTGTAGGAGGCCAGAGGAATCATCTTGATCTTCTGGAAAAGATACTCAATGTCCTGTGTGGGCAGTAGTGGTGCGACGTTGCCAATGTTCTCGTAGATGACGTGCTCGATCGTCTCGTGCTTGCCCTCGGCGGCACTCCACATCATATCGAGATACTTCCTGGTGAATGCCTTCTTCTCGGCCAAGAACTTCAATATATCTGTACACTTTTGGAGCAACTGGATGTGCATCGTCTCTCCATACAGCAGCTCAACGATCTTGTTGTTCTTTATCCACTCAATCACCTTTCTGCTCAAGGTTAGGTGGGGTATGAGTTTGTCAGTTGATTTCTCTTGTGGCCAAATGAACAACGACAACAACAACGACAACAACACCAAGTTGAATACTACTTACTCAGGGGAATAGTGATTGAATTGTCGACTGTACATATGGTGGTATGGTTCGAAACGAGTCTGGCGGATGATGTCGTTCAGACCAGCATTACGCTTCTCCAACGAGACCGAGTTGAAACATTTGAGTGCAACGTCCATGCGATAGACATTGATCAAGTCGGCAAACGTGTTGGTGGTGATGTTCTGCACAATGCCCTCCAAATACTTGAGACAGAGGTCCAAGTCCTTCTTGCTCTCATTCTTGAACTCCTCGTCGGGCATCTTTAGTATCTTTTGGACGACTATCTTGATGAGTTCCTCCACCTCTGAGTCACTCTCTTCGACCGTTATCTTTTTGGTCAACTATTGGTTGTTGTTGTTGTGGTTGGGATGGAATATGTTAGAACTTCAAATCAAGATGTATAAATATATAATAATCTTACCTTCTTCATGACACAAAGAAGTTTCTTTAGAGTGTCGAATGAACCTTTGTGAGCGTGTATCTTGCTCTTAACGATCAACATACCATCCAGTTGCTTCAGATGGCTTGCCAACTGAGAGGACAACTTTGAGGGGATATCGTTAAAGTCTTGGCCATATCCTCTCGGATAGGGCTTTGGAGACAATAGATTGATCAACACTCTGAGATAATCACTAGAGTACTCCTCTTTGGATATTTGTCTCACGGCAATGTCGATACACGACTGGAAAAAGTTCCTTGCCTTGTGTACCAACTCATTGGGCGTGTTGCTGGGAGAGAGAGAGAGAGAATTAGAGGGAGAGAGAATAAAGAAATAGGTAGGATATGATGTCAATAAAACATAGAACATAACTATCCTAAACAAATTAGTAGTAACCTACATTCTCCACCACATAAACTCAATGAGCTCTGGGAGCTTCTCAATGTTCTTGTACTCTTCCAGAGGCAAGATATCTTCAACATCCTGTTCAACAATGTCGACCACATCTTGATGTTGTTGTTGTTGTTGTTGAGTCTTTACATTGGCACATTGAATCAAATGATCAATCACATCGGACAGCTCCCTAAAGTCAGATGCTAATGAATCATTGGCAATAGATCTATTAGACAAATGTCATTGAAGTGGATGATGATGATGATGATGTGTTCACACAACCCAGATGATCATTTATACATACTCTTGACCAGATCAATGAAATACTTTATATCATTTGTCATTATCTCCCTATTGTTACTCTCTCTCTCTCTCTCTTTCTTTCTATCTTTCTCTATAATCTTACTCTCCTCCCTTTCTTTGTCTCTGTATGTGGGTGTTGTTGATGTTGTATAGTGAGTGGTACGAGAATGTAATGAAAGAAAGGTATTGACTCCTATCAAACAATATATGTATGTATATCTCCTACCAATATATATATTAATATAAACCTATCTCTTTTGAACTGTGTGTAACAATGATTATTAAATTAACTTGGAGGCATCCACAAAATTTCTTATGTATTGTATCTTGAATCATGATTTTTGTTTTGTTGTTGTTGTGGTTTGAACTCTTTCACAACACCACCATTTGATTTATTTATCTTTACAAAGAGAGAGATATAAAATAAGATTAGAACTTGCCATTGCGATAGTCACTGATGGCTTGCATAATCTCTCGCTCGGTGTTCATGACGAATGGTCCATGCTGAACGATCGACTCGTTGATTGGTTTGCCAGCGGCCAGCAAGAATCGACATCCTTCTGTCGATGACACCTCGATCTGTGTCTGTCCCTTTGAGCCATCGAGCAGTGCAATGTGTGATATCTTGACCTCTTGTGACTCGTTCTTTGGTCCAAACTGTCCAGTGCCCTGGAAGACATAGGCAAACGATGCGTGTCCCACTGGAATCTCCTCGATGAATGTGGCGCCTGGTGCAATCTCAACGTCCAATAGCAGTGGTGCAGTGACGACGCCCTGAACAGGGCCAACCACTTCCTTGTATTGGCCGGCTAGTACTTTGATTCTGTTGCCATTGTCGTCAGTGACAACGGGCACGTTCTCTGGAGGAATATCTTGGTAGCGTGGCTCCATCATCTTGTCTTTGGCCGGTAGGTTGACCCACAATTGGAAGCCGTGCATCAGACCCTGATCCATCTTGGGCATCTCTGAATGGATGATGCCGCGACCTGCCGTCATCCACTGGACAGAGCCTGATGTCAACAGACCGCAGTTGCCTCTGTGATCTCTGTGTTCCATGGCGCCAGCCAACATGTATGTTACGGTCTCGAAGCCACGATGTGGATGGTCTGGGAAGCCAGCCATATAATCGTTAGAGTTATCGCTCTTGAACTCGTCAAGCATGAGGAAGGGGTCAACTCTTGCAATGGGACCACCAATCACTCTCTTCAACTTGACACCGCCACCATCTGATGTTGCCATTCCTTTTGCAATCTTTGAAACAATTCTGGAAGTCATTGTAAAATATTTATATAGGTTATGTTTATATATTTATATATATATAAGTATGTATATCTTTGTGTTATTATTTGTAAGTGTATATAAATGAAGAATCAATCAGATTTTTTCTTTTTATAATGCTTCATCACAATAAAGTTTGACAGTTTTTGGCATATTCTCGAACCCCCTTTGATTTTTCCGGAAGTGTTTTACAATTCTTGTGTTTCAATTCTAATTCCGGAATGGACAACCGGTTTGTTCATCATAATTAATATTATCTCTAGAGATCTAGGAGTTTAAACCAGAAGAGATGAATCCCTCTCAGAACCAATCACCAATCCCTTAAGCTCATAAGTGAACTAGTCTTCCAATTTGAAGTCTGGAGCTAGTGGAAAATTGTTATCACTTTGTCGACTAACTAAATACAACTTGGTGTTGGGGTAAAAAATTTCCTTTTATGGTATATATATCAAGACAAACTTAATACCAGAGAAATATAATATCTGTGTGTATGTGTGAAAGTAAATAAGTTGAAGTAAAGGAGATTGGCAATGAGAGGTGTGGGTGATGTGGGTGTTTACACCAACCACCAGGGGGTTTGATCCAAGTTGATGAAGAGGTGAAGTTATACACACATCAATATCTTATCCTAAATAAGAAATCATCAATCAACTTCATTGACGCTTCCACATCATGATATGACATAGATGGAGTTAGTGTGTATGTGGTGGTGTGAGTGTTTCGTGTCGTAGACTAGTCAACAACTATGGAGCATCTTGTTGTAAGATAGATATGATAGACGTCAGAGATAAGAATAGAGTTCAATTTACAAACCCAACCTTATTAGTTTAAAGAGTATCTCAATTCTATATTATTATTATTATTATTATTATTATAATACAAAAATGGACATGTACAACTACAATCATCAACAACTACAACATCTCCAAATTCAAAACAATCTACAACAACATTTGTCATCTCAGTATCAACAACAACAACAATGTTCATTTATCCAACCCAACAAGTCATCATTCCAGATCTGCAACGATGAGTACAACCTTGGTATTACATTGGATCTTAGCATGTCACCCTCGCCATCCACAAAGTCCAATTGTGATCCAGAGACTCTATATTATAATCAACATATTGAGACTATAGTTGACCATGAACCATCGGAACATCTGACAATGATCTCTTGTGATGATGGAGCCTCCGTACCTCAGAGCCACAAACAACATTCCTACTCCCAACCTCACCAGCTTCATTCCCAAATAGTACCAGTCGTACAATCACCAACTCAACAAATGATGTATCATTGTTCACCACCACAGTCAGAACAATCGCCTCCAATGTCCCAATATGTCAATATTGAATCCAACTCCAATCATCATCAAGGGGAGAGTACCCCCCGACCTACTGGCTATGATCTCAGTGGATCAGACGTTACTCAACCTACTTACAATCAAACATTCTATTTTCAATGGTTCAATGACCAAGAGAAGATGCAAATATCTTTGAACTTCTATAGGGTAAGTTAATATCAATAATAGACTTGTTTAGTATTCTTAATTCTAACTATAAAGAAATAATAACTAGATATTCCAAGTGTCAAGCCAACTGTTCACTTTGACCAAGACGATCTACCAGAATCCCTCTATTGGTGATGAGGAGATAGACTCAATGTTGGCAATGAATGTTCAACTTCAGAGCGAGGTCAATGAGATAAGGAACTTGGTGGACTATAGGAGACAGGCAATGATGTACCAGAAACAAATGTTCTCATGTCCAGAATCCCCCAATGGTGCCAATCCTTATCCAAGTGTCCATTATGAAGAGGAGACTCAACAGAATCATTGTCCACAGACTATTACACAGTCATCTCCACCACCCGCTATCACTCCAAAGGCCAAGTCCCACATCAAGTCACACTATGCCAACACCATTGGAAACAACAACAATCCAAAGGCATCACCGACCTATATCAATTTGACCGAGAAGTTGATCAAGTCCCAGAATAAGAAGATAAAGAAGTCCAGCTCGCCAAACAGAGTCTGTCTGAATTGCAAGACCACAGACACTCCAGAGTGGAGACGAGGTCCTCAAGGTGCCAAGACTTTGTGTAACGCATGTGGTATCAGGTACCGTCTCTCGAAGCAAAAGTCAACCGAGTCTGTCCCAGTGTTCCTTGCTAGTGCTCCAGTACCATCACAAGCACAACAACAACAACAGTCTTTACCCGTTGTGCAGTGTCTACCAGTGAACTTGAACGGCTCGACTACATCTCCCCAACAAAGTTGTCCAGAGATGTACAACAACATTCAATCCATTGTTCAGGAGGATCTGAGCCATGAAGCCCCCCACCAGTCCATCTCCTGTTCCAATGATCCATTTTCCATGCTGCATGCTGACCAATCGCTGTTATACACAGCGACAGAGTAATAACAATAATAATAATAATAATATATACTTCTATATCTGTGTGTTTCATTGATTCAATGTGTCGCATGTTTGATCACGTGTATTAAGCTCTGTTCTCAAGATCCTTGACCTTGTAGACGCGGACCAACCAATGTAGAGAGGTGAAGGCCTCTTCGAGATACTTGAGCTGGAAGTTCTTGTTGCCAATCTCGACGTTACGCACACGATCGAATCCAGAGGGCTTTCCATAGTCAGTGTGCACCTCGGAGAACCTGTAGTAACACAGTTTGTACATGAGTGTGTTGAGCATCTTGGGTGACGCACCAGAGTCTATTCGGTAGTGACCGTTGGCAAGGTAATCCGACTCTACGATTGATTTGTCTGTACTACCACCGATCCTGACCATCCAGAGGAACTTGTTGATGTCGTCCGAGGAGTAGCCTGTCAAGCCACCAAAAAGGACCAGTACATAGTCGACGTCAAGCTCGCGCATGATCTTATAGGCGTCCTCCTCGGTTGAGGCAAAAGCCTTACCAACGAGTGCAATATGCGAGTTGTTCCAAGTGTTGTTGTCGACCAACGTCGTCCTGTTGGACATGGCCGACAGTTGGTAGCCATAGTCCCACCAGGACATGATACGCGCATCATCAGCGGTGTTCTGTCCGATCCAACGATAGGCCTCACGGAAGTCATCAAAGATGACTCGTGAGTCACCCTGCTTGGCTGAGAGCACGATCGATGGCGATGAGTATGCCTCTGAGGTGACCCAGGTGCAGTGGAAGGCATAGAGCACAAGCAGAACGGTGAGAAGACTGATCATAACTCCACCTGATTCCTTTGAGTTGGTCTCGGTCGAAGGCGACTTGAGTATCTTTGAATAGGTCTGGAGTGTGGAGGAGATTGCTACGGCGGCCAACACGCAGGCCACTGGCGCAAGTACCAACATGAGTCGCACCATGACACCAGAGAAATAGATCGCTGTTACTCCATAGAGGATCAAGAAGATCTTACCATCGGTCAGATCGGTGAAACAAAAGTAGAGGCCGGCAGGGAACAAGAACACTAGGATATGCAGGTCAAAGTAGTAGGAGGACCAGGTGGTGGGTTGATGCTCAGACACCGAGGCAATGATTGGGATGTGATCGCGGGCGTAAGTCGGGTCGAGCAGTGAGTAGAAACGACCATTCCATGGTGAGATGTAACCTGTGATCATGCCAATGACAAAGGCGGCCACAGCTGCTGACAGTATTGTGAGAAGAGTCAAACGCTGGAGACGAGAGTATGCCTCTGGTGTCAGCATGGACTTGATGTAGTTGAGACCGGCAAACATTTGCAGTAGGCCAAACACGCCAAGTGCCGCCATGTGCTCACTAGATTGCACGGGCTGGAAGCCAATGAAGTTAATCTGCATCGAGAGAATGGTGCCCACCACATAGACTGTTGAGTAGGCGACGTAGAGGCGGTGGGAGTAGCGACCCGTCAAAAGTAGGGCAATTACATGCAAAGGGATCAAGTTGATTATGAACACGTATCCACCCCAAGCGCTGGCCATGTAGAAGTAGGCCAGAGAGCACACGGCCGCCCAGGCCAAACTACCAGTGTTAACTGACTTGATCCAGCAAAAGTAGGTGAAGATCAGGGCAAAGATGGCAATACCCTCATTGTCAAAGGAGCCGGCCACAGAACGAGAGATGTAGCCTGGAACTATTGCAATAATGGCGGCGGCCACTAGACCAGTCTGAGTGTCCTTTAGTTCCTTGGCAAACTTGTATGTGATCATGGCAGTGTTGCTGGCCATCCATGGGGAGAGCAGTACACAAACGTTACGGATGTTGACAGTGAGGTTAAGCGAGTTGAGCAGCCAATGAACAGCGGCCGCTGTGGCCATCAATCCAGGGTAGAGTGTTCCACCGACAATACGTCCCAGTGGATACCAGCTGCGCTCATCGAACCAGTTCAAAAAGTCATAGAGTCCTTCCTTGACCAGGTACTTTGTTGTGCGGAAGTTGAAGTATCTGAATGGTAGTAGTGTAGTGTTTGGTTGTGTTAGACATCGATGAAATGTAATATTGTATCGTAAGCTTGGGGACTTACGGATCAAACTCATGGATCACTGATTCATAGCGAAGTACTGAGAATAAACGTGTAGAGAAAGCTATCATGATGGGTAGTGTAATGATTGTTTTGGTCAGCTAATGTCAAGTATATTTGTTGTTGTTATTTTGCTCATGAGATGCAACAACACCTACCCAACACATAGAGTATCGAGAGAATGAGGACCTTGAGCAAGAACTCTTGGTTATCATCCTTTGTCTTTTGATTTAACTTGCTGTCCTCTGAGGATACTTGACGAGTGTCCCCAGTGGAGGTTGATGCTACTTTCGACATGTCAACAAGTAAGTATCCTGCCTGATCGTAATGTAATAAGAATGTTTGATTGAATCTATTGTCAACTGAACTGACAATCATGACCACCAAAAGTAAAGTCAAGGCGGATCATGGGCAAGTTCACAAAAATCATTATTGGCTGACTTTGGAGTCAAACTGAAGTTCACAACATTAGCATTGATGTTTGTTGCTTAGAAAGAATTTATACAAGACTATACACCATCCAATCTATATCTTGATGATAGATGGACTACTACTCGATATAGTTGATTGAGCACACCATTGAATCCAAGAGCGACTCGTACAACTCCTTGGACAACTTGACATACTGCTTGTTCAATTCTTGGTTGGTGGATGATGGTGTTGTGATTGGTGAGTCAATCCATGCCAATGCTGTTGCATTCAATATCTGCAGGGCAACACGTGCTTGAGACGATGATCCAAAGTCCTTTGGCAGGTTCAAAAAGTCGTACAGCTTGTTCAAATCCTTCTTTGTGGTCAGCATCACATCCCTATTATAAGCGTCAAAGTTGATTGATTTGATTAGATAATGTCAATGAATTGAGTGATCATTAAATTCTACCAACAACATACATATGAATGAATTTCTCTGCTTCAGCCAGATTGTTGAGAAAGGCCAACTGGGAAGTCTTTGGGATCAAGTCCATTTGGTGAACATGAAGGAGAGTAAAGTCACGAATCCTCTCCAAGGCCTCCTTGAATCGCTCTCGGACGTCGCCAAGAGCTATCTTGCGCCACAAGAGGTAGTCATTGAGTGGAGACTTTGGTGCAGACGTGATGACAAGCGAACCATCCTGACGCTCGTCATTGGCAAACTTCCAGGCCTGATGGGTCTTGTCCTCAAATCCACTGGTTATCAATACCAACTCTGGACTCAAACCGGCAGCACGTATATGAGTGTTTGGTGCACTACTTCTTGACAAGGACAAATGGTTGGCACCATTCTTCTTGTGTAGGTTATGGAGCCAGTCTTTGGCATTGACAGCTGACTTTTCACTGTCCTTGTTGGATACTCTGATGCCCTCTAATGTTTTGGCTTTGAGTACGAGTCAAGATCTGAAGGACTTTAATGTGTCGTCGTCAATGTTGAAGACTTACAAGTACGGTCATTGGATGAACTGTTTGTTCTTAGTGACTCAAGATACTGGTTACCAAACAAGACGAATGACATAGGACGCAAAAGTGATGATCTGGCCATTGTCTCTGGGGTGGCCGAAGCAGTAGCAGCCATGGCACGTGAGAACAACACTTGTTTAATGGGAAACATTTTTTGTTATTAGTGTAATACTTATTTAAAGAATAAATGAATGAATGAATGAATGACACTTAATGTGATGATGATGAAACAAACGGGTGACATTCATTCATTCTCTAATTATAATTAATTAAAAGTGGGAAAAAGGGGGACAAAACCCCCTTTGGATAAGGGTGCACCCATCACTGTCAATACTGCTGTTGTGATTAATTAACCATTGATTTCCTTTTTAGTTCAAGTGTGTGATTCACTCACTATAACTAACTACATTTCAAACAACTACCAAGATGAGATTATAATTTACAACTGTATGTAGATTATTAATAACAAAACTCCTCAAGATGGGACTCAGTCGGACGATCAGTGAAAATTTTATTCAATGAATGAGTTGGGGAGAACCACCAAGGTTTTTGATTTATTTATTACCTTTGAACAACCTTTATCAAATTAGATTAAAGAACTAAAATATATTTATATTATTACACTAAGAAATCAAACAAATAATGGGATGCTGTTGTTGTAAACAAAAGAAAGAGGAGGATGATCAGTTGGATGATATAGAGCTGGAGCCAAATCGAATGGCAAAACAACAAGTGCATAGAATCGATAGACACAATGAAACTTGGAACCTTTACAATGGAGGAACCAATGCCAAAAAGTTACAACTGGTTGATTTGTACAATGATGACCCAAATGACCCGCGAACTCTAACAGACTATGGAATATTGTTGTCCTGCGAAGGTCGAGACAAGGAGGCCCTCGAGTGTCTAATGAAGGCCGTTCAACTTAATCCAGAGTGCTCCCGTAGCTGGATTGCCTACGCAGAGTTCTACGAACAGCGCAACGACATGAAGAGGGCAATGGAGGTGTACAAGGAGGGCTACAAACATGCTTCACCAAAGATTGCTCTGGACATTGATGACTCTGACCTCATTCTTCACCTGGCCATTATGTCACAAAAGAACAAAGAGTATGAGCGAGCCGAGAAGATGTTCAAGAAAGTGATCACATCAGGTCCTACAAATGTTCGTGGTCTGGGCATGTATGGACGCTTTATCATACAGGTACACAAGAATTGGGACAGTGCAAACGAGTATCTCAAACAGGCTGCCGACATTGATCCTCCAAATACATACTGGTGCAACTTCTATGGACAGTTCCTAAAAAAGTGGAACAAGAAAGAAGAAGCTAATCAATACTTCAAAAGGGCTGCCCTTGCTGTTGACACAGTAGTTCCAATAGAGGACCCTAGAATTATTATAAACTAGAACCCTTAATTAAATTTGCTCGTCAGTGAAGGTCAAACAATCATAATCAAACAGTTTAGTTTGAGTTTGAATGTTTGGTATCATTTATTGGAACATTCTGGGACCAGTAAATTGCTCGGATGGTGCGGTGGAAAGAGTCCTGTGATGATGTGGCAGACCAATTTAAAAAAAAAAGAATAAATTAAATTAAAAAGTGCGCATGCCGAGAATCGAACTCGGATCGCTTCCGTGGCAGGGAAACATTCTACCATTGGACCACATGCGCTTTATGCATGCAGGTACTATATTAAATGTTTTTATAGTAAAAAAATGGCAATTTTTTTTTTTTTTGAACAATTACCTATGCACTCCAGGCTTTCCTCATTAAGTCATAGTGACCACCCTATGATTCCTAATTGTAACTATAGTTATCAATCGTCGAAGCTTGGAAAATTCCTCGGACTCATTATAATATTGACAAGCCTATCATTCGTCAAAGCACCACATCGATGTTGGTAACAATTCTGTAAACATAAACTTCCTTGAATATCGATGTGTTGATTTAATTAATCGAGTATTGTTGACAAAAAAAAGTGGTAGAGATACTGTTGATAAAGAGAGAGAGAGAGAGTGTGTTTTAGGGCTCCTCTATCAATCATCGATACTTTGTCTGGTAGGTTATCTCAGCATTGTTGTCACACTTCTGGCCCCTGACGTCGTCATCACCGATTCGTGACTGACGAGTTTCACCTCTAGAGTTGCTGATGTTGTTATAGTTGTTGATTGATTGGTGCTTTGCGCTTGGCAATTGTCCCTCACCAACAACAACATGGGGAGCAAGGACCTTGGGGGATATAGGTTGGTAATGAGTTGCCTGTGATTGGAACGGATGGCTCTGGAACTGATGAGCCTGCTTGGAGAATGGCGGGGTCTGGGTTGAGGGTTGGAAAGATTGAGTACCAAAGCCAGAGGAAGGTGTGTATTGCTTGTGGAGTGACATGAACGGGTGGGGTGGTGTAGGGGCACTGTGGTGGAGTTCCCTCTTGACCTCCTTGCTGGTGCCGATTACTGGAAGTTGACTGAGTTGATCAACAGACTTGCGCTTCTTCTCGTGGCTTATAGTCTCAATTGTTGGAAGGGGCTCATTGGTTGGTGCATCTTCTACGCCGCCCTGAGTCCACTTATTCATGAGCCTCATGTACTTCTTACGGGTAGAGGTTACCGTGCGACCTAGCTCATTGGCTATTGAACGCCATCTGTTCTCTGAYKCCTCCTTGGACTTGTAGGACTGTGGGTCGAGCTTGAGTACCAGCTCTAGAAGTTGGCAGCACTCCTCTTGAGACCAAAGTTTGCGAGTGGTTGTAGGTACGTCGTTAGAGCCACTCGACTGGAGGTCGGGATACTCTTGGCGATGTCTATTTTGCTTTGAGAACGACTCGTAGAGCTCGTCATCAGACTCGGTCGCAGGGGAAATTAATTCGTATCTGCTTCCGGTGCCATTAATACCATGATGATCTGATTCGTGCTTGTGTTGTGTTGGGGATGAAGATGGTGATCTTGATATATATCGGTTGTTATTGTTATTGTTGTTGTTGTTGTTGTACTGTTGTTGATGTTGTTGCTCTACATCGGTTATATTATTACTACTTTGGCTGCGGTAAATACGTTGGCCATCGTTGTGGATGCTGAAATTATTAATGTTATTGTTGTTGTTGCTGTCATCCACCATGGACGATGGAGATGACCCTTTGGCAGGACTGTTACGAAGTGATGCCATGCTGCTGGTCACCATTGGTGACACCTTCAAGTCAGGATGATAGTACGATGGATGGGGATTGTTTGGTGTTGAAGATGACACCAATTGTTTGGTCCCAACTGTGACCTTTGTTGAAGAGGATAGTGGTGGAGAAGGTGATGACATTGGTGAGCTTCCTCCATCTCCAGTGCGGCCATTGGCTTTGATGTTATTGTTGTTGTGATGTGCCACGAAACGGAAATGACCTCCAACGGACAACTTCGCATCTCCCTGATGAGGACTAGATTGGGGCGACTCGGAATCAGAGGTTATCTCATTGGCAGGGTCTCTATCTCTCTCGATTGGTTTGGATGAGGCATCACGGTCACACAGCAGTCCACCGATCTTCATTCTCTCTGATGTACCAGAAGTGATGGGTAACATTGCTGTTGTCGTTGTAGTTGTTGTTGTTGCTATTTGGTAGCAGAATTATTATGATGTTTGACCTTGTGTATTGACAGAGTTGGATGAGTGAGTATGAATAGAGGATGAGTAACCAATTATTGAACTGGCTGATCAATGCTGCTGTTTAGTTTGGATGCTGTATTGTGATCTATAACTCTTGCTATCTTGGCAAAGACAGCATCAACAAATGAAGATTGAGGATTGATGGATGGACCATTCAAACTTGGACTTGTGATGGAAGCATGGTGTAGTAGTTGGTATGTTTAAATTGGAAGGTTCACATTAAACTCTCTGCAGCATCCACTGGCAGGCCAGTACAGTGTGGACCAAGGCCGGTGTCATATTTACAGGGCAATGCAGGCAGCAAGGCGGTGGCAAGATGGACAGGGGCGAGCTGATGACTAACAGTCCACCAAGTGTTGTTTGTTGTTGTTGGTTTACATGTATGTATGGACTAATTTGACGACTGCTCCCTCTGCTGCCACCCCCAAGCCCATTAGGCGGTCTCTCATGAGAGTGGGGTCTGTTGATCAATACTCTGGCTGTTCTTGCAAGAATGAAGTGTGTGTGTGTGTATGTGTGCTGTGTATTGTGTTTATGAGTGATCAATCATTCTAAGTGTTTGTTTGAGTGGTCATCATACACACACAATCAAACAAACAAACTAACCAACACTAGATCTATGTTTTTGTGGACCATCTTAGTATGGCAATGGTGGTGGTTTTGACATTGAAAGTGGGTGATGAGACACATCAACCAATCAGCATCATAATCTAACAAATGGCACATTAACACCATCAATGTAAATGACTCTCGATCAATTGGAGGGACGTCCCATTAGACCACTCCCTCGAGGTCATGCTGGTATAATAACACCAGTTGGCATCTGGTCGCGATGATGATGGTGTTAATGATCTGTGATAGGACCTCCAATACCAGCTGTGGATACAACACACACCCACAAAGAAGTTCGTTGGTGGTCGCGACTGAGAGGCGCAAAGTTGAAACCCTTTCGTGACAACCAGGCCTCCGATTATTGTTAAATGTAGTTGTTATTCGTTGTTATAATAATACCATGTTGTTGTTGTTGTTGTTGTTGGATATATATATATGTTTGACCTAATAGTTGATTGACTTCTTGATGGCCTCAAAGTTCTTGAGATGGTCTGGTACATAGAATCGCTCAAAGATCAATGGGAAAGGTGTGTCGTATCCACAGATTCTTTGGATAGGAGCCTCCAGGTGGAGGAAGCAGCGCTCTTGGATGGTTGATGAGATCTCTGCAGCCCAACCGCCAGTCTTTGGTGCCTCGTGGCTTATCACCAGTCTGCCTGTCTTCTTGACGCTTGCCTCAATGGTTTCGACGTCCCATGGTAGGATGGTTCTCAGATCGATGAGCTCACATGAGATGCCCAACTTCTCCTTGGCCATCTGACAGGCCTGCAACAAAACTCGCATCTGTGCGCCCCAGCCGACAATGGTGATATCGGTACCCTCCTGTACCACTCTTGCCTTGCCAAGGGGCACCTCGTACTCACCGACGGGAACCTCCTCCACAGCAGACCTATACAGCAGTTTGGGTTCGAAAAAGACCACTGGATTCTTATCCTTGATTGAGGCAAGCAGGAGTCCCTTGGCTTCGATTGGTGTTGATGGCATTACAACCTATGATGATGATGATGATGATGGACACGTATGATGTCAGATGATGGACAAGTATGATAGATGTGTATGGAACTCATACCTTCAATCCAGGTGTATGGGCAAAGTAAGCCTCTGGTGACTGTGAGTGATAGTGTCCTCCGTGTCCCACAGCACCATATGGAGCTCTGATGGTCAAACTGCCACAATTGAACATTCCACCTGACCTATATCTGTATTTAGCTGCTTCGTTAACGATCTATTTGTGTGGTGTTGAGCAATCATATGTTAGTAACATCGAGATGGAGTGTTCAAACAGTCATTGACCTACCTGATCAAAAGCGGGAAAGATGTCTTGATTGAATGACAGAAGGTACAAGTTGAGTAGTAGAATTGTGTGTTAGTCAAGCTGTGAGTTGTTGCTGAATATCATCTTATAGGTGAGTGTGATGATGATCATTCCCACATACAATCTGCGAATTGGATCTCTGCGATGGCCGTTCCTCCTTGGGCAGCCATTCCGATGGCAAAGCCGGCAATAGCTTGCTCACAGAGTGGTGTGTTGAAGACACGCTTTGGTCCGTATTTGTTGCGCAGGTCGACAGTGCATCTGAATACACCTCCAAAGCCAACGTCCTCACCAAAGACGCAAGCCTTTTCGTCTGCCTTGAGTGAGAGGTCCATGGCGTTGTTGATGGCCTGGAACAAGTTCATCTTTTGTGTCTCTCCTGCATTCTCGATCGCTAGTGATGGATAGGCGATTGGTGCGCCATGTCCACCGGCCAATCGAATTGGGGTTGAGTGGAACGATCTGATTCCCTTCTGAACGACACCATATTCTTGTTAGAAAGATAGAGAGAGTAGCATAAATATGTCATGACTTACAATCAACAAGGTGCTGGTGTTCAATCTCTTCACTGCAAACATATTGAGTTGTATATTTATAAGTCTACAAGTTTATGTGATCTAAAAAGTGAGAATACTTAATGGTGATCGATTCACTTTGTTTCTGATCATTGGGAACCTGACGAATGGAAATTTCAATAAAAAATCTTTTTTGCAATTTTTACTATTAAACTTCGTTTTTATTGCTGTTTGTCCTTTTCTTCTTTGTTCACTTTGACACGCAGCCTCTTAGTTGGTCGCTCAACAGTTATACATTGTTCATCAGATTCTGTCAGGACATTTGAAACATCCAAAGATGTTATCTCTTCCTCCTCCTTGTCACAGACTACAATCATCCTGTCTCTGATAAGTTTAAAGTCTTGCTCATTGATTTCAAACAGTCCATTGCGGAACATTACGCCCCATGATGACTGACGATCCTTTGTGAATGAAAGAAGAGGCAGTAAAGGGATTATGGATGTAGTGATTGCTTGCTTGATATAGTTGACTCGTCGACGAAAGGGTATGAAGGTGTCTGTCATTTTGAATTGGTAGACCTCGTCGTCAGCTACCTCGCCTATCGCCGTGAAGCTCTTTAGAGCCTTTGACTTTGTCTCCATTGTCTCACGAGGTGAGTAATAAATCAACCAATCACCCTTCTTCATTCTGGACAGTGGTACCTTCTTTCCATGACATGTCTGGCAAATCCCATCTAAAAGTCCAACGTTAACATGTTGTTTCGATACTGTTCCTATCCAAAACCTTGTTGTTGCCATGTTTGTAATGTAGTATCTGTTTCTTATGTTTGTAACTGAATGATCTGATGTTGTTTGTTTGTTGCTCACATCACACTTGAACATGGAGAAAGGTTTCCAAGAAACAACTTGTCGTAGAGTCTGAAACTCATTGATTAAACACAATAACGCTGAACTGTTCAATATCCTATCCTCAATGTATTTTACTTAGACCTGATCAGGTTGTTCCTGTTGTTGTTGTTGTTGTTGCAGAACAATAGGCTGCGGCAAGGGTATTGGGATTGCTTGATGAGCATTGTTCTCCAAGAACTTTTGAGGTCGCATCATTCGATAGTTTATCATTGCAAAGAAGTCTTGCTGTTGCTGGAACAGTGGATTGTCTGTGTCCTCTGCACCTGGAGCGCAACATGTAACGCATGGAACTATGCAACATACCAAGCAGAATAGTAAACTAATAATATATAGATTGAAGGATGGATAGTGTTAATGACCAATACCTAAGGTGTAGATCTGTCTCTCCTATGTTACACATACCCGCAAAGAATGAAAATAGGTATAAAGACAGCGGCCATTGAATAGTTCTTGCCATCCAAGTGTGACGCCAGCAATCCAATAAAGATGACCAATATAATAACGAGGAAGGTATAACAACAGATGTGTGCATTACGGATCATGCCAAGCTCCTCTGCCTGTTGGTCGCCGTGATGGTGCTGCTTGTCCGATCGGTAGTCTGAAACAATGATGATAAACTGGAAGAACAATGCCACTAGCACTGGGATGGCGTTGATCCACCAGCTCCAGCCAACAACGCTGTCCAGTCGAACGACCAAGAACACGATGAACCATGCTGCCATCAAGTCAAAGGAGAACTTGCGCAACAGGAAACCAGCATAACCAAGGCCAAAGTCGGTAACAGTGTCGTTATGTTCGCCAGGAGCGAATCTATTCTTGAATCGTCCATACAGAACAGTGGGAATGATGATTACAATGTCCAACAAGATGAGAAAGTAGATGGGGATGAACACCTCACTCCATAGCATGTGCGTGCGTTGGTTGAGATTGGCTGTGAGAAGTGCCATAAACAATAGTACTGAGGTCAAACGAGCCAGATGGAATAGCAGTGTAAGGTTCTTGGCCACGATCGTCATGACAAAGAGCAGCAGGAACACTACGCCACCTATGATCCAGATGGGAGAGAAGACACTCTCCCACACCCAATCCACCTTGCCTCCTGTCTTTAGAACCAAGAATATCGGTAGCAGGATGGCCACGCATATAAGCAGGAACATTATTATAAATAGTAGTTTGATGGAACCTGAGAAGAGTAGTGCCAGCATCTGTGCCTCCTCTCCTAGTACGTCATTCTCGAATAGTTTGATACCTTCTTCACCATACTGTTTGATGGATTGAGGTCAGTAACAACAACAACACTGCATGATACATATGCACAACAGTTGCGGTCTGGTCAACATACCTGATCATATATCTTTCTTTTTTTCTCATCAGATAGAACCTCATAAGCATCTCTAACATCTTTGAACTGGGCAAATAGTGTAAGCGTCCTGTTTCTGTTGTGTAGCTTGATCATCATCATCATCATCATCATCACCTACCATCTCTACAGCATTAGGGTCTGGATTTCTGTCGGGATGATACTGAAGAGCCAGTGCTCTATAAGCTCTCTTGATCTCTTCGAGAGAGGCATCCTTGTCAACACCCAGCAAGGTATAGTAGCGCACTGAATTAAAGTTCATAGACGATTATTATTAGTAGTGAAATAGTTGTTATTGACTGAATGAATAAAAATGATTTTGGTCGACTCGCACACTTTGATTGGTCGAGTTGCAATGAATTCAACGTAATCAACATTATTATTAACGTTAAGTATTGATAATCCATGAAAGCAAGACTGTTTTATTCGCTGTAGTGTTACTGATGTACATTTAACCTTGATGTTCCATTGAAGCCCCATGATAGATACCAGGAGTAGTTAGTTGTTGTTGCTGATGTTGTGTTGACAGCAGATGTGTTCTCTAAGAATGATGATGATGATGATGATCTATATATATATAATTCGATAATGGCGAGGATGATGATTATGACATATATAAATATATATGTATACATGTAATAAATATAAATAGATATATAATGAGTGAACGAGTGAGTGGATGATGATGACCTTGTGCTTGCTTGAAACGATTCGGTCATATTTTGAGTAGGTTTGGAAGATTGCCATATTTGTCCAACTTTTTGCCCCACCCTTCTAGGATCTGCGCTATCTGTCCTTTGCCAAGCTGATCGAAAGGTGGCACGATAAACAACTTGAGTATCTCGCCCAGGTTGTCCAAGATGGATGCCTCTCGGTCCTGCTGATCGCCCTTGTGGGTCCTGCCCGGCTTGTCCTTTGCACGCAGATGTCCCATGAACAAAAAGGCTGTCTTGGGATCGACCATCTTGAGCAGACCGGTGATTAACACATGTAGACATGGCGTGCCATCAATAAGTATTCGCTGACCCAACTCGTTTCGAAGACAGCGACGTGAGTTCTCCATGGCAAACACTGGTATATTTCTAGGCGGGTTGTCATCCTGGGGCATCTTGGCAAAGATGTCTCCAAAGAAGCGTTTGAATTGCATGCTTCTCGTGTCATAGTGCTTGCGCCATGGTCCAACCTCATCACTCTCGTCATAGCCATCGTAGCACGAGTCGGGTAGCACTGAGTTGGCGTAGGTCAGTACAACGGCGGCGTTTCGCCACAACTGTGGACCCAACTTCTCTGTGAACTGATTGATGACCAGCTGGTGAGCACCGTCAAAGCGTGTCTCTGTGAACTTCTCCACAAAGAGAACACAGTGAATGGTCTTGCCAGACAGGTACTTTTGGATCTTTACCATGTTGTCTGCATCGACACTTTCGCCATGAGAGTCCAGGAAGCCTGGCGTGTCAATGATGTTGAGCTTGAAGCCATTTACATTGCGACTGTAGGTGAATGGGTCCTGTGTACACGATTCCGATGAGTGCACCGGTATGTCAATGCCAAAAACTGTGTTGAGTGTTGATGATTTGCCGACGCCTGTGCGGCCCAGCAGTAGCACGTTGCATTCATTCTGTACGCCCTTCAATACGGATAACATCTCTTGTAGCTCCTCAGTGGTTTCCTTCTCAATGCCGCCCTGTTCGATCGGCTCCTCAAGGATCGAAAGGAAGGGGTCATAGTCATCGCCAGTCTCGCTGACCTCATCATTGGTGGAGGCGTTGTCGGTGTGCGTGTGTGTATTGGACAGGGAGTTTGTAATCTCTGACACTGAAGTGAGGGACATGCTGTTCTCCATTCCTGCCTTGAGTGACGATGTCGATGAGGTCAGAGAGGCGGTCGACGACTTTCCATCCTTTTTCTTTTTAGAGCCTAATGAGAATGGAGACAGTGACGATGATGATTTCTTCTACTCTCAAAAAGGTTGTGATTAGTATCGACTACCACCTTGTGTTTGATAAAGTCTACATACTTTATAAGGGTTGATGTTAAACATGACTGAATGATTCAAAGACAACTCTCTGTGAACGTTCCAACAATGTCAATGGTTGAGTTGACAGAACTGCCGAAAATAACAAAAAAAAAAAGGTAATGTTGTATATATCTATGAATGAAACTCTTCTGCTGTCTTGCTGCTATACTCCTAAAGGGATAAAAAGAGAATTAATTAATTAATAATCCATCTTGGACCGTCACGCTCTGAGTAGGTGGAGAATGAATTGGGTCTGATGAGAGCTGGATTGGTGATACTAAAACATCAACAAAACATCGTATCATTATCACAGCGATGAGTTGTGACCAAAAAAATGGGAGAGCTTGGCTCTCGAGAGCTGAGAATGAGGATGGAGGATGGTGGGACCAATAAGAATGCTGATTGGTCAAAGGAAACACAGATGGTCCTGTGTGGGTTGATCCTGATCCAGATGAAGTGTTGGTATAATATGTTGTATGTTTGTGTGTGTGTGTGTGTGTGTGTGTGTGTGTGTGTGTGTGGCTTGTGTATGTGTCCATTATCAAATATGTGAGTGTGTCCTCTGAATGAAGTGGTTAATTAATTAAGCTTATAAGCATACCATAAAGAGAAGAGTCTGTTGGTAAGTTGTCAACTCTTTGTTGAGATTGTAGTCTGATGGTGGAAGATAAAAAATTATCTCTAGAGAAACAAGAATGGTTGTGTGTTGTGTGATCAACTTTTAAAGTCTTCTTTGGTGGACTTTTGTTGAGAGATTTTGGGTAAGTTTTTTTTTTGATTTTGTTTGTGGGCGAACATAAAAAGGATCAATTACAAACTTATTGTCAAATAGGATTAGGAATAAAACTTCCTCTAGTTTACTTGTTAAGGAAGTAATAATTAATGATACACAATTGTGACTCTGAACAAAATCATTAGAATTCTAATGATTCAATCAGACTTAATCAGAAAAAAAGACTGAAAAATATGATTAATTAAAACCAAAAATAGAACAGTGCTTATTCTTCGATTCTCTCTAGTTGACACAAAACACTACTATGCATCCTAATCATGGGTCTCTATGGCGCAAAGAGACACAGAACAATGACTTGTCTTAAGTGAGGTGCGGTATACAACATCCAACAGAGGTGTTATCCCTGTGTTTACCAATGACTCAGTATAGTAGACTATGATTGGAATGGGTTGATGGACAAACTAAGTTTGTTGTTGAGAATGTAAGTTTATTAGTTCTCGGCATTACCAAGGAAGAGGTAAGCAACGATTGCCAACACTACAAAGATCAGAGGGATCTTCAACAGGCCAAGTCCACCCTCGGCTGGCTTCACTGTGGCGACTGGAGCAGTGGCCATTGGCTTCTTGGTCTTTGGCTTCTCTACCTCTCTTGCTGGGGCACCGGCAACACGACCGATTCTATATTGCTTCATCTTGCTCTTGGCAGAGTCACTGTGTCCTACATCGTCAAACTCTTGAGTTCCATCGATACCTAAAAGGGACCAAGAGTTAGAGTGAGTCAATGGTAACTTATAAAAGCTGTGATGACTCTAGAGTACGAACCTGCGTTGGCTTTCAACACCTCCTCACCACCTGGGTGGTCCTCAACGAACTTGGTGATGTCATATACGTCATTGTTGTAAATGATCCAAAGATCCTTGAGGGAGTTGTGCTTCTTGATCTCCTCCAAGTTGAATGTCTTCTCGGTTTGGGTGGTCATATTGTATTTGATTGTTATCTATGTTCGGTCGACAACTATATATGTATATATATTTATACTACGGTTAGTATAAGGTAAATAAATTGTGCTGTTTGGTTGATTGATTAACTGATTGATAGATTGATTGACAATGGATATTTATAAATCGACGGTGGAGAGACTGCAAAGAAGTTGAAGAGGGAGAGAGAGAGAGAGAGAGATAGAGGTGGTGATAGATGATGAATGGTTATTTATACATACTGATGATGATGATGATTGTTGTTGAATGAATGATAGGTTCACAGAGGGAGTTGTTTAAAAATTATTGCTTTGAACCTGTTGATCACAAACCATGAACTGAACAAAAATTCAGATAGACTTGTGGTGGGGGAGCAAATCAATCACGCCATGACCATTGATGACTCCAAAAGCGATAACTGACAAACGATACTACCACACATCATTAATGATGGTTTATCTTTGTGGAGAACTCATCAACAAAGTGTGACATTGCTGAACTCTTTCCCTCTTCCAAGTTAGAGTCGATAGATCATAGATATTAGTATTTACAACCTTTCTCTTTTTCTCCTCACTCTCTCTCTCTCTCTCTCTCTCTCTCTCTTTCAATCTCAGTCTCTACACATTCTTTATCATTCTCTCTATCTCTAACATTCTCTCCAATAACTAGTTATGAACAAAATGTGGAACTTTGGAAGGTTGATTGAACTTTCCACATTCATTTACCTAACCAGGTGGAGTCAAAAAATCAGATAATAATAATAATAATAAAAATTAATTGTTGTTATCAAAACAAACAATACACCTCACACTCAAGCTGCCAAACAAATAATAAAAAGGTACATACATAATATATGTATTAGAGATAGAGAAAAGAGAAAAGAGAATAATTTAATCTGTTGTGACATCATTATCATTATCATCATAACATCGTGAGTGTGTTGCAGTGTAAGTGTTGTTGCTCACTATGTCGGGTGCACCTATTATAACCAATATCTAACATGTACTATCAATATATATTTAGGTATACCTTTATATTAGACAACGAATCGGATTGATACAGGACAGAGGCAGACATAGACAGAGACATAGACAGAGAAAGCAGATATAACAACAGACATGGAGGCTGAAAAGAACTTTAAGGTCGTGCTCCTTGGTGAGGGTAAGTATGAACTTGTTAAGTTTAAAGATGTGTACCAAGGTGCTGACACGATATCATTTATAAATATATTTAATATAGGTTGTGTTGGAAAGACCTCTATAGTGCTTAGATACATCCAGAATACGTTCAATGACAAACATCTCATGACACAACACGCTGGATTCTTTCAAAAGAACATCAACATGGCTGGCAAGAGAGTGTGTTTAACTATATGGGACACTGCTGGTCAAGAGCGATTCCATGCTCTTGGCCCAATATATTACAGAGGTTCTCAAGGTAAGGCTTGTTGTTGTTGTTGTTGTTGTTGTTGATGTTGTTATTGGAGACGTTGTTATCATGAAGCTCATCATGATAATCGCTCCAGTCTCTTATCATCTGTGTACAAACAAACAATGCTAATAACTATAATCATAACCATAATAATAGGTGCATTGGTAGTTTATGATATTACAGACAACGACTCATTTATAAAGGCAAAGAATTGGATTAAGGAGCTGAAGGCAATGCTAGGCAACGATATAGTATTATGTATAATTGGTAACAAGTGCGATCTGGAGAAGACCAGAGTCATATCATTGGAGGAGGCAGAGGCATACGCCGCATCCGTCGGCGCCAAGCATTATAGCACATCAGCCAAGCTCAACAAAGGAGTCGAGGAACTCTTTTTGGACTTGTCAAAGAGTAAGACACAACAACAACAACTACAACGAACGAGTCAAAGACGACGACCAGCATGTGAACTTTGGACAACGTACACTAACCAACGTTTGTTATTTAGGGATGCTGTCCAAGAACACTACATCCACTCCTGGAGCATCAAACTCGGCATCGACCTCCAATCGATCAGAAAGGATTCCAATTGTTCCAGAGTCAACAGAGACGAAGGAGTCCTGTTGCTCCAAATAGGCGCAACACCAAGGTATATAAAGTTGACTTGATGACACAAGACATAAGGAAGGGTGGAGGGGTGGGTATCATATCACGTATAGGAGATTGGTGTTGTTGTCACAAATGTGATTTACAAATGGGGGCTTACCACTATCTGATCAAATTGGGTACTGTGTCCATTCAGTCACATCACCAAGATGACATTGTTGATGTTTGTAAAGTAGTAGCTTCAGTTAGTCCAATCTTTATCTACATAGTAATAGAAAAGTTATAAAGTATAGTTACGTTCTCATGTCAAATACAACAAAGACAACAACACAAACAACATCGGACACTTCTAAGCAATCCCAACCAAGATCGGTAGCTCCTCCAAAGTCATTTGATTTGGTATTTAGGGAGTACGATGCTTTGGCTGATGGAACATTAATGAAGTCAATTCCAAGAGTACCCCCAACAACCGCTGGTCAATTGATCAGTTTGAGCCATCCATTGGACTATATGATCAGACCATCATTGGCACCCAACAACAAAATAACAATAGTCGAGGACAGGAGTGACAATACAATTGGCGCATTCAGCTCCACAGTGCGAGAGGACAGAATCAATGGACAATTACGTCACTCTCATTACGGATTCGATATTAATATGTTGGAGAAGTTTAGAAATGGCGGTATGGCAATGACCATCTTTGAAAAGATGATTCGTGGCTTCCTAGAGAAAGATGGATCATTATGCTATGGCAGCTCACTCAAGACCGCAGCCAATGTTGTCAATAGGAAAATGGATCAGATCGGTGTCAGACACTACTGTGACCAACATCAACATGCATGGGCCGTTGACTTTCCTGTGCCACTTGAGGCAGTTCCAAACAACGTCCAATTGAAGATATGGGAGGAAGAGGACAAGGCCTTGACCAAAAAGCGCTGGGATGACTACTTCAAGGACTGGAACTTTGTCCCAAACAACTTTAATGAGATATTAGAGTACAACAAGAAGTATTGCTACAAAACATACATGGCAAGGTTGGAGAGGGATGGACATGTATCAGAGGCATCAATTAGTGTTTGGAATCAGGATCTCATCTTCACTCTATCCTCTCAAATGCCAGCCACAATGCATAGGGTTCAGTCTCATCGCCAGATATTCTCATGCTACACCTATGGAGATGACAAGGACTTCCTTTTCAACTATCTTTTGCGATACGTGCACAACAAGCAATATCAAGAGGGTGTAGAATTCCTATTCATTGGTCTCTCTGAGCTGGACCCAATCAACCGTTACGTACCCTTGCTGAGAGGTATTCAGTCGCTAACCTTCTCCTTCATTGTGGGTGCCAAGGCCAAAGAGGACTACGAGAGCCTGTGGTCAGTGGCTTCAAAGGTGCCAGTATATAATGATCCAAGAGACTATGGTGTGCTAATGTTAATAAAAGAGTTTGTCTCAAGCCTGTAGACATCTTTTCAACAAGAACTTCCAATACTGTTTCGCTTCAAGTGCTCCAATCTTCAAACCTTTGCGATTTGATGATCGGTAGGTAGCCCATAACAGACAGAATGGTTGGAAGAGACATTGTTATTGTTTGTCCTTGTGACAGGTGGAGCGATCTCAAAGGCCATCGATCGGTACCTCCATCATATGTGTCTGTGCAGGTGACATCGATGTCATTGCCCTGTAAGGGCTGGTCTGTACTTTGAAGTTGTGAATGCCTAGTTGTGCCTGTTGCCAATGGAGACTATTGCTCTGCCATGTACATTGGTGCTCACCACCCTCTCCATTGAGGTCGGAGCTCTATGTAGGTATTCAAGAGGGCTCGGAGTGCCGGTTGGCATCGAACAATCATTTTAAACTTCAAGACGTGAGATGTCTATCTCTTTGAACCAGAACAATTGTGACTGTTGTCAACAAGTGCAAAAAACACCACCAAGTCTATTGGATTATGGGAGGACTTCTCCTCACACCCTAATCAATCTCTCTGAGTCGATCACCTTCCAATCACAATTTGTGTCACACCGCCAAATCACCCCCACCATGTTCAGCCCCATGGTCCTCGACCACTCTCATACCTGGTCTATTGCCACGTGATGTCAATCCCCACCATCATCACACATACACACACACACGCACACACACACACACATACACACATACTTAAACACACACAAGTAGAGAGATGTATTTGTTCTTGTATCCCCAGCTCTGCCTACACATGATGATTCAAGCAAGGAGCAGAACAACAATCACATGATCACACCTTCTCTCTCTCTCACACACACACAGTCTCTTCAATGTGGTGTCTCATCGAGACCAGACTGCCTTAGGCCTCCAGCTTGGTGTTCGGACGTTGGTATCACCCTTGATCTACATGTGCTACTATATTTACATCCTATTCTCTGTCTATCAGTCTTTCTTTGTCTATCTGTCTAACAGGCACATTCAGTCTGTTGTGGATGTCAATCAGTCATTCATTCAGTCTGTTGTCTTTTGTGGTACAACCCTCAACCGTTCGTCTCTTCTTCACTTCCACATCTCAAGGCTGTCCATCCAACGAAGCAAGAATCATCACCACATAGCAACCTATAAAACAAGACAGTCTGTCTCTCTCTCTCTCTTTTGCTATGAATCAATCTTCAGTGAACAGTTAATCAATCAACAACTTATAATACTCTTTCATCATCAATCAATCACGATCAACTAACTCATTCAATCACTAAAACCAACAGTCACACTATCCACTTGTTTACTACACTACACTTATTCTTTAATATACCTACATACATTACATTCATTCATTCATACATATATTCAGACATATTTATACATACAATGGATGGATTCGTTCCTTGTTATTGTGACCCAGTGTTTCCATTTGGTGTCGGTACACCAACCTGCCCAAAGGGTGGTTGTTTGACATATGGTATATTCTTCTTCCTGGCCTTCTCTGTTGCCACGGCAGAATGCATAAGACGAATGTGGATCCAACGCAAACAATGGCGCACTGCCGTCTACATTAGTAATGTTATGATGATGATTGCCAACCTGTGCCAGTCACTGCGCATGGTTCTGGTGCTGGCCAAGGTCACCGAGATATATAGTACCAACATCATCCTATTGTTTGGCGTTGGCTTCTACTTTGCCTCCTACCTCTGGATTCTCATCTCTTGGTGCGACATTATCACGTCGGTCAACTTCAACAAGTCCGTTCAGATCACCTTCAAATGTATCCGTTGGGCCATCGTCTTCCTTTTCGTCATGCACTTTGTTGGCTGGATCATTGCCTTCTCCATCTGGTGGCCATACCAAGTGTCCAACATCTGGATTGCCAGCTACGGATTCGGAGTCAGTGTCGGTTACTTTGCCCTTGGTTTCTTCATCTGGCTCGAGTATAGGAGTGTGTCCAACATCTCTGCTCACGGAAAGAATGCCGAAAAGACCTACCGAAAGATTGTCAAGCTCGTCAAACTGAGCTCAGCCGTAGTGGTCACTGCCCTCATCATGACTGGTGTCATGTTTGGTGCCAGCTACATCCTGCCAACGACCAACGAGCAATTTGTTGGTTGGTTGTTCATCACGAGAAGTTCATTTGTACTTTTTACTGGTGCAACATTGGTGTTCTTCATTCCATCAAACAACAAGAGACTGACAAGCACATCATCAGGCACCAAGGGATCGTCGTCCGAGTGGTCCGAGAAGATGAACAAATTGGAGTTTGCCTCTGGCGAGTCAAAAGAGGAGCCAGAGCCAATCACCCCTGGTGGCGACCTCGAGAGTAATGTCTCCAGTACACCAGTGTCACAGAGCTTCAATGTGGAGATTGGACAAACTGGAGATGGAACTAATGGTTCCTCGAATGTATAAATAAGTAGTGCACCTGTATTCAATCCTTGTACCCAACACAAACCAACACCCTATGCGATAAAGGATCACCGTTGTCATATAATACAACTAAATGTTATAAATAAACTTGTACAATATGTTCACAAGCCATGATCGAGATCATGGCGGAACCCCCATTAATAATAATAATCATCACTCATATATGGTCAACCCTTCTTTATATATGGAATTCCTAGATAACTGTTAAACGCCAAGCACAACCAAAGTAGTAGTTGTAGTTGTAGTAACTTTTAAACCTTTGATCACTAGATCAAGATTTGGTTGAACACTTCTGAAGAGGCAAAAGACACCCAAACCTGGATTCAATCTGGAAACCCTCAAACAACTTTGATAGGTAGTGTGTCTTAACCTTTAAAGGAATGACACACTGAATATATAATAAGTACTGTATTTATTAACATTTCATTCAACTGATAATTTGTATACAAGTACATATTTAATATGACCAATCAATTCCAACAACAACAACCAACAAAAGAGAATCGTAAGGACTTCTCAAATGTAGACCTGAACAACCCAGAGTCATTGATCAACTACCTTCAATATATCTATGAGGAGCCTTATGTAGGTATCTTTTTTTGATTAATAATACTCAAGTTATATATATATATATAACTTTCATTAACCATCATCGATTTATTAAAGACCAATAATATCACTAGGAAGGTAAACTCTGATCTCGGTCTATGCAATGGTGACAAAGTATTGGATGTTGGCTGTGGATATGGAAAGGACCTCAAGGGATATCACTATCGTGTTGGTTGCAAAGGTGAAGTGGTTGGAATTGATAACAGTACTTCAATGATCAACCATGCCAAACGACAGTATGAATCTGATGAGTCCTACTCAAATATCAAGTTGATGGTGGCTTCTGCCGATGACATACCATTCCCTGCAAGTTACTTTGATGTGTATGTAGTTGATTCAACTACTAGTAGTAGTAGTATTTGCTGTAACACTTCCCATTGCTAACAATACATATCTCTCTCTCAGATCACGAACAGAAAGAGTAATGCAACACGTACCTGACCCTGCCAAGATGCTCGATGAAATGATAAGGGTGACAAAGAATGGAGGATTGGTGTCCGTAACTGATACAGACTGGGACTCTTCACGATTGTACGTACCTGAAAGGCTCAGAAGTGTACGTGATAGAATATTCAGTGCTAGATTTAATGCCAATCCTGGTATGGGTTCTGAACTGTTCTCAATGATGAATCCAAGACTAGAGAGGGTAAAGGTACGTGGCATTGTCCTTCAGGCTACATCATTTGAGTTTGCCAATCGCATGTTGATGCTCAATGAAAGAGCCAAGCGTGCGATTGAGCAACGTTCTATCACTCAGGAAGAGTATGACGATTGGTTGAGTACAATGATCGATTTGGACAAGCAAGGAAAGTTCTATCATAGTGCAAATTATATATCTGTTCGAGGTTATGTTAGGAAACCATAAACTATAAATCATTACGTGTTTAATTTTATTTATTTATTTTGTGTTCTTTGATTCTACAGTGAGGTCGCTGTGATTGGAGGCTAAAATGATGTGAACAACATACTGTTATGCATTCATAATTCAAACCATCATACAAACAAAGATGTTTAACAAACTAGTTAGAAATAATGCAGGCAAACAATGCTCAAAGTTGTTTAATCAATCGATGATCAACAACAGGTCGTTTAGCAGCTGCAACACCACCCTCTTCAACTCATCCACAATATCATCAAGACAACAACATAGCAACAATAACAACAAAAACAATAACAACAACAACACACAACATAGTAGTAGTCGTAACTGGCTGTTTGGAGGAATGGCAGTGGCTTCATTTGCTCTGACCTCTACTATCTTGTCGTTGGACGACGAAGTGACTAACGTTGAGAAGAAGGCACCTATCGCAAGACCCGAGGACGACCACGACATTGAGAAGTTTAAGTATGTGATTATCGGTGGAGGCACTGCAGCCTACTATGCCATCGACAAGATCCTCGAGAATGACAAGCTGGCCACAATCCTTGTCATCTCAAAGGAGTACGAGGTGCCCTACAGACATCCTCCTCTCTCTAAGAACCTCTGGCAATCGACTGATCCAAATGTCAAGCAGAATCTTGAGTACTCGGACTGGAGCGGTGCAAAAGAGAACCTTCATTACGAGCCAGAGTCTGTCTATGGTAATGATGTTCTTCAGTTCATCAGGAACAAGAAGGTGGTCGTATGTATACAATCTGACAGATGACAACTAGTCCCTTTCTAAACCCAATGACTTTTCTCTATCACCATATTTTTTTCTTTAGGACCTTCATGTTGATGGAAAGGTTGTTCTTTTGAACGATGGTACACTGATTGCCTTTGACAAGTGTCTCATTGCAACTGGTGGCGAGCCAAGGAAGTTCAACTACACAGCTTCTGATGACCCCAGGATTACCACGTTCAGGACGGTTGAGGACTTTAGGAACCTCTACGACACTGTCAGGAGCGATCAAGTCAAGCACATCACCATTATTGGCGGTGGATTCCTCGGTAGCGAAATCACATGCTCAATCAACGATAATCAGAGGGATAAAAAGGTCGCCATCACTCAGGTCTTCCCCGAAGATGGAGTGTTGGGTCTCGTTCTGCCCGACTATCTGAGCAACTATGCAACAGACAGAGTCAAAACAAGCGGTGTTGACGTTCAACATAACAGACTGGTCAAGGACATCACCAAGAACGACGTTGATAACAGACTCAACGTTCATTTGGACAATGGTCAGTCGATCAGCACTGATCATGTGGTCGTTGCCGTTGGTATTGTACCAAACACTGAGGTTGCCAAGAGTACCACTCTGGAGGTTGATCCTATCAATGGTGGATACGTTGTCAATGCCGAGTTGCAAGCTAGATCAAACATCTATGTCGTAAGTATTATGAACGTTCTGCACCGGTTTCAACAGCCACCACTTACACCCAACCAAACAATACCTAACAATAATAGGCAGGAGATGTTGCAAGCTACTATGACTACAACCTTGGACGCAGAAGACGTGTAGAGCATCAGGATCACGCCAAGGCAACTGGAGAACTGGCTGGAAAGAATATGACTGGTGGCACTGAGCCTTACACCTACCAGCCATTCTTTTGGACCGACTTGACAGACCACATTGGTTTCGAGGCCGTTGGAGATATCTCTGCCAAATTGAAGACCTACGCAGTTTGGGAGAAGCCCAAGACTGAGGACGCTGATAAGTACGGCAAGGGTATCATCTACTACCTCAACGAACAGGACAAGGTAGTTGGTGTGCTCGGTTTCAGAGCTTATGGCAAGATGGATTTGGCTAGGGAAATCATCAAGAAGGGCAAGCCCATCACAGACTTTTCCGAGTTGCAGCACCACATATCTCTGGAAGATGAGCATCATGATTAAATAATGTAACTTTTGGATTGAGAGAGAGAGAGAGTCTGGTTGGTGTCCAAGATATTTATATATATATATATATATTTTTATTAATAAAATACTATGGTGGACTGAGAAACTACTCTATCAGCGAATGGTTATTTCCAAAGTTATGAAGAATGAACCATCTCCTTGTCAATTTACCAATGATCAATTGGTAGAACTCCAACAAATCAGATTTAGAAGTACCTATTAATTCTTTTATCAGTTTTGAAGCTGGTAAGGTTGAGGTTAGAATTATTAAGTTATTAAATCTATTTTCAAAAAGGTAACTCTTACGTATATCATAGTCAGAGTGGCAGGATTTGTTGAACCAAAGATCCTGAGCATAAGAATATAGATTGGTCTTTTGTTCAGCTAGTTTCGTGATAGTAGCCTCAAGACAAGAAGTGAATCTATCATTTGGCAACTCAGATAGATCTTGGACGAATAGATTGGTAAGGAGGTCTTCTAAATTGTAGAATAGTTCTGAAGGATTGTTGTCATGTGATTGAAGAAAGAACCTAAGACCAAACTGTTGAACATAGTTATCGATTCCTGCGTAGTTGATGTATCCAAGATTCCTCTCCACTGTCAGATGAAGAAAGGACTTATTGCTGATAATCTTGTCAATCACCATTGTAAGGGCAATGTTCCGAGGTGAGTCTCCAACTTGAATCCACAAATAACATGATGAATTCTCCTGGTTTGGATTGTCGAATTGTTTTCGCTCAACAATACTACTACTAATAGGGATTATTGTGCCTCTCGGTAAGAATATGTTGGAAGGATCATATGACGTACGATCCAGCTGCTGATCTAATCGTTGTCCAAAGTCCACAGCGTCTTCCAAATCGACATTTCCAACAATGAGGCATTGTAGTCTTGCAATAGAAAATAGTTGTGAAGAGAAGTTGGTCAAATCCTCCATTGTCAATTGATCAAAGATGGACATGTCTTCAATGAGAGGTGGTCTCCAGTTGCGCATGATAGTCTTGGAGTGAAGAGTGGCAAAGGTAAATGGTTCATAGAAGAGAGTGTTCAAGATTCTGTCCTTGACTTGTGTTCTAACATGTTTGAATTGTCTTATAGTAAGCACCATAGTTGTAATTGAGGATATGTACTTTGTGTTAACTCCAATAGTTGATCGCTCCAACCATACACGGTGATCTGATATCCCAAGTTTGATGTATGGAGTTGAACGCTCCTCTCTGTCATTGCAGCGAAGTATATCAAAGATTCTACCAGGAACTCGTAGATACCCATTACCAGATGATCGAACAGTATCATATCACGTGGAGATATGGTTGTGGGGAAGATTCCAATTAAGACCACTGCGTACAGAGTGTTGTATTGATAGCTGGGAACATGTTCCACCCGTATTCCATTCTTATCAAAGGCCACTTGAGGAAAGGACTGATCTAATCTWAGATACCGAACCAGTTTTAACTTTAGATCTCTTGGCATAAAAGGATTCGCTTCTGGAAGAACCATTAAAGATTCCAACTTTGAAAATGAACTCCACTCCTGAATGCTCAATGGAGACACTGGACTGATATTGTATCTGAAGCCAGTGATAGGATCTTTCTTGTCAAGATGTGATTCGAATCTCTTGGGGAAAAGACATATAAGAACGTTTACCATAGTCATTGTGTTCAAAAAATCAATAACTTCGTTGGTGTTTGGCAAGTTGTTAAAGTACTGATACTTGAGTATGGAATTTGGATCATCAATGAATAATAGTGACTCGGATAATGACAATGTATAGTCTATTGGTTCCATCTTTGATATTGACTCCCACTGCATTTTGGTCTTGTCACAGGACTCTTGGAACATTGTCCAATCCAAGCGCAGTCAACTTAATATCCATTTCCATATACTCTGTTCCATAGTTCCACATTGAATGTGAACACAGTAATGATTCAATGAAACCTAGTTGCTTCAATTTACTGTGCAATGTTCCTTTTCCTTGATGTCCAAGAACAATTGATACATGATTGGTAGGTGAGGCACGGTAAGTCTTGAAGTAATCAAAGTTGGCAGAGAGTGGCGAAATGATCTGCATTGAATGCCCATCCTTAATTGGTGTGGTCAATACTCTTGTGGAGCGAGTGAGAGTAACTGGTAGAGGCACTTTTGCGGTCACATCCTTGTTGAGAACACTTGAAAAGTACATCCTTGCCAAATGCTCCAAGGTATCAAGATCATCTTTTCCTAGTATACACAAGGACATAAGGTTTGAGGAGTATTGAGTATGATACAAGTGTACCATGTTTTTGTAAATATCATCATGCATCAAGGTCTCAAGGTTTCCATTGGTACTATCTCATCATTCTTGCCCTTCCATTCTGTGTCGACTGGCTTAATCTTCAAAGTGCATCGACTGGCCAAAAGGTCCTCGATTGTCTGGACACCTTCGAGTGTTGCCTGATCTGATGCTGATAGTGGACAATGTCAGACGACTGCTCCACACCAGTGTCATGGCCACCACTACTCTCATCACTAGAGATGTCTGATTCATCATTAGAATGGTCATTGTCAAGGTCATCTTCATTGGCAACCTCCTCATTGTCTCGGTCTTACCAGAGATGGCTGTCAGATTGGTCAACTCTTGGTACTTTCTACTGCAATCTCTCTTGGTCATCACGCACATATCTGATGAGATCTTCATCAGCATGATATCATTCTGGTGGTCAGGCTCGGTGATTGAAAGAGGAAGCTTCTCCATCTTGGAGAGAGCCAACCACATCCCGTGACTAAATTAACACAGCAACGGGCCTTCACTGGAATGGATATCATTCTCTAAGGGTTTCAGTTGTACTTGAGTTGGTTGGACATATATTTATTCTGTCCGTATAATCATTAACATATTGAGTGAGTACACGCAATTGATAAATATCTTTGGCCTTTGTATTACTTACCATTCTCATTGATACTCGGACAATCCAGGTCCATCCCCTTTTCTTGGCTAGGTTATACTTGAGTTCATTTGCCCTGGCGCATCCGCAATAAACGCCACACATGTCATGATGCTCCTTGATGTGAGCAGGCATGTTGTGCCGGGTCCTGTGAGTATTGCAACCGCTTTGAAGGCACCTGATAATGTCATTCTTCTGTTACTACCGCCGCTGCTATTGACACCTCTGTTGCCACTCTGGTTGCCCTTGCTACTGCTATTATCGTGTTATTGTTGTGTTGTTGCTGTTGCTGCTGCTTCCAGGGAGCCAGAAAGTAGGACGATCTGGTTGAGCTGTGAGCAAGTTGACTGAACAACAACATCACCATCATCATGGTCATCGCAGCAGATAACTTCAGAAGCAACATTGACCGCAGACAACAATGCATCGAGGCCTGAGGGAGCACGAGTGTCACCCTCTCTGCCTTCATCCCTGTTGCCACATATCAAAGGTTTGGTAGGTCCCGATGGTAATCGACTCACATATCTACTGACCAAACTTTCATCCCATTGCTTCAGGCTGGGCCTACACCCTTGATGTTGAGTGCCAACAAGAATTGATGGCTGACTCGAAGGTCTCACACCAAGGTGGCTGCCAGGCAGTGTAGGATCTCGTCATGCAACTTCAGCCGGATCGCCAGAAGGCGCATCAACAGTCAAGATGTTGTTGGTGGAGGCGGGGATAGAGTGAGTCTTGGAGGAGGGAGGGTGTTGTTCTCTCGCATGTTGTTGGTTGTTACCTCTGTTAACTTTATAGATAAGTATATTAGAAGATAATTAGAAGTATATGTAAGTTGTATGTATATGCATGCAGTATTATAAGTATGATTGTGTTGATAATGGTTTCCGTATTTGCGGGGGCGACAATACGAAGGGAGAGAATTTATTTATGGTTGGCCATTAAGGATTATCCAGATTGATGTAGATTACTCCAACAGCAACAGTGAATGTAGTATGCATCGCTTCATCTTGATGAGCCGAGTCTGCTGATGTATAATAGGTGAACTTTGTTGTTGGTGGATTTGGTGTTGCCAGCAGTTGCTGAATGTCTTGATCAAAGCACTAGTAGATTGCTTTAAAGGCAATGAATGTGTTATGCATCGCTTCATCTTGGTGAGTTGAGTACGTTGGTGTATAATAGTGAATGTTGGACGATGTTGGTCAGCAGGTGTTCGATCAAGTTGTTGCACTATAGCTGTTGAAGTTGATGATCCAAGTTGATATAGATTACGATGAACGGCAATGAATGTGGTATATATCGCTTCATCTTGATGAGACGAGTCTGTTGGCGTATCATAGGAGTTTTTGGATGATGTTGGTGTGTGTCAATCCAAGTGAGGTGTAATTGGTCGTTGTTTCATGGCTGTCCAAGACTGTAATTCCTATCAATCACTTCAACAGTGATTAGTAATATATTGATCGCTTCATCTTGATGTGTTGATTATTACTATACTATAATCTTGATTGTTATTAGTTATTGTTAGAAGAAGAAGTGCGACGATCTGCCCAAGGTTTTGGTTGTTACCTGTGTAGTTGGATGTTGATGACCAAAGTTGATGTAGATTACTCCAACGACGATGAATATAGTATGTATCGCTTCATCTTGATGGGCAGAGTCCGATGATGTGTCATAGGTGTTTGTTGGACGATGTTGGTGATCAGTGGAGTGCGACGATCGTAGTTGATGCCAAAATGTGAGTGTATCCTGGCTGTTGTTGAATGTGTTGCTAAAGAATAGGTTCAGCAGTGATACACAATATATATCGATTCACCTTGATGTGTTAAGTCTGTTGGTATGTCAATTGTAGGTGTTATCGAGACGTTGGTGGCAGTTGGAGTGCGACTCTTGGCGTGTAATGGGAAATGAATGTAGCTGTACTTTGTAAGAATAGGTTCAACAGTCACATATTATATATAGATCGATTCCTGTAGATGTACTGAATCTGTTGGTGTATCAAACGTATGTGTTGAACATTGTTGGTGCATCATCGTTGTGTCGAGACTCATTCGAAATGCATTCATGATTGGTGTTATGTTGTTCAATGACGATGATTGATATCTTGATCGATTCGCGTTGATAAGAGGAGTAACAAGATATATTATGTTGAGGTGTTGAATGACGTTGTCAGGAGTTGATAGGTCACCTTCATCTGTTGTTGTGTTGTGTAAATCTGGATGTCATGAAGTAGATGATGTTGATGTATCAGCTTCAATGTTATTTGTTTATCAAATGATCCACTGCCTGTATGTATTTGTACTAATGT